GAGGAGGGAGGGAGGAGGAGGAGGAGGAGGAGGAGGAGGAGGAGGGAGGAGGGAGGAGGGAGGAGGCAGGAGGGTGGAGCCCGATGGGGCGCAAGGCCTCTCAGGGCCTCGTCTCGGCCTCGTCGGCCCTTGTGCCCTGTGTTGGGCGCCGATGCCCTCCTCGTAGGCTGACCCGGAGCAGGCAGCCGCACGCGAGGGTTGAGTTGGGCATGTCGCTCTATAGGAGGAGTAGTCAGACATAGTCCAAAAGTAAAAGAAAAAGTCTGGGGACGGCTTTTGTGCATTTCTGGATTTTTTATGGTATGCTTGACTATGTTATATGTTTCGTCCAAAATCCGTCTTTAGGAGGACACGCCCGACCTCCGAGGAGCTGCACGGCACGGGGGGCGAGCCTGGTGCCTTTCTGTCCAGGCCCGTTCGGCCTCGCAGCTCGAAGAAGAGAAAATGGCAGAAGCGGTTCGCGCGGATTTCTTTTATGATCGGCGCTGGGCCCCCTCTGGCGGCGCCTCCAGCGCCGCCCCTGGCGCCCGCTGCGCGCCAGGGAGGGGGGTCCCGCCCGGACATCCTAGAAATTATTGTCATGCCGTTTTCGGATCCTCTAGCAGAATCGTGTCGTGTCGACGCGGCGGCGACCCCGCCAGGAGCGCGCACGGTCGAACACCTCCAGTGGCCCAGAATCCACCAATGCAGAACGAGCAGGCGGTCGCGAAGCCGCCGATAGCTCAAGGTTTAACAATCCACGTGGTGTCGGGAACAAGCGCCGCAGTCAGCACGACAGGAACCCGCCGTATCCAGCTCGCAGCGCCAGCCGCCGCAAGGCTGGCCATGGTGTGCTGGCGCGTGTTTGTCGTGCTGGGCGCGTCCTACAAGACGCTGCAGAAGCAGGCGGGGGCTCCCGTGCAGCTGCTGCGCGGCAGGGGGGTGCCTACAGTCGGGGCCCTGAAGAAGGAACCCTTTTGGTTGGGGAGGGTCTCCGCGTTCCCTAAGTGTTTCACAGCTTGCCTCAGGTTTTCCTTATGTTTTCGATCGGAATCTAAGTTTAACTTATGACAAAAAGGGGCCTCGTTCCTCATTTAGGGTTCCTTAGGTCAACGCCCCGACTGTAGGCCTCGCCCCTCGTCTTCGCCCTCGCCCTCTCGCCGCCTGCCTCGGATCCTCGGGAGGAGGAGGGAGGAGGAGGAGGAGGAGGAGGAGGAGGAGGAGGAGGAGGAGGAGGAGGAGGAGGAGGAGGAGGAGGAGGAGGAGAAGAGGAGGAGGAGGAGGAGGAGGAGGAGGAGGAGGAGGAGGTGTTCGGGGACCTCGGCAGGCGGCGGGACATATAGGCACAGACCTGGGGCCCCAGGGGGGCGCCGACGCACACGTCCAGATCCGCCGCCCGCCCTGGGGTCCGTTGCATCTTCGGGGGACCTCGCCCGTCCCCCCAAATCGGTGTGTTTTCTCGTGCCCGACGCGGGCTCGATGCGGACTCGACGCGGATACCTGGCGCGGATTCGACGCGGAATGCGGCACGGACTCGACGCAGATCCGACGAGTCCGACGTGGATTCGACACGGATTCGACGCGGAGATGGCTTTGACGTGACAGACAAGGTCCCCCGAGGATGCAACAGAACCTGGGGTCCCAGGGCGGTGGGTGCGGACATGTCCCCGCCTGGCACTTGCGGCCCGGCAGGCGCCGGGGCTCGCCGAGCGGCATGCCCGGGCGTCGTGGCGCAGTCTCGCGGGCTGCCGCGGGAGCAGGTCGCGCGTGCTGCTTGCGGTCCTGTCTCGGCAGCGGTTGCATGCAGCGGAGGCCCATGCTCAGAGCCCCGAATCATCAGGGGTAACTCGGGTCAGGACTAACTCGGGTTCGCTTTTCGGGATTCCGAACCCGATTTACCCCGGACCCGAGTTACCCCGGATAATTCGGGCGTCCAGAGCCCCAAAATCATCAGGGGTAACTCGGGTCGGGTCCAGGCAACTCGGGTTCGTTTTTCGGGAATCCAAACCCGACTTACCCCGGACCCGAGTTACCCCGGATAACTCGGGCGCCCAACATGCCGAGAGACACCCTGCTTGCCTTCAGGGTGCCCTGGGTTTCTTGGGTTTCGACGGCCTTGCTACGGAAAAAGCGTGACGCTCCCACACCTAGAACTCCATGGACGGTCCCGGGGTCTCGGGGTTGGGTCTCTTGTGGCAGGTTTGCAGTGGACTGGCCTCCACGGTGTGTATTTTCTCGAGCTTGGGTGGGGCCCCCTCTTCCTCGAGCGCGTGGCACACTCCAGCTGTGGAGCGGCAGGGGGTGAGCAACGTTGGGGAGGGGCTGGGTGTTCCTTGAGTGTTTCACAGCTTGCCCAAGGTTTCCCTTCGGCTCTCGATCGGAAATCGAAGCTTAACTTTTGGGAAAAAAAGTGGCCTAGTTCCTTATTTAGGGTTCCTTCGGTCACCGCCCTGACTGTATCGCTGATGCATCGGCGATGGGGCTCGATTCGGAACCCGATGTTCTGCCTCCCGACGTCGCCGATGCATCGGCGATGCGGCGTGATCCTCTGGCCCCATCCGCTCGGACCCCATCTGGGCGGCCTCCATGGATAACGCGTGCACCCAGAGCTTTCAGGGCGAGCACGGGGCGCGGTTCGACTTATCGCCTGGCTGACTGAGCGGGCCCAGCGGGTCTTACGTTCTCCCTGGGTGCGTGGCGCGAGTGGGGCTCCGTGGTGCGGGTTCTGGCGGGTGCTGAGTCCGCATTCTGACCTGTGAGCGCCGAGGATCCCGCCCAACCGGTGTCTACCGTTGCTCTGGCGCGCTGCGGGAGGTAGGGACTTGGAGTTCCCTGTGGGGCACGACCCGCGCGAGGGATGTGTGTGTGTGTGTTTGTGTGTGTGTGTGTGTGTGTGTGTGTGTGTGTGTGTGTGTGTGTGTGTGTGTGTGTGTGTGTGTGTCTGTGGTCCTGGCACCCGCCTTCCCCGCCCAAGGCCTTGCCCCCCGCGCCGACCACTGCCCCCTATCACACCCTGAGTGCCTCGCGGCCTTCGTCGCAGCATGTGGATCCAGGCAGCTCGATGATTGTGAAGGGAAACTGGAACACGCAAATAAATACACACAAATAAAAGGATCCCCCTTATTTTCCTATATTTTCTGGGTTTTTGTCTTCCCCCCACTTCCCATATTTTCCCATATTTTCTGGGGAATCGACGATTCATTGTCATTGTGTCCGTGTGTTTTTTTTCCCCTCCTGAGATTGGCCCACCCTCTTCTCCCCGCTGCCCGGCGAGCTCCTCGCCACTCAGCTGGTACGTCAGCAGCCCGAGGCTGGCAGAAGCGGGGCCTGAGGTGGGGCGCCTCGCCGCCCTCTGCTGGCCCAGACTCGGCGCGCCTGCTGCTGGCGCTGCGGGCCCGGCCCCCGCCGCCACTCAGTCCAGACGGCATGGGGGGAAACAATTTGTGGATACCCCCCCGCCCCCTCCTCCTCTTCTCTCTCCTCCTCTCTCTCCTCCTCCTCCTCCGCCTCCTCCTCCTCCTCCTCTTCCTCCTCCTCCTCTCTTTCCTCCTCCGCCTCCTCCTCCCCCTCCTCCTCCTCCCCCTCCTCCCCTCAATCAAAGAGACTCCACCCCCGACATGATCGCGTCGTACTCCCCCAAACTCGAAGTTGGCATGCGCGGGGGAGGCTGCGGTCGAAGTGGAACTCCTCAGGCAGACCCACCGGCAATCTTGAACGTTCGGGGGAGGGGAAGGCGTCGGACCGATGGATGTGGCATGCCGTGTCTACCGCCGACACGAGGGTGGCCTGGGCGGTCCGGTCGGCCGACGCCACCCAGCCCAACAAGACCCGCCGGCAACCCCGGCGACGCGCGCCGCTTCCCCACGCCGGGCGGCACAGCGAGGGGGAAAACTAGGGGGGGGGATATCATGATCATGGCCTGGGCCATGATCTTTCCCCGGATTTCCTGGCCCCTCTTCTTATTTCATTGCGTCCTTGGCCCCCCCCTTGGGACGCGCACGTGCCGCCGGCCACATGATGTGCACCCCTCCCCCCCTCTTGGACGCCCCCCTCTCTGCCGCCCCCGAGCCAATCCGGGGCTCCTCGTCTCGTCTCGCCGTGGGGGGGGGGGGGGGCGCCCCGCGGCGGTGCCCGACCGCCGCTCACCTGGCTCTCTTGTCATGTTGCGAGGCGGCACGCGCCCCTGCACGCGTGGGGGCGGCGTCCTGGCACACTGCCTCCAGAACTACATCGAATATTTCTTTCGTCTACATACACGTTCGGACTGGATGCCAGAATTACGTGTTTTCTGGCTGCAAAGATCTTTCTGCAGACGCTTACACGTTTCATGATATAAACAGCGCATATTTCGCAATTGCTTTTCTTTGATTTTTCTGAAGAAAAGGCACGTAACATAAACTTTCAACGCTCCACGCGGATTCCTTGGATCTACGTTGGGTTGGGCCCCCTGGCGGCGCCTTCGGCGCCGGCCCCACCGCAAATCCAAGAAATCCGTGCGCACCGTCGAAAGTATATGGTTTATGCGTTTGTCTTCCTCTGCGATAGTCAACCCGCATGGTAAGGATGGGCAGCCTTCCCAAGTGTACCCTTGCACCCTTGCCTCCTCGCTCCATCATTCCTCACGTTCGTTGGTCGCGCCCCGCTCGAGAAGCTTCGAAATGGGCGTCCGAGGCCCGTGCGTCCTTCTCGCGCATCCCTACGACACGGGCCGACCGTATGCCGCCTCCGCCGCCACCGCCCCCTCGCGCGCGTCGCGCCCCTCACGTCATCGCGAGCGCCCAGGCCTGGGCGCCGGGAGCAGTGCCTGGCCACGCGCAGAAGGGGGCAGGGGGAGGGGGGAAGGCTTCTTAGAAGCACCCCTGCTTCTTGGAAGGCGCGGGCCGTCTTTGCAGATGTCAGGCCGGCGCCCTCTAAGAAGCAGCCGCATTCTAAGAAGCCTTCCCCCCTCCCCCTACCCCCCTTTCTGCGCGCCGCCAAAGTGCGATCGCCCCCGCCCTTCCGCTCGGATCCAGCGCGGGCCGGCTGCCGTCTCTGCGCGGCTCTCCTCCGCCCCGTCCAGCCAGACCAGCCCCACACCCAGGCCAGGGGGCGCTCCCGCGCGACCCCGCCCGGCTGCCGCTCCGCCCAGCGGCTGGCGCACCCCGAGGGCCTCGCCCTCGCCCCACGCGCGGCCGCCCCGCCCCCCTGCCCACGATTCGGATCTGATGGGCCTGCTCTCCACCGCCACCGTACGCTGGAGGGGGGGAGGACGTGGAGGAGGAGGAGGAGGAGGAGGAGGAGGAGGAGGAGGAGGAGGAGGAGGTGGAGGAGGAGGAGGAGATGGAGATGGAGATGGAGATGGAGATGGAGATGAGATGGAGATGGAGATGCAGATGGAGGAGGAGGAGGAGAGGAGGAGGAGGAGGAGGAGGAGGAGGAGGAGGAGGAGAGGGAGGAGGAGGAGGACCTCCTCCCCCTCCCACTTATGGTGGTGGTGGTGGAAAAGAAAGCCACCAGGATCTCCAGGCGTGGGTGGGCCACTCGGCGCTGGGCCACCACTCGGGCCGATCGGTTCCGCGCGCCACGGGCGTGGGTGGGCCACTCGGCGCTGGGCCACCACTCGGGCCGACGGTTCGTCGTCGGCCGACGCCGAGGGAAAAAAACACAGACACAATTAATCGTCGATCCCCAAGAAAATAGGGGAAAATATGGGGAGTGGGGGGGAAGACGACAATCCAAAAGATATTGGGAAATATTGGGAATCCTTTTTGTTGTGTGTATTTATTCGTGTGTCCCAGGGCCCCTTTACTAAGCAGCGCGCGCTCGCGCTCCACGCTCCACCACCCGTAGTCGGCGGCTCAGCTGAGGAGGCTGCCTCGCATGACCTCGTGAACCGCGTCGACGCCATGCGGGCCAGGGGGCCCCGGCGGCGTTCCAGGCCACCCTTCGCCGGCGAGACCGGAGCCGCGAACAAGGACCCGCCCTCGTGGAGGAGCCTGACCCGGACTTCAGCCGCTGCACGTCCGAGCAGCTCAGCAGCTTCCCCCTCAGCGTTCCGGCTACATGGATGCCAAGAAGCTTCGCACGCGTTCCGACGGAGGAGCCGAGCTCGCAAAAGCGGGTGCCTCACGTGACCTGTCACGACTCAATCTCGGCGGCGAGTTTTGGGGGGGAAGTGAGCAGGGGCAAGCCTTCAAACTTCTCTGAAGGCTCGGAAGTTTCCGGCGCCTCGTGAGAAGTGTCCTATACTGGAAGTTGTCCGCGAAGACGCAGGACACCTCTCGGACGGCGCGAGGACTTTGAGAAGCCCCGCCGCGTTCTGAGAATCAGGCGATCGCAAACATGGATCAAGGGTGCGTGGATTAGCGACGGTTTCCCGTTTCCATGGGACATCGCGGATTTCCTCCGCCGACCCAGGCGGCACCAGCAGCATTTTGGGGAGGGCCCCCCCCGATCCATGGTTTTGGCGACCGCGCGCCAGATCCATGGATCGCCAATCCGTGTCTGCGCGCCCCCGATGAGAAGGCCCTCTCCCTCTCTCTCTTCCCCCCCCTTGCTAGCCGCCGACAAAATCACCCCCGACCGCTCGGGCGAAGAGAACTATGCACATGGACCGATCCTGACAACGCCCATCCTCGACCCAGGATCGGTGCATATGCCTTCCTGGCCAAGGTCAAAGGGCGTATGCACCGATCCTGGGCCCAGGAGGGTCCTGGCCAGAATCGGTGTGCAGCGCCGGTTTTGATACATGCTCCGCGTGCGGATCATGTATTTAAAATGAAGGGATCTAGTATTAAAAACAATGATGAATGTATGCATTGAATGATGAGTAGATTCATCATGTATCAAACATCCCATGTATTAAACATCCTATGTATTACAATATGAGGAGGAGGAGCATGAGGATGATGATGATGATGATGATGATGAGGAGGAGGAGGAGGAGGAGGAGGAGGAGGAGGAGGAGGAGGAGGAGAGTGGCGGCAGGAAGGCCGCTCGCCTCCTCTCCCCCTCCCGGAGGGGGGGGGGGGGGGGGGGGGCAGCACGCTCGAGGTCCTGGCCCTTCTCTGCCCCACCATTGGGGCCCGGATTAGCTCCTTCTGTTCTGGTCTAGGCCCTCTCGGGTGCCAGCTGCCGCCGCCCCCCGCCCGGGGCCCCGCGCCCCTTCTCTCTCTGCGTGCGCGTGCTGCTCGGGCGAGCCCGCGTGGCCCGGGGCGCCCCTTGTGGTGCGCCGCGGCCGCGGCCCCCCGCGCGCTCGGCCCCTCGCGCGGTCTGGCCCGGCCCGGGGGAGGCGCCCCTCGTCGATCTGACGAACGAACAACACTCAGGAGGGAAACACACGCACAGACACAACTATTCGTCGATTCCCAGAGAAAATATGGGAAAAGATGGGATTGGGCGGGAAGACAAGAACCCAGACATTATAAGAAAACATTGTGAATCTGTTTATTTGTGTGCATTTATGTGTGTGTGTGTGTGTCCCAGGGCCCCTTCAAACACACACACACACAGACCCATACCCACAGGGGGGTCGTTGGGAGGAGGACTGGCTGTGGTTATGGGCGCGGGTTTTCGGACCCTGGGGAACGCTCCCGCTCTAGCGGGGACCCCCATCCGACAACACGCACCCATAGCCCTCTCCGATCCCCCTATGGGTATGGGTGTGTGTTGTTGGTTCGTCATGATCGGGGGCGGCAAAGAGGGGGCTGATGACTAGGGGGGGCTGGATATCATGGCGTGGGCCGTGACATTTCCCCAGCTTTTAGGGCGCTTCTCCTTGCTTCATTGCGTCCCTGGCCCCTCCCCTCTTGGGCCGCGCACCTGCCGCCGGTCATGATCTGCACCCCCCCTTTTTGGACACCCCCCTCTTGGCCGCTCCCGAATGAGGAGGAGTCGTCAACAGAAATAGTCAAAACAGTAGTCCGGGGACGATTTTTCTAGTATTGTTTGATTTGTTGTGTGGATATGTTGTGACTGTTTCCCATTTCTCCTCCACAGTCCGCCTGCCGGCTGTAGGAGGACATGCCCGACCTGACCCAATCGGCGGCGAGCGAGGGGGGGACATGAGAACGGGCGGCCCTTATCAAGAGGCTCGGAAGCCCCACGCTCTTCTGACAAGAGTTCTGGGCCTCCTGACAAGAGTTCTAGGCCTTCTCTCCGAAGACACAGGAAAGCCTCCCAGGAGGCCAGAAAAGGCCTCTGAGAAGCCCCGCCGCCTTCTGCGAAGGCCTCCTCCTTCTCGCGTCGGGCCCCTCGCGCGCCGCCGCCCCAGCCCAGCGGGTGGGATGCGGGGCGGCCCCCCGCCACCGGCTTCCCTGGCGGCCACGTGGCCCTCCCGCTCCCTGCGCCCTGGGACCGGAGGGCGACGCCGGGTCCGGGGGCTCGCCTCGACCGGATTTACACGAGTGATCCAGGAGGAGAAAAGACACGATCAATATCGTCGACTCCCAGGAGAGTGCAGGAAAATCTGGGAGGCGGGGGGGCAGACGAACACCCAGAAGATATTGGGAAAAGTGGTGGGAATCCAGGGATTCGTGCATATTTGTTTGTTTGTTTGTTTGTTTGTTTGTTTGTGTGTGTGTGTGTGTGTGTGTCTGTTTGTGTGTGTGTGTGTGTGTCTCTGAGCCCTTTTAAGGATAGGGCACGTTGGGCCAGTGGGCGTTCGTTGTGCTTCGTTGTCTCGTGTTGGGTGTCTGCGTGTGGCCTTTCCCATCGAAGGCAGATGTGATCACAGTGCTCGCTGTGTCTGTAGTTACCGTGAGGCGTGGGTCACTGGGGATCAGTGGGCGTCGTGTTCTGTGGCAAAATCAAGACTCTTCTCCGGCCATGCGAACGTAAATACATCTGCATGGGGTGAGGCTCCATCGGTGGGGGCTGAAGCGATGTGTAGTGCAGGTGGCCTTTGCGGTCAAGCCGATCGAGTCCAGATTGAAAGTGGCTCCCCTCCTCCCTACTCGTCCACCCTCCTGGCCCATCCCCCTCATCCTCCTCGTTATCGGTGCCGATACTGCCACTCCCGGAGCCTCTCCCGGGCTGGGCTCTGGCGAGAATCCCGAGGAGAATCCAGCCGTGGCGGTGAGAGCTCTCCCGCACGAGCAGCGGGGGCGGGTCCTGTCCTCCTCATCGCCCTCCTCGCCCCCCCCCCCCCCCTCTCGAGCAGCGCAAGGCCCAAACGACGTGAGGGCGCGCGCGCTCTTCGAGCGCGCCGCCCCTCTCTCTCTCTCTCTCTTGCACTCTTGCACTCCCGGCGCCGGAGGGACAGAAAGAGAGAGAGAGAGAGAGAGGTGGAGCACTTGCTGCAGGGCCGGAGGAGCCTCATCGGCAAGTACGTGTGCGGGCCTCGGAAGAGTTCGGGAGCGGAAAAGAGGGGGGTGATGACTGGGGGGGGTGGATATCATGGCGGGGGCCATGATATTTCCCCAGATTTCATGGCGCCCTTTCTTATTTCATTACGTCCCTGGCCCCCCCGCTGGGCCGCGCATATGCCGCCGGTAATCATTTGCACACCCCCCTCTTGGACACCCCCCTCTTTGCCGCTCCCGAAGAGTCCACTCTGGGCTTCTGCACAAGCGTGGGGCGTACCCTCCGACGGGGGTCGACCTCGCCCCGACGTCGCGCCGCGACGGGGGTCGGAGCGCATCTGGCGCGCGGTGGCTGCTCGCGACGGGGGTCGATGTGGGGCTGTCGGCGGGGGTGGCGCCCCCTCCCCCCCCCGACGCTGATTGAGAAACTCGGAGTAGCCAGGGCCCCGAGGTGTCAGGGCGGGCGGCGGCTGGGGACAGCTGAGTCGGGGGCCGCCCGCTGTCGCGCCAGAGCTTTTTTGCCCAGATTGCACACCACCCGAGTCGGGTTGACCCCAAACGGGGGTCCAGCGACAAGGGGGCGGTGCAATAGATTTGGTGCAATAGGTTTGTTGGGTTGCAATACATGTGGGGCGTGCGATACAGTCTGGGGCGCAAGTGTATTGCTGGACTTTCGCTTGCCATGCGGCAGCCGCCATTCAGTGCAAGACACTTCTCCAATGCGCAACACGTCTGCAGTACGATTGCCCCAGATCTGTTGCACCACCACCGTTCCGCTGGACCCCCTTTGGGGGCACCCTAAGTTCTGCCCCATGTACAGTCAAAACCCCCAACTTTACTCAGGGTACCCTTGCGTCCGTGCTCTTCCTTGCTCTTGCGTCCTTGGGGTTTTCGTCGTCCGCCGCCCCAGAAATCCCAACTTCGGCTTCCAAGGGTCTTGCGTCCTTACCGCGCGTCCTTATTAGGGTTTTTGACTGTAGATAAATCGTGGTCCAGCACGCTCTTGGGGCAGGAGCTGTCCCGCATCAGGTGGCTCCAGGGCTTTGCCCCGGGTCCCCCGCAGGGGGGCCTGGGCAGGGCGCCCCCCCACGGGCAGGGCCCTGGCCAGAGAGGGAGGTCCGTCCTGGTCGATGCGGGCGTCTGGGTCGCTGCTCGAGGGCCACGAACCATTCGGGGGTGGACAGAACCCCCAACAGTGACACGTCGATTAGTGAATTGTCCGTTTTCGGTTCTCGAGAGGGCGCCGCGGCCGTTATTTGTACCAGGCTTGCGCCCGCCAAGTTTGGGCCCGAAGTCGTTTTAACTAAACCGCGTTTTACTAAAGGGAGGTCTGTCCATCCCCGAACCATGGCAACGAGGAGGCAGCAGCCAACAAAAGAAGCGATCAATCATAGACACGTATGCGGGCACTCGGGCGTCGAGCGCAGGGCCCTGACCAGAAGAGGTCCATCCTGGTCGATTCGGATGTCCAAGTCGTCATTCGAGGGCCACGAAGCATAGCAACGAGGAGGCAACAGCCAACAACATAAGCGATTATAGAAACGTGCGCGGGCCCTCGAGCGTCGAGCGCAGGGCCCTGGCCAGAGAGAGGTCCTTCCTGGTCGGTGTGGGTGTCCGGGTCGCTGTTCGAGGGCCTCGAACCATAGCGACGAGGAGGCAGCAGCCACCAACGATTGTAGACACGTGTACGCGGGCTCTCAGGCGTCGAGCGCAGGGCCGTGACCAGAAGAGGTCCGTCCTGGTCGATGCGGGTGTCCGGGTCGTTCTTCGGGGACCACGAAGCACAGCAGCGAGCAGGCAGCCGCCAACAAAAGAGCGAGCTGCAGACGCGTGCGCGGGCCCTCGAGCGTCGAGCGCAGTGCCCTGGCCAGAGAGAGGTCCTTCCTGGTCGATGCGGGCGTCCAGGTCGTTGTTCGGGGGCCACGAAGCACAGCAAAGAGAAGGCAGCCGCCAGACCGCGGGGCCTGCCCGCCGAGCCGTCGCGACCCCCCGCCCTCCACCTCCTCCTCCTCCTCCTCCACCTCCTCCTCCTCCACCTCCTCCTCCTTCTCCTCCTCCTCCTCCTCCTCCTCCTCCTCCTCCTCCTCCTCCTCCTCTCACTTCCTCCTGTAGGCGCGTGTGCGGGCCCCCGGGCGCCTGCTCGCAGGGGAGAGGCAGAGACCGGCGCCGCAGAGGTGCCGTCGGGGCAGGGGCGGGCAGGCCCTCACAGCATATCCAGGGGGCGGCCGTCCCCAGGCTTGCCTGTAGTAAGTCGGGCGTGTCCCTCTGCAGGGGGAATGATGTTCAAACATAGTCAGAAAATCGTATGGGGAAGCTTGCTTGAGCACGTTTGCTGCTAATTTGGAATATTTTCAGTGTGTGTGTGTTTCTTGGTCCTCCAAAGTCTGCCTGTAGGGGGACATGCCCGACCTACGCCTACCTGGGACAACCGGCGTCGCGGACGCCGCCCGACCTACGCCTACCCTGGCCCTATCCCCGAGGAAGGTGCTTGCGGGGCCCAACTACAGTCAGCCCGCGTAGCAAGGATGGCCATTCCCCAAGGCTACCCTTGCATCCTTGCCTCCTCGGCCCATCCTTGGCCACTTTCGCCGATGGCCGCGCCCCGCTCGAAACGCCTCAAAGTGGGCGTCCAGGGCCCTTGCATCCTCATCGCGCATCCTTATGATACGAGCCGACAGTACAGTGCCGTTTTAAATACATGCTCCGCGTGCGGTTCATGCGTTGGAAATAAAGGGATTTAGTGATAAAAACAACGATGAGTTCTTGCATACAATTATTCATACATTAATCATGTGTTAAAACTCATTTTTTTGCTGCCAAAAAAACCTATGTATTAAAAACTGCACTGTACCCTGGACCTTACCCCTGGCCTGCCGTGGCCTGACCCCCAGGCCGAGCCCCGGGCGGTGGCCCGCCCGAGCGTCGGGGGGGGGGGCTCCTCCCGACGGCTTCTCGGTTTGCGCGGTGGTCTCTGCTTCTCCCTTCGCCGCACTCCTACGGCCGGGTTGGGCATATGTCGGCGGCGAGCGAGGGGGGGAATTGAGAAGGAGAAGGCCTTCTCAGAAGGCGGCGGGACTTATCAGAAGCACTCGCGCCTTCTTAGAAGTGTATTCTGCCTTCGGGGAAGGCTTAGAAAGCTTCTCCGGGGGACGTCCGAGCCTTCTGAGAAGGTGCGCCCCTTCTCACTTTCCCCCCCCTGGCTCGCCGCCTAATATGGTGACTTGCTCGCCTCCTTGAGGTGGAGGACGGAGGAGGAGGGTGTGATAGCCCTGGCACGGGGCATCGGGCGAGAAGGAAGAGAGCCCGCAGGTCGGAGGAGGAGGGCGCCCGTGCGGCAGACGGCCCCGGACAGCCTCACGGCCGGTAGCTTTGGGACAGCGCGCCGCGACGCCGGTTCCGACCCACCGCGCTTCGGCCCGACGCGCTGCCCACGTCCCCCAGCCCCCTTGGCACCCGCGCCCCGCACCCTTCCGAGCCTCCTCCTGCCCCCTGACAGCGGCACGTCGTTCGCTTGCAAAAGGCATGGCGTGCCGCCGAGGCCGAGGCCGCCGGGACGCGCGAAGCCAAAGCTCCCGAGGCCAAGCCCCGGTCCCCCGAGCGCCCCGAGGCGGCAACTTGGCGGTCGCGGCCCGAGCGTACTGGCGGCCCGGTATGTCGCCTCCCCCTGGGGATGAGGCACCAGATGTTGGCCGGCGATGCAGAGTGGAGGGTCGTCGTAAGGGGCTCGAGACCTCCAGGGGGCCACGTGGAAAAGCACGTGACACCGGAGGTGCTTGCCACTCCTCTCTTCCGCCCCGGTGCTCTCTTGCGGCTCCGTGCGCTTGCGGCCTGGAGGGCTTTCGCTTCCACCAGCAGGCGCTCCGCCAAACAGGGTCCTCTAGAGATCCCTCTGCTTCTGCGGGCGTGTCTTACAGGCGCACATCTTCTGACCTGTGCTGACGCTTCCCTGCGTCAGCAAGTGCCTTTCCGCCCCGTGCCTGGCCTGGAGGCCCTTTCGGAGCCATCCGGCCCGAGGCTATTCCGCAGAAGGATGGGGTCGTGAGCTCCGAGGCTGGTCCTCTTCGCGACCTCACGATCTGTACGACGCCGGACGCCTGCGCGACTCCCTCCATCCCTCCTCGAGGCTGTTTTTGGGGGGGTCTGGCGACAGCCCGGGTTATCGGACCCGCCCCCCCCCTCCCTGGGGATTAGTAGGTCGACCCTGCCAAATCAAGGGTACCCTTGTGTCCTGAGCTTCGCGACCCACGTCGTCTTACATTCCTCTGGCAATGTGGCCCTCGAAAGGGCCTTTTGTCCTCTCGCGTGTCCTGTCCAATGAAGTCCGACCGTACGCAGGTCCGAAGGGGGGGGGGGTGGCGGGGGCAGTGCTGCTTCGCGCGGGCACGCGTGGGGTTGCTCGAAGCGGAACAGGCAGGTCGTCGGCCGGCACCTCCCCCCCCCCCCTCCCCCCTTCCGATAGCCGCGGATCGACTACGCTGGGGAGGCGAGTTGCGCTATCATTGATGGGCCTGATTTCCACCACCACCATAAGTTGGAAGGGGGACGGAGGTGGAGCATGAGGAGGTGGAGGAGGAGGAGGAGGAGGAGGCGGAGGAGGACCCCCTCCGACGCCTACCCATGGTGGTGGCGGCGGAAAGCAAGCCCACCAATCATGGCAGTGCAGGAGCACCACTTGCCTTAAGTCGGGCGTGTCCCTCTACAGGAGGAGTATCAAGCAATGACACAAAAAAGCAAAACAAACATAGTCTGGGGACGGTTTTTCGCTGGTGTATTGGAATAAGTTGTGTGTAGCCCAAAATCCGCCTGTAGGAGGACATGCCCGACCTAACACTTGCCTAAGGAGCTGCTCCGCGACAGGGAGTCAATGCGATAGCGTCCGGTAGTCAATGCCTTAGCGCCGATCTAGCGTCGATTAGTGTCGATTTTGTGTCGGCTGGCGTCGATTACGGTCGATTCGCAAGAGCCGATCAGATGGTATGGGAGGCTCGCATTAGTTGCCACTGAAGATTGCCAACCCCACGCGCTGGTCGATCGCAAGCTGCAGCCTTGGGCTGACATCCAGATGCCCCACGGCTGCTGCAAGTTGTCTCTTCTGGTGCAGGCTCAGAGTGGACCCCTTTTGCCTGTCACCACTTCGGATCAGGTGTGAGAACGTGTCCGCGGTTCTGCTGTGCGAACGGCTTCAGGGCCGTCATGTACCGCCCCGCGTGTTTTGCTTCACCTGCCGGATAGGGCCGCTGAGCTTGGCCAAGCCGAGCTGGGGTCATCGGCTGATTGCTTCAATTCAGAGCCTCTGGAGGGGCTCGGGGCAGGGCCATGAAGACCACGGCTGTGCAGAGACTGGGGGTGCCCGACGTCGCCACAGCTCGACGGCTGACGCTTCCGATCGCAGCTTGCGCGTGGAGCTTGCCACCCTCCTCGGGAACATTTCTGCCACGGTGCTGCTTGTACTTGCGAGCCGCTTCCCGCCTCGCACGTCTCCTCGAAGTCCCTAGCAATCGACACCCGAGAACCGGACCCCCGCTTCAATGGCAACCCAATTTTTCGGACCCCCTTGTCAACGGGGTGCCCTCAGATCCCGGACCCCCCCTCGATCGTCTTCGGTATACAGAAACCGCCCTCCTAAGCCGGACCCCCCCGCCTCCAAAACCGACGCCTTCAGAAACTGGACCCGGGGGACGATTCTGAGGGGTCGGGGGTGGACAGAACCCCCAACAGTGACACGTCGATTAGTGAATTGTCCGTTTTCGGTTCTCGAGAGGGCGCCGTGGCCGCTATTTTCCAGGCTTGCGCCCGCCAGGTTTGGGCCTCAGGTCGTTTTCACTAAACCACGTTTTACTAAAGGGGGGTCTGTCCATCCCCGAAGGGGATCTCGAGCACCCCCCTCCACGCCTTGCGGGGAGCTCGACGGCCGAGGTTCCTGCTGGCCCCGCAGGACGCGGGCGCGGCCTTCGGCGCCTGGAAGGACCGGCCGCCGCCTCGGCCACTCGGGCGGCGGTCCGGCTCGCCGCCCCTCCCCCCCCTCCTCCTCCTCCTCCCCCTCCTCCCCCTCCTCCTCCTCCTCCTCCTCTCCTCCTCCTCCTCCTCCCTCCTCCCTCCTCCTCCTCGTCCTCCTCCTCCTCCCCCTCCTCCTCCTTTTCCTCCTCCTCTTCCTCCGCCTCCTCCTCCTCCTCCTCCTCCTACTCCCCCCATACGGTGCCCCTCGGTCGTTGAAGGTAGGTACTTTGTGGACTCCCCGATCCCAATCTACTCTAGGCGCCTTCCTACAGTGGAGGCCCATGCCAACGAACACACCCTGCTTGCCTCCCGAGTGCCCTGGGTTTCTTGAGATTCGTGGGTTTCCTATGGCAAGCGTGACTTCCCCACACCAAAAATCACTGGACGCCCTGGGGCCTCAGGGTTGGGTTTCTTGTGGAAGGTTTCTTGTGGTCGGGCCCCTATTGCACTTCAAACATCGAGTGGTGTTCCTGTTTCCTACGTCTTCAGGGGGCGGGCGGAGACCCAATCTACTTCCAACGCCTCTCTCTCTCTCTGCTCTCTCTCTCGACCGGAGTGTGTCTCTCTCTCTCTCTCTGCTCCTGCCTGTATGACGTCCTCTCATTCGACCCTCGCCGCCGCATCCTCGAGGCTGGTCCGTGACGGCGGCCGCTGCTACAAGCCGTCTTCGGGACGCGCGGCGCGCGGCCAATCATGAGTGCGATGCGCGGTGCACGCTGGACGGTAGGCTTCGCACCCTCGCGAATGAACAGGAGTTGATGCCACAGCTGTTGCAGCTGTGACAGCATCAGCCTTGCATTGATTCGGGGGTGGACAGACCTCCTACCCTGACACGCCGAATAAGGAATTGGCCGTTTTCGGTTCGCGAGAGGGCGTCGCGGCCGTCATTTTTGCGGGTACAGGTCCGTCGGTTTCGGTCCCAGGCCGTTTTCACTAAAGGGAGGTTTATTAAAGGGAGGTTTGTCCACCGGCGATTGACTTCGCAGCCCGCATTAGATGGCATCGGCTTCGCACAGGGAAGACAGACAACCACAACGTCGGCACTGCGAGCACTGCGAAGTGCCCTCCCACCTTGCACGAGCGAGGCAATCGGCCCCGAGTCGGCGTGCACTTCGTTTCCTGGGGCTCTTCGTTCCTCGTTCCTCACCCCTCGTTCCTCCCCTCGTTCCTCCCCCTTGCCTCATCCCCTCCCTCGTTCCCCCCCACCCCTCGTTCCTTCCCCCCCATCGTTCCTCCCCCTTGCCTCATCCCCCCCCCTCGTTCCTCCCGCCTCATCCCCTCCCCCTCTTTCCAACCCTCGTGTCAGCCCTGCTCTTAGGAGTGAGTGGTCTGCTGGGCGCGGCGTCGTTCCAGGCGCCCTGCCCAGCCGACGAAGAGAGGAGGACAACGATACAGATCCATTTCGATCCCCCTCCTCGCCTCCCATAGAAACAAGGAACACATTCAGAAGAGGAGGGGGCGATAAGGGGGAAAGGGAGGTGGGTCTGCATGAACGCTCGATTCCCAGAAGGACCATCTCTGCTACTGGCCTGCCGCTCAGCGGTCGGTTTGTCGGGAGCTCCTAACACAGCATCAACGCTGTGTGCCTGGACGATACAGTGGAAACCCATGCCAAGAAGCACCCTGCTTGCCTCCAGGGTGCCTTGGGTGCCTCTGGATGCTTTTGTTCTGGAGAGCGTGGAGCTCCCCACACCAAACATCAGTGGACGCCCTGGGGTCTCAGGGTTGGGCTTCTTGTGGAGAGTCCCCGATGGTCGAGCTCCTACGGTGTGTGGAGGAGGGAGGACCTCTCGTGTGGGAGCGACGGGCCGCGGCCCGACCCCCCCCCCGAGATCGCAGCCCCCCCGGGACACACCGTGTCAGGCTGTCGTGGCGCCTGGGCCCCCCCCACACGCCGAGAGCGCTCGTGGCCGATGGCAGATCTCGGGGCGATCGGCATGGGTGCAGGGGGGGCCCTGCCAAGAAGCACCCTGGTTGCCTCCAGGATGCCCTGGGTTTCCTGGGGTTCGATGGTTTTGGTTGTGGAGAGCGTGCAGCTCCCGCACCAAATAAAGCAATGGACGCCCTGGGGTCTCAGGGTTGCGTTTCTTGTGGCAGTTTTCTCGTGGACTGGCCTCGGCTGTACAGAAATAATGGGCACAAAGACCGACAGCAGTTCCTGATCATTTTGAACAGGATTCGCCGTCGGTGTCGCCGCGGACGCTGTTCATTCGAGCCAGGAGCCCGCCCGCATAGCAGCGGCCGCTTTCGATTTTGGACAACATGTGTTGTTCAGCATCGTACCCATCCTTTCGGTACCCATTTCGAGCGTCCAACAAAAATCAGTGACCGAAAGTGTGGCCGAGAACACTGTGCGATCGAAAGAGTGACCGAAACCGACAATCGGATTGCGTCGCACCAGTTAGATTCGGTCACACTCGGTCGCGTCGGGGGACTGCCAAGCGCTGGTTTCGGTCACGCTCGGGCAGATGTTCGGGCACAGTTTCGCTCTCGACGGCCTCCTGATAGGGACGATGCTACGTGAAGGGTGTTCCCCGGGGGCCAGGTGCCAGGGTGACGTGAGTTCAAGTCTTACGTTGCAACTTCGAGCCACCTTGACCGACGCGGGTTCGATGCGGGCTCGACGCGGATTCGCCGAGCTCAGCCCGGATCCGACTTGGATCCCATTTTCGCAGCTGCGCGACGAGACAGACAAGGTCCCCCCGAAGCTGCAAATTAGCATGTCTGAAGGCTTCGTGCTGTGCACAGGCACCCCCCGGCAGGTAGCACCGGCCGGTCTCAACAGGCCCCCCCGGGTATTGAGTAGCCCTCGGGCTCCGCTGGAGTCGGCGCCAGGGTGCTGACACCGCCCCGGGCTGCTCGGGGGGCCTGTTTGAAGGCAGGCCGAGCTTACCCGGGGGTGGCTGGCGGTGCGCAGCCCGAATCCTTGCCAAGCTGGCACGACGACTTCCTCTCCTCCTCCTCCTCCTCCTCCTCCTCCTCCTCCTCCTCCTCCTCCTCCTGCTCCTGCCCTCCTCCTCCTCCTCCTCCTCCTCCTCCTTCTTCCCTCTTCCTCCTCCTCCTCCTCCTCCTCCTCCTCCTTCCCTCCTCCTCCTCCTCCTCCTCCTCCTCCTCCTCCTCTCTCCCCCTGCTCCTCCTGCTCCTCGTACCAACATGCCCCGCGGCGCCCCCGTGCACCTCACTGCAAGATGCGCCTGCTGGCCCCCGCCTGCCGAGGAGTTCGTCCTCCAGGAGCGGCTGAGGCACCAGGCGGACGCCAACAGGACATCTGCTCCTCCTCCTCCTCCTCCTCCTCCTCCTCCTCCTCCTCCTCATCATCATCCTGCTCCTCCTCCTCTCTCCCTCCTCCTCCTCCCTCCCCTGCTCTCTCTCTCTCCTCCTCCTCCTCTCTCCTTCCTCCTCCTCTCTCTCCTCCTCCCTCCTCCTCTCCTCCTCCTCCTCCTCCTCCTCCTCCTCCTCCTCCTCCTCCTCCTCCTCCTCCTCCTCCTCCTCCTCCTCCTCCCTCCTCCTCTCCTCTCCTCCTCCTCCTCCTCCTCCTCCTCCTCCTCCTCTCTCCCTCCTCCTGCTCCTCCTCCTCCTCCTCCTCCTCTTCCGCCTCCTCCTCCTCCTCTCTCCCTCTTCTTCCTCCTTCTCTCTCTCTCTTCTTCCTCCTCCTCCTCCTCCTTCTTCTCCTCCTCCTTCTGCTCCTCCTCCTCCTTCTCTCTCCCTCTTCTTCCTCCTGCTCCTCCTCATCCTCCTCCTCGTCCCTTCGTGTCGTATCAGCTTGGGGATCTGGCCCGCGGGCGGCCGAAGCCGAGAGGGCGAGGAGGCCGTGCAGGTTGCCTCCTCGGTCCCGTCACGGCCTGCATGAGTCTCGTTGTGCTGCACGTGGGGCCTGGGGTCAGGGGGCGAAATCGGAAACTGGAACATATACATTACCAGTGGCGGGTTGTTTTTTCAATCCCAGGACTTTTTGAGGGTCGGGGACGACGCTGGGGTGGTGTGGTGTATCCTTTTTTCCCTAGTGTCCCGCGGAAACAACGAAATTGTAGACACCAGGGTTTTGTATACACCAGAATCCGCGTTCCTGTACGAATTTCAGCGCAGGGTCGGGAAAAGCGTCGGTGTATAGAGTTAGTTCCCCTACGAAAGCTCAAGCAGTGGCGAAGCGTCCTGGCTCGCCTATAGGCCCGTCAGAGAATGTTCTAAGAAGCTGTTGTGGTCTGTACAAGGTGTTCTTAGAGCATTTCTGGCGGAATCCGTCTTGTTCTACACATCGGGTTTATGTTATCAGAACATTGTTTACGTTCTTAGAACATTTTTGGGTTCTAAGAGCATGTCGTGGAGGGCCTATAGGAATGCCGGGACGCTCGGTCCCTGTCAAGAAAGCATTGAGGTACCACAGCTCCGTCGTCAGAACCTCCTTGTACAGGGGTCGGGAGCACGAGTTGTGAAATCACGAATGGGTGGTCAGTCTGTCCGGCTGCACCGCACGCGTCGGACAGAAACAAAGGAAAAGAAGGGGTTGCCTGTCACTAAGAGCAAGCACGGGGTTTTTGGATGCAACTCTGGGGAGGTTCAATTCAGAATCGGCGCTGGTGTAGCTCTGGTCCAAATTGGCCCATTCTGGCTCAATCCATTTGAGTCTGGCCGAGTCCCGTTCAATGTGGCTTAACCCCGCTCAGTCCGGCTTACTCACAGGCTCAAGGCGGCCTAATCCAGTTCAAAGGTTTCTTTTTCGGGCTTAAGGGCTTTAGCTGACGAAGCCGCCTCAGTGGCACCAGGAGCAGGACTATCAAGCTGCCTGCGGCAAGTCCCGCCACCTCCGCCAGCCCAGCATTCTGGGTGGCGACTGTTCGAGGGGGTACGGGAAGCCGTCACGTGTAGCACTTCGTGTCTCCAGGCTTAGGATAGATGGGATGAGCATGATGAGGATTATGAGCATTCTGGGTATGATGATGATGATGAGGATCGTGATGATGATGATGATGACGATGATGACGATGATGATTATGTTGATTATTATGACGATGCTTATGGTGATGGTGGTGATGCTGATGATGCTGCTGATGATGATGATGGTGGTGATGGTGATGGTGGTGATGATGATGATGATGCTGCTGCTGATGATGATGATGATGATGATGATGATGATGATGGTGATGGTGATGGTGATGGTGGTGATGGTGATGGTGATGGTGATGGTTACGGTGATGATGAAGAAACTCGTTCGGTTCGTCTTGGAGCTGCCTTGGCCTCTAGTGTTGCAGCTTCGGGGGTCCATTGAGGCCCTCTTGGGCAGTCTTGCTTACGCGGGCCTTGGGCTCCCTTGGGCCGTCTTGGGGCCCTCATTGTCGTGTGGTGGGTGTTTGGGGGCCGTCTTGGGCCGTCGAAGGGCCTTCTAAGGCAGTCTTAGGTTCCACGGGGAGCCCTCTGGGGCCGTCTCTGGGCCGGCTTGGATGTCTATTGGTGGGCTTTCGTGGGGTCCTCTTGGGCCGTCTTGAGCTGACGGCAGCCCAAAAAGGCTACAATGCTAGAATCATTCAAACACCGACAGGTAATCAATGATTTGGGCTTCTTCGGACCCTGTTGGAGGTCCTCTCGTGTCCGCTTTGGCGCCCTTTGAGGCATCTTGAGCCGTCTTGAAGCTATATTCGGCCGCCTTGAGACCATCTTGGGCAGTTTTCGAGACATCTTGGGCCATTCCGATTTCCTTGGTTGCTTGCACGGGCCGTCTTGGAAGCTCGGGACGCAGCGCCATCGTTTCTAACGAGGGATCGCGGCTCGGGGGGCCCTGGAGCGCTTGGGAGCAGCGCCTGGGACTGCGGGAAGTGCACGATCCGCGAGCGAGTGCGTGTGGGATGAGGGGTCTGGGCGTTAGCAGCCATGCTGGAAGTGCACCATCCTCGAGCGGGCGCGCGTGGAAACGGGGTTCAGGCATTAGCTGCCATACGGGAAGTACGCCATCCTCGAGCAAGCACGCGTGGTAACGGGGTTTGGACATTCGCTACCTCGCTGGAAGTGCACAATCCTCGAGCAGGCACGAGGAGAGTGGCCTCGGAAAGGAGTGGCGATGCATGCACCAGTCCGTCAGTTGGGGGGGGTGCCGTATTAGATTGCAACAAACCCTACCAGACAGATTTTGGCAGTCTTGCGCACCTCTCAACGTGCCAGGGGGGACGGTGGTGGATCAGAGCGGTGTACTTAGGCGCGGGTGCCGATCGCAGCAAGATGACGACGGTGGGGCGGGTGAACGGGGTGGCGACATTGGATGGGACGCCCGTCATTGTAGTAAGGCCGGTGGGGGCAGGAATGTCCGTCATGACGGCCATATCGAGTGTTGTGACGGTGGTGACGCTGAGGAGGGTGGTGTCGACGCCTCGGTTCTTGTGGGTTAGTTTTCCCAATAATCCTTGCACGTTGGGATTCTCGCTTGTGTTGTTTACCAGCTTGAATTTGAAACATATCCCTACCGCTATGTTTGGAAGCACCTAACCTCGGTGCCGATCTCAAGGATTCCTTCAGTTTCTGAGGGCACATCTCAAAGATTGGCGTCGCCTTGGGCTTTCCGATCTAGGGATGGTGATATGTCCGAGGCTGTTTACCTGTGTCTGGTGACCCATGGTGCTTGCCCTAACCGCAACAGGTGTTTATCGAAGCCCCTCCCAATAATGGACAAGTCATTGTTTTTTTTTCCTGGGGGCTGCTCGAGGGTTGCCGACACCAGACAATGCTCGGCAAATGCCCATTCCGCCGCCGTCGGCGCCGTCGCGGAGGAAGAGGTGAAGGGAAGGAGGAAGAGGAGGAAGGAGAGGAGGAGGGAGAGAAGGACAGGGCGAACCGGGGGACGCACAGAGTTTATTGCCAGCCAAGAGTTTGCTTGGGGGGGGCGGCAGGACTGAAGGCCTCCTGCGGTTATTGTTAGCGCCCTTGGTTGGCGCCCTACGGTTGGTGCCATGTGAGTGGTTCCCCATGGTTGGTGCCTCATGGTGGGCCACTCTGTGGCTCGCCCCACAAATTGCCCATCGTAGATTGTCCCCTGTATAGATTCCCACCTCCAGAGAATAATCGTGTCTCGAGGCCAGACTTATCGGTTCCTCCTGATATATATATATATATATATACATATATATTTATTTATATATATATATTGCAATTCACATGTGATGTTGCTGCATCGCTCAAATCAGACCATCCCAGAACGGCCGGTATCGAATGTCCCCCGCCATCTCTTTCAAAGGATACCTTGCGTGCGCTCGTGTATCTCAACAGATGAACTGTCAATAACCGGTTACAGAAAAACGAAGCCCATTCGCGCTCACATTTCGAAACCATACCAAGCACACCAGTTACGAAACCGTTGCAGCCAACGAAACTTGACGGCTCATTGGTTTTGCAATTAGAATCATGCGATGTTTCAGCCCGTTTATTTCTTGAAGGCATATGATAAACGTGTAGAACCATTGGTTTTACGAAGCGTCCAGTTCGAGCCTTTTCAACAACATTGCCAGCACAGCGTATTGTCAGCACCACGTCTGCCAGATCTCGTTGGATTTCTGCGCGCGCTCGTCCTCATCTTCCTCATCAGCGCCATTGCATGACTGCCGTTATCGACATCGTCATCGACATTGCCACCATCATCATCATCACAATCACCTTCATCACCGACAAATGGACTTCATCACCGTCTTCATCGTCGTCACCATCGTCGGCGCCGTCATTGGTTGGCCTTGCCGTCGTCCTCATCATCGCCACCACCATCGCGATTGTGACCATCGTTGCCGCCGATGCCGACGTCATCATGGAATCGCGCTCTCCCGAGTCACCGACTCGCATTGGAGTGCCCGCGCGCCAGCGCGGCCGTCGAGATGCGCTGGGAAGCTCCCATCGGCTAGCGCGCACGAGGCCGCATCAGTTGCGCCACGCCAGCTGGTGACTCCTCGCGCGAGCGTGCGCGCGCCAATGCCGCCGTAGAGTTGCACGAGCAAGTTTCAACCGGGAACAGCAATCGTGGCCGAATGGGTTTTGCCAAACACGTTGCGGATGTGAGTATGAGATGTTTGCACGAGCAATGGAGTTGACGGCTTCAAGTTTTTCAAGTTAGGTTACACACATGGATGGCACCCTCCACATGTCATAGTGTCGTTGTTCGGGGCCAGCATGCTGACATTACAAGCGAATGCGATGGGCGCGGAGATAGAAACATAATATTCCGTCCGTTGAGTGCTGACCTTGCTCTCGCCCTCCTTATGTTCATACCGGTCCATACGTTTTTTTCCGTGCTTTTTGTTTCATTGATGTGTTACGTATGTAAGTTGGGCGCAAGAGCGGTGAATGAGACAAAGCATTCCATTTCACTTGGGGGGGGAGGGATGCACTTCTGACCACAACCTGAGTAATCACAACCTCAAGGATCATGAGCCGAATAGTCCATCACACAACGTCGTGTGAGACACGTGTGTCGCCTCAGCCGGCTCGTAACGTCTGTATGTCGTCATTGGTTATCGTGTCTATTTTGCTGCTATTGGTTGCTGCTTGTTTCAGCGTCGTCCCCTCAGCGCGATTGGTTGCAGATGCGCGAATTGACCCACAAGGCCGATGACACAGATCAGCACACTGTGATGGTGACTTGTCATTCCGAGCTCAAGGCCGAGTATGGCCACGTGCAGCATTTCAAGGCGGCATCGTTGTGTCTTGCTGCTCTGTGCACCACTGCACGAGCCACTGTAGAAGAACCTCCCGGCACCAAGACGTGTCTAGACCTCGCCAAGTGACTGATCTAGCATTTTGTAGATCTCATGCCAAAGGCATTTATCATTTGGACGCTCAGAGATCGCTTATTTCTTGCTTTGCTGTCTCGGGACCCCCCGCGAAGCCCTCGGTCACCGAAGCCACCTGGGGCGTTCCAAGAAAAGCCTTGCGCTCGAGGATCGAAGGAGTTATCATCTCTTCCGCCGCGGAAGGCGGCGGAAGGGCGGCGGAAGGTCGGCGGAAGTAAAAAGAGGCCGCCTCCGCGGGCGGAAGCCGTCGGACGGGCGGCGGAAGGCGGCGGAAGGAAAACAACGCCTTCAAAGGATGAACACGTTTTTGGGTTCAGTGTTTCAAATCGCCCACCTGAGTGTTTCAGCCTTCCTGGCAAGGACAAAGAAGCAACAGATGCAGGTCGCGGCGCTGAAGGGCCTCAGCGGTCGCTGCAGGCTATATACTGCGGGAGGAGCAGGGGGACCTGGGTCGGGGCTGGGGGGGGGAGGGAGGGGAGGCAAATGGGGGGAGGGAAGGATTAGGGGAACGGAACGAACAATGACATAAGCATAAAAACTCCGATGTCCGCGCGGATTTCTCGGTTCCGCGCTGGACCCCCCTGGCGGCGCTTCCGGCGCCGCCTGCGTGCCAGGGAGGGGGGTCCAGCGCAGATTCAAGAGATCCACGCGGAGCGCCAAATGTTCATGTCTGTGGCGTTGCTTCTTCTTCTAGGGAGGGAAGGATGGAAAATAGGGAGGGGGAGTGGGACGGGACAGGGGAGGGCAGAAGGGAGGCGGGAGAGGATGGCAGGGCGGGGGTAGGGTAGAGGGGAAAGGGGGAGCGGAGAAGGAGGGTGGATGTGAGAGGGGAGGGCGACAGGGTCAGTGCGCCCCCACCACGTCTGAAAGCCTGCCCTTCTCGCCCATCCCTTCCCATGGCTGGTGCTCGTACCCTGTCGGGAATTGGAGCATCTACACTACCAGTGGCGGGCTGTTTTTCAATCCCTGGACTTGTTGACGGTCGGGGACGACGACGGGGTGGTGTGGTGTCTACATTTTTCCCCGTTCTCCCCGGGGAAAGAACGAGACATGTATGCACCAGGACCCCGTATATACCGAGGTCCGCTTTCCCGTGCGAACCTCAGCGCGGGGCCAGCAAACGGCATCCGTGCACAGAGTGCGGCTCCTCCTCTCCGCCCGGCGGGCGTGGGCGTGGCCTTCGTCGAGGCGTGGAGCGCGGCTCCTCCCAAGGCGCCAGCCGTCTCACGCAGGCTTGGCATCGCTCGGACGTGTGCATGTTTTCTCGGCGAGGACCATCGAAGAGCATCCTGGATCATCGAGCAAGAAAAACACGCGCGAAACCGACAAACGCACAGGGAATGGACGTCCGAGCGACGGCAAGCAGGTCTGCTGGGTGCACCCGTGTGGAAAACATCTCGACGCAGGGAGCCCGAGGGTTGCGTTGCATCTTCGGGGGACTTCGCCTGTCCCCAAGCTTGGTGTCGTTTTCTTGTGCCCAGCGCGGGCTCGCTGTGCGGACTTGACGCGCACTTGGCGTGGATTCGGCGCGGATTGGACACGGATTCGACGCGGACCCGACATGGATGCGAGACCGATTCGACGCGGATAGGGCCGAGAGGGGACAGACAAGGTCCCCCGAGGATGCAGCATAATCAGGGCACGACGCCACGCCAGGAATGCGGCCAGTGTTAGGGCCAGGGCGCGAATCGATAAGACCACGCAGACATCTTGACTCGGAAAGGTCGCCCGAAATGGGTACGGAAATAATGGTACAATGCCCAACAACAAATGTTGTCACAAACCAACAGCGGCCGCTGTTGGGCAGGCGGCCTTCTGTCTCAAATGGACACAGGCCGCGGCGACACCGACAGCGAGTCCTGTTCAGAATGAACAGGAACTGCTGTTGGGCATTGTACCCATTCTTTCCGTACCCATTTCGGGCGTCCAAAACAGAATATTCTAGGTAAGAGCCCGTTGTGGTCTGCACGAAGTGTTCTCTCAGAGCATTTCTGGCCGAGGACGCCTTGGTTTAGTATCACCTCGGGTTCACGTTCTGAGAACCTTGCTTTTGTTCTTAGAACACTCCTGGGTTCTACGCACATCTTTCGTTAGGCATGCCTACAGGAATGCCGGGGCGGTCGGTCCAGCTACCTTTGCTCACTGTCGCCTTCTTGGGCCTCCTGGGAGGCCCTCGTCGCCACGGCTGCACTCGCCGCGACGTTCTGCTCATAGATCGCATCCCGGGAGGGGCCCGGGAAGTGGCGGCTGACTTCTGCGACGCGGGAGCACCCAGGGGCACGGCGACGCCGCTAGTCAGGAGGGGAACAAAAAAACACAGACACAGTTAGTCGTCGACTCCCAGGAAAATATGGGAAGTGGGGGGGAAGACAAGCACCCCGAACATATGGGGAAATATGGGGGATCATCTGATTTGAGTGTATTTCTTTTGCGTGCCCCTGGGCCCCTTGAATTGGACCCGGCGGAATCCAACAGAAGCCCTTGCGCGCGCCGACGCCGCACGAGCCTGTGTCAACCGCAGCGGTGCAGGGTGCCCGTCTGCCTCCTCTCTCGGTCCGGCAGGTGCAGATCGCTGCATAGGGCGGCGAGCGGCGCGCACGTGCCTCCGCTCTGCGTTGTGCTCGCCCTCCTCCCTTCCCCCCCTCCGGCCTCGTGCCTCTCGGCCACGGGGCTGAAGCCGGATGGTAGTCATCGGGTATAGTCAGAGCCCCGAATCATCAGGAGTAACTCGGGTCAGGGATAACTCGGGTTCCTTTTTCGGGAATCCAAACCCGAGTTACCCCGGACCCGAGTTACCCCGGATAACTCGGGCGTCCAGAGCCCCGAATCATCAGGGGTAACTCGGGTCAGGGATAACTCGGGTTCGTCTTTCGGGAACCCAAACCCGAGTTACCCCGGACCCCGAGTTACCCCGGATAACTCGGGCGCCCAATATAGCCAGGGCCCCTGGTTACGGGGAGTCGGTTCGCGATTGGACCCCCAAAGCCCAAGTAGGTAAGTTAGGCTGGAATCACTGAACCAGATCTGCCGCAGCTGCCACCACCCAGCAGACCACCCCAACCCAGCCCGAAGGCCCCAGTTGGCCCCCCATGCCCAGTGTGGGGGGGGGGAGGCCGGGGAACCCTGCACAGAGCGCATAGGAAGCCCGTATCTCCCCCCCCCCCGAACCCGAAGTGGGGGTCTTCGGGCTGGGTCGGGGCGGTCTGGTAGGCAGTCGAGCTGTTTTTTTGCCTCCGCGCGACGGCAGCCCACGCGGGCGGCGACTTTTGCCGCCGCGCGACGGCAGCCCACGCGGGCGGGGAGGGCCAGGAGCCCCGCCCCGCCGACGCCCGACGCCTGGAGGAGGGGGCGGGGCGCGCGCCGTCCTCCCGCCCTGCCCCTCCGCCTCCCGCCCTCGGCCCCCCCCGCCGCGCCCTCCCCCCCGGGGGACGGGGCGAGCCCGTCCGGGCATGTTGTTTTGTCCTCCGCGTGCTACACAGCCCGGGGTGTACACGATGCGCCGCTGACGGCACCACCACCTGCTTTCCGCCCCCCGGTACTTCGCCTCCGGGTTCCTGTCCAAGGCGTTGCTTTTCATGCACTTCGCTTTCAGCACCGCCTGATCCCTGGGCTTTGCCCTCTCTCGGCCTTGACGTTAATCCCCGCCTTCTTTTTCCCTTCCTCTGTTAGTTAAAGCTGTGCGCGGCCCGCTTAGCTTCGATTGGAAGAGGCTCGCTATCGACCCGCGAATCAAACAAGTGTTACACAGCCTGGGAGGAGCCGCGGACGAGCTGCGAGTTTCCCGGCTCGTCTCGTGAAGAAGTCTCGTGGCTCCCCCCCACTCCTCGGACTCCCAGGGGCCCGTTTTCGAGACGCCCTGGCCTCTGCTCTTGGGAGCTCCTGCTGGTCCCCCCCCCCCCGCCTCAGTTCTCCTCTGGTTCGCCCGGTGCCCCGCTGCCTCCCCCCCCCCCCTGCCTCTGCCTGTCCCCCACCCTTTATCCCCTACCCGGTGCTCATATGGAGAACCACGGCGTCTTGGACTTTCTGGGCATGGGCGCCAAGAGGCCGAGCCGCAGTGGATATGGATACTCTGGATCGCTTGATGGTCGCCCCCCCCCCCCTCACCCTTTGGAGTGCCCGGGGAGGTTGGCCGCGGCGCGTCCGCGGGGGTGCCAGGGGGGGGTCTGGGGTTTGATCCCTTCCCCGCTGGGGCGCGAAGGTGGTGCCGGGGGGGGGGGTTGGCCGCGCCGCGTTTTCACGTTTGTCACCCCTTGGTTTATTAATAATAAGTTGAAGTGCAAATCAAGCCTCCAGGGGGGTCTTGCCCATATCCACTGCGCCTTGGGTGTCTGGGAAGGGAGCCCCAAACTCCAAGATGCAGTGGATGTGGATACACATCTTGCCCGCACCCTTCGCCCATGCCCTTGATAAAACTCACCGTTGGGCGGTTCTGTTCAAAGAACTTCAAAGTGAGAGCTGGCCTGATTGAGCCCCCAGCGCCCGCCGACAGAAGCGGAGAGCTGTCTGCCACAGGGGTCTGTTCCTGTCTGAGTTGTCGTCAGCTGCCCATCGGTGAGATCTGCAGTCTGGTCGGCAATCGTCTCCTAATCGTCTCCCCTCCCTCTCACCCCAACTCTGCAGACCCCCAAAAGGGGTACGACCAGATGGAGTCGTGGGATCGCGCCGCACTGGCGATGCATCGGCGATGCGGCTCGATGTGGTGCCCGATTTTCACTACGCGGACGGCTCCGATGCATCGCCGACGTCGCTGGTGCATCGCCGATGCATCGGCGATGCATTAGCAATACGGCGAAATCTTTCGACCCCCTCTACAGTCTACCCGCACAGTAACAAGGATGAGTAACGTTCCAATGTTCCCCTTGCATCCTTTCCCTTCGGCCCGTCCTTGGCCGCCTTCGCTGGCCGCGCCCCGCCCGCAACGCGCCCCACCCGCAACGTGACCTTCCAAGGCCCTTGCATCCTTCTCGTGCGTCCTTATGATACGGGTTGGCTGCACTTGCACCCCCCTCCTCACTGGGGGGCCTCTCCCCCAATCCCCCACCCCCTGCCCCCCAGTCTTACGTCGGGCGTGTCCCTCTACAGGGGGGATAGTCAAGAACAGTAAAAAGCAGTCGGGTGACGATTCGTCGTGCTCTTTTGTCGTTTTTTTGCGCATCGTTTGGCCATTTTTCTTTTTTCCTTCCAACATCCGCCTGTAGGAGAACGTGCCCGACCAGAACCCGCTCCCCCGCCCCCTGCCCCCAGCCCCCCGCCAACCCCATCCCCCGCGCCCAGGCGCGGCGCCCTCCACGAGACCTTCGGCGCCTGGAAGGCGGTGTACCACCAGGCGCTACAGGCGCTCCCCGCGCGGGGGCCGCCTCGGCGGCGGCGGCGGCGGCGGCGGCGGCGTCGGCGCTGGCGCCGGCGTCGGCGTCCTCGTCGCCGTCGTCGTCGTCGTCCTCGTCGGCGTCGTCGTCGTCGTCGTCGGCGTCCTCGTCCTCGTCCTCGTCCTCGTCCTCGTCCTCGTCCTCGTCCTCGTCCTCGTCCTCGTCCTCGTCCTCGTCCTCGTCGTCGTCGTCGTCGTCGTCGTCGTCGTCGTCGTCGTCGTGAGCACTCCAGCGGAGGGAAGGAGGAAATCCACGCCGCATCGACGGCGTCGAGGGGAAGCGGGTTCGGAGGTCTCGTCCACTGTCGTCGGGCTCCCGGGGCCCTCCACGTGCCCCCGGGTGCGTCACGAACTGGTCTTGGGGGAGAGGGCACCCGGGTCCAGGGCCCGTTGCCCTCGGGCCCCGCTTCCCCGATTCAGCCACGCGAGCTGGCGGTCGAAGAGCTGCCGAGGGGCCCAAGATCCTCCTGCTCTTCCTCCTCCTCCTCCTTCTCCTTCTCCTCCTCCTCCTCCTCCTCCTCCTCCTCCTCCTCCTCCTCCTCCTCCACTGGTTCCTCTGGTTCCCAAAGGTCGTGGCCACATCCTCCTCCTCCCCCTCCTCGCCCTCCCCTCCTCGGGACAACGGAGCAGGAGAGGAGCAAGAGGTGGCCGGTCCTTTCCCAGACCCCCTCGAGTTATGAAAAAATCATGACGCGAGGTTTTTCATGATTTTCGGCCTTTTGGGGGCCCTTACCGGCCCTCGGGACCGTCAAAGAACGACTCGGGACGAGAAACCGGTCCCGGGGAGTGGGTCTGGACCTCTGGGGGTCGACGTCATGAAAAATTCATGACGTCGGGGGTCTGGGGAGGGGGGTGGGGGGAGGGGGGGGGCTTCTTAGAAGCACCCCTGCTCCTTAGAAGGCGTGGGCCTCATCCATAGATGTAAGGCCGGCGCCTTCTAAGAAGCAGCCTGCTTCTAAGAGGCCCTCCCCCCCTCCCCCCACCCCCTTGTGCGCGCCGCCAACCGATGCTGAGCTCGGGGAGACAGAAGACTCGAGCACGCATGAGCTCGGGCTTGCCAACGCTGCTTGACGAGCCCGTCCTGGATTCTGACGGTCCAGTTTCCCTGGGATGTTCGCAGCGGGAGTTCGCGTCAAATTTCAGATTGGGGCTCGTCATTTTCATGATGGCCGCGTCGGACCAAGCCGAGTTCCCCGTACCCGAGTCTTACGTCTCCCCGATCGTCCTCGCCGCGTCGACGGCGTGGCGGGCGCATGCTTGACTGATGTACACAGCATCTTCATGACCGTGGACATACTTGGAAATGTGGGTCCTTCCGTGTTCATCGTGCCTCCTCCCTTTCAATCGTCTCTCTTCTGCCTCTGCCTCTTCTGCCTCCTATCCTTCAGGCCTTTCCTGCCCTACCCCCGACGGCGATGGCGGCGTCGTGGCGCTCGGTGGCGCAGGGGGGGGGGGGCGGGAGCCGTCCTTCTTCCTCGTGGCTGGCCGGTTGAGGCGCAGCGCCAGCCGAACCACGAAATGATCTTAGAACATTTCTGGCTGGGACTGTCTTGTTTTACCGCATCGGGTTTATGTTCTAAGAACATTGTTTTCTTCGTAGAACATAGCTGGGTTCTGAGAACATTTTGTGGTAGGACTATAGGAATGCCGGGACGGTCGGTCCATGCTCAATTAGTCGTGCCTGGTGTCAGCTGTGACTTATGAGGTATGTTTAACGGCACCTCAGCAGAGTAGGTCTATAATGTCGGAACCGTCCTTCATGCTGTTCATTAATGCGTCATTGTTCTACTCGTCTTTCCCGTCCGCCTCTGTCGCTCTTTCGCCTCCTGCCGATGTTCTCCTTACTCGTGGTCGTGCTCCTTGTCACCATTTGCCTCCCACATATTGTCGTCAGCTGGCAGCTCTGATTGTGTCCCAGGCGCTGTCTCGCCAAATGGCCAAGAACGAGTGGGTGACGAAGCTGTCTGGAATGATGTCCAAGAAGGCAGCATCCTACAACATGTGATGTGACGTCGGAATGGAGAAGTGAGTGCACCGGCGGAGAAGAAGTAATTACATTTGGCACGGGGGACAGAAGAGAGGGGCGGGAGAGGAGGGAAGTACGACGAAGAGAGTGGAAAGCACACGAGAGGTGGAAGTGACGGCTCGAGAGAAGGAGAGTGGGGGAGGGCGAGAAGTGCACGAACACATCGAGAAGGTGAAGAGCCGAAGACAATGCACCATTCGATGGTGGCTCTCGCACATCTGCTGCACCCCATGCACATCTGGTATGTGGTCAGGCGGGGCTTGCGAATCCCAGCCATCTCTCATCAGTCGCGGGCTGCTCGGCCCCACGCTCTGCACTTCTCTCGGACGTGCTTCCCGAACGCAGGAAACAGCTGCGCGATGCGCACCTGTGCGTAGATGATCGCGTAGGTGCATCGGTCGAGGTATCGTTTTACATAGGCGTCTAAGGACACATGGGTCGAGTCGTCGAGCTAAAGATGCACATGCAAAACAATCGATGAGCCTGCGCGATGTAAGTAGCAATGTAAGTGAATGCGCGCAAGCTCAGGTGGAGGAGATTGCGCAGGTGCGGCCTTGCGAAGCGGCGGGAGCTTCGATAAACATTGGTGTCGCGTCAATGGTAGAGCTCGGACGGGAGGAACAGCTGAAGGTTGATGTACCAGGGGATATGGCAGTGTAGAGCACGGCATGCTGGAGCTGGCTATGGTAGGGCCAATCAGCGCTAGATAGGGGAACCTGCCAGCTAACACCGCGCCGAACCATGTGTCCCCTATGATTCGCAGCAGCCTGAAATTTCCATAACTCTGTCACAACATAGTTCACCCTTGCCCGCCCTCCCAACCCCCCCCCGCCATGATTATAGTGGAGGTCCATGCCAAGAAACACCCTGCTTGCCTCCAGGGTGCCCTGGGTTTCTTGGGTTTCGATGGTTTTGCCATGGAAGTCGTGACGTTCCCACGCCAAAAATCGATGGACGTCCTGGGGTCTCAGGGTTGGGTTTCTTGTGGCAGGTTTCTTGTGGTCGGGCCCCCACTGTACTTGATGATGCTCCGCGTAGCCTGGACAACGATATCCAGCTGGCTGAGGCAGATCCCGCCGCCGTGCCAGGCCGGCGTTCTGGGTGGCGAGCGTGCGAGCGTGGGAGCGCCGCGATGAGGATGGGATGATGATGATTTTGGTGATGGTAGCGATGTCGATTATGATGTGAGTGTTGCTGCTCATGCTGGCGACGATGACGACGGCGATGATGACGATCATGACGACGATGACGACGACGATGGCGACAACGATGACAATGGTAATGGCGATCAAACTGATGCTGATGATGATGAGGAGGAGGAGGAGGGTGGTGGTGGTGATGGTGGTGATGATGATGATGATGAGATGGAGGAGGAGGACGACGGTGATGATGATGGTGGTGATGATGATGGTGGTGGTATTGGTGTGTGTGTGTGTTGATGCTGCTGGCAGTGAGGACACTGATGGTGCTGATGATGGTGGTGGAGATTATGGAATGTGGCGGGTAAGGATGAGGATGATGAGGTGGATGAGAATGATGATGGTTGTGGTGGCAATGATGTTGATGATGCCAATGACACTGCTAATTATACTGGTGATGATTGCGATGATGACGACGATGACGACGACTACGAGGTTTATGATGATACTGATGATGGTGATGATGATGCTGCTGATGATGATGCTGACGATGCTGATGATGATGAGGCTGGTGATGATGATGCTGCTGATGATGATGACGATGATGATGATGACGATGATGATGATGATGATGATGATGATGCTGATGATGATGATGATGATGATGATGATGATGATGGTGTCGACCACGACGACGACGACGAAGACGACGACCATGAGTTTGAGGAGGAGGAGGAGGAGGAGGAGGAGCAGGGAGGAGGAGGAGGAAGAGGAAGACCGTCGCATGTGACACCTTTCGTCTTCACTATTCCAGGAGCTCTCATGGCACTCGTTTGGGTCGTATTGGAGCAATCCTGGCCTCCTGTGAGGCAGTCTTCGGGGTCTCTTGGGGCCCTCTTGCGCCGTCGTCTTGGGGGCCTCTTGCGCTGTCTTGGGGCAGTCTTGGGTGCCTCTTGAGCCGTCTTGGGCCATGCTGGACCATTTCGGTATCGTCCCGGTTGCCTTGGAAGCCGTCCGGGGGCGGCGAGTGCGGTCCGAAAAGGTACCCAAACGGTACCTAAACGAGCCCCCTGGGGCTCTGGAGGGGCCCGAAAGGGGCACGAAAGGGGACCTTTTCTGACCCCCCCATTTGTGACCCCCCCATTGAGCCACGCCCAGCTGGGAGGCCATTGTGGCCGTCCAGAGGCCAAGCACACGCCACAGAGCAGATTGGCGGTGCTCGAGGCACGCGCGCCGACCAGCGAGGGCGGGGTCGGGCCCCAGAAGACTTTTACACGGTCGTTTGAGGCCACGGGCGAGCATTCCGACGCGCACACGCGCTCTGTGCAGGCACGGGTGGCGGCGGGCGCTCGGGGGGCTCGGAGCGGGCAGCCCGCGGCGCACAGGGACGCGCTGAGACTCGGCGGGGGGGGGGGGGGGGGCGTCAGCCACGCGCAGAGGGGGGTGGGGGGAGGGGGGAGGGCCTCTCAGAAGCGCCCCTGCTTCTTAGAAGGCGCGGGGCTTATCGATAGATGCAAGGCCGGCGCCTTCTAAGAAGTCGCAGGCCTAGAGGTTGACACCAACAACAATATCGGCGGTGCTCCTCCACCGAGGAAAAAAGATCCCGATCTCGGTGATGGTGGTAATATTCTGGCTTCAAGGTGACCGAAATATTACCACCAACACCGAAATCTAGGATCATCTCTCCCCTGTGGAGGCAGCCCCCTGTCTTGGTGTTGGTGCCTGTTTCCAGGCCCCCAGTTGTGCGCGCCGCCAAGGGCGGAGTCCCCGCGGCGGTGCGGGAAGGGCCGCGCGCCGTGCCGCAGCGGCTGCTGCTCGGCATACATAGGGGGCCACGCGCGAACCCCGCCCCCACGCCCCCCACGATGCCCGAGGGGGAGGGCGGGGCTCCCTTCGCTCGGGAGCCCTCGAGGGAGGTGATGCCCACCCTCCCCCCTCCGAAAAATCGTGGGGGGTAGGGGTAGGGGGGTGGGGTTTGTGCATGTGCCCCCCCGATCGGCAGGAAGGGAAACAACACACAGAGACAATGAATCATCGGTTCCCCAGAAGATATGGGAAAATATGGGAAGTGGGGGGGAAGACAAAAGCACAGAAATTACATGAAAATATGGGGAATGGTGTTATTTGTGTGTATTTATTCGTGTGTTCCAGGGCCCCTTTTCATATCGGCAGGCCACGCCGGACAACCTGAGCCTGCTGTCCACGTGCCTGAACGAGTGGTTCCGAGAGGCCTGCAGGCCAGCGCCGCCCCTCTCTTGCCCTGCAGCGCACGGGGTCGACCGAGCCCCTCCCCGCAGAAGCTCTCCTGCTCGGGGGGGGGGCAGGCGTGGAGGGGGGCCGCGGCCGCGGCCGCCCGCCGCCCGCCGGGGAGGGCCCGGCGAGGCCTGCAGCCGCCGACGCTCTCGCGGGCCCCCCCAGAGGTCTGAGAGGTAGAGCTAAGTCGGGCGTGTCCCCCTACAGGAGGAAGATTCCGCCATAGTCAACAACATAGTCTGGGGGCCATTTTGCGTGTGTATTTGCTGGCCATCTTGGAGCATTTCTGGGGCATGTTTTCTGGATGGGATTTCTGGGATTTCCCACGAGAGATGCAACATGCCCCAAAAATGCTCCCAGATGGTCAACAAATACACACAAAAAACGGTCCCCAGACAATTTGTTGACTATTGTTTAATATTCCTCCTGTAGGGGGACAGGCCCGACCTAAGGCAACTGCTGCTCGGCGGCGAGCGAGGGGGAGAGAGAAGTGCGAAGGGGCGGGCCCCCTCAGAAATGGCTCGGAAGTCCCTGGGCCTTCCGAGAAGTTTCCTGAGCCTTCCCCGAAGACACAGAAAAGCTCTCAGAAGGCCGGAGGGCTTCTGAGAAGTTCCGCCGCCTCCTGAGAAGGCCTTCTTCTTCTCACTTGCCCCCCTCGCTCGCCGCCGAGCAACCTCTGCGCGAACTGCTTCCGTCGGCGCCGAGGCGGAGGCGACCCGCACCAGCGAAAGGGCCAACCAGGGGCAGCGATTGGCAGACTGTCCGGCGTGCCAGAGAGCGGTGGGGGAGCGGAGGGCGGCCGCGCGGGGGGAGAAGGAGGTGGGCGCTCAGACGCGGAAGAATTCCGCGGTGAGCGGGCCGGAGCACCTCTGCACAAGCAGGACAGGGCCCTTGGGTGCAGGCCTTGTTTGGGAGATTGGCAGGTTTCGGTCGTGGCTGGTCAGGCGATCGTTTTCTGATTCCTTGTTTTGCCGATCGGCGCGGGCCGTCGCACCCACCCTTGCCCCCCCCCCTGTGGAGTAGATCTTTTGGCTGTCTTTGGCGCCTGTTTCAGGCAAGTGGAGTCTCCCCCACAGGATGCTCTGCTGCAAACAGTCGCACAAAGCAGAGGTTCAGAGCCAGACCCCCCATCTTCCCCCCCCCCCTTTCCGCCCAGTGTCGAAACGCCGAATCAGGAAACGTTGACCATGGGTTCCAACTGGAGGGCCGTACAGGGGCCACAGCGGGGGAGGGGGCAACCCGACCGTGGTTGGCGATACAGTCGGGGCCCTGAAGAAGGAACCCTTTTCGTTGGGGAGGGGCTCCGCGTTCCTTAAGTGTTTCACAGCTTGCCTCAGGCTTTCCTTAATTATGTTTCCGACAGGAAATCGAAGGTTACTTATGGAAAAAAGGGGCCTCGTTCCTTATTTAGGGTTCCTTAGGTCAACGCCCCGACTGTACGGGCACAAGTGACCCACAAGCGGTTGCCAGCTAGCGTCAGGGGGAGTCGAGAACGGGTGCGGGGCCGGAGTGAGAGCGGGTAGGCCCAACTATGGGTGCGTTCGCGCCACGCCTGGCATCCTTTTCCTCCCTCCAGTCCCTCCCCACTCTTGCTGAATTTGTCTTTATCCGCGGACGCGTGTCATAGCCGACCTGGACCCCCACTACCCCAGAAAAAACACCCTACTAGCATCAAAGGTGACCTGTGGGACCGATGGGGCAGGCGGAGGATTTCGGAAGAGGTGCGGATTTGTGTTGGAAGTTCTTTTACACAACTGTCCAGGACCATGTAGAAGCCTCTCAAAACCCGTAGCGCCCTTTCGAGCTTCTCGGAATCTCTTCCTCCTCCTCCTCATCCTCTTCCTCCTCCTCTCCTCCCTCCTTGCTTGGGCGCACTGCTAAGCCCGCGCGCTCCCTCCCTTAAGGCACGCGGAAGGGCCAGCAGCTGCTCCCCCCGCACTGACCCGCAGGGATTCGTAATCGTAAGGTGACGAGCCTCTCTTGCGGGGCCACCACGGAGCTCACTCCTTGAGCACCGTGGTATGCCCCCTGCCGGCCCTAGTGAGAAGGGAGGGTCGTTGCACAACCAATCGCAAGGGGTTTTGTCAGAAGCGCGCAAGGCACCAACGTAGGTGTTTTGACGTTGAACCCCCTTTTATGCGGATGTCCTGTCCTGTCCTCCTCCTCCTCTTCCTCCTCCTCCTCCTACTCCTTCCTTCCAGCACTCCCCCCAGCAACGGTCCTCTACAGACTGGCCCCTGGACCCATCCCGTGCCTCATGCACCACCCTGACCCGGAGTGCACTGGTTACTCTGGTCAACCTCCGCCGCGTATCGCCACGGAGTGCACTGGTTACTCGAGAGTTGTGGCGGTCGTCCCCTCCCTCATGCCCCTCTTTTTCTTCAACAAAAAAAGCTATGGATTGCTAGGAGTTGCGTGTCTTCTCTTGTGCCCGACGCGGGTTCGATGCGGACTCGACGCGGAGTTGGCGTGGATTTGATGAGGCTCCGGCACGGATTCGACAGACCCGACGAGTCAGACATAGACTCGACACGGATTCGACGTGAACAGGAACGCGACGGGACAGACAAGGCCCCCCCAGGATGCAACAAAAGTGAGCGCGCCGACGCCCGAATAGTTTTACGGGTTGCTAGAGCACGACAAGTATTCGACGCGCACCACAGTGCACAACAACCACCACGACACCCACCACATGCTTCAGCAACGGAAGCACACTGGCGATCTACGCACACCGCAGCGAACAGCAACCACCACCACATCCACCACCTGCTTCAGCAATGGCGGCACCCTGGCGATGAACATCGGAACGAACGCCGTGCAGGGCTACCGGAGCAACGGCACCAACGGCAAGGGCAAATGTAGTTCCCCAAAGCCGTACCGAAGACAACGACATCCCGCAGAAAAGGCAAACATAAACACAAGAAGGGAAAGGGCAACGGGAAGCAACAGCTCCAACATGAAGGGGATGCCCGTGCCAAGAAGAAGCAACGCGAAGCCAACCAGGACTGCAACGACCATTTCGCCTGACCATCGGCAACGTCATGCCCATGTGCAGGGTCCATGCTGCCACAAGGCCGACTAGGAGACACCAAACGACCCCATGTGCAATACATTTATGAAACATACCAAGGTCAGTGAACAACGGCAGGCAGCTGCGGTAGTCATCCAGAACAGCGCCGGTGGGCTCCAGACTATTGACGCCAAGGCCCGCATCACCTTCATCGACGCCACGAGGCAGGGGCATCGGACGCACCAAGGAGGTCATGCATGGCCGCTTCGAGTGCACCGAAGCACACCACGAGGAAAAGCAGGTCCACCTGACAACGCTGGAGGGGCAACCGCGCCGAGGTCTGCAGCACCAGGAGGGGCACGGTAGGTTTGCGTCGTGTCGACCAGCGGCGACCCCAGCGCGGGCGTTCAAGGTTGAACGCCGCCGGCGACCCAGAATCGATCGATGTTGAACGATCGGACGTTGCGGCAGCGGCCGATCGTTCAAGGTTGAACGATCCCTGCGGTGTCAAAAACCAACGCTGGGGTCGGCACGACACGAACCTGCCGCACCAATGCCGCCCTGGGCGACGCCCATTCGCAATTTTTCGGGGCCGCCGACGCCGCGGCGGAGCCATGACCCACGGGGGCGGCCGAGCGAGGAGGACCGCCGCACCTGTCAGCTCCTAGTCGTGCGCATAGGATTACGTCGGGCCGGTCCCTCGACAGGGGAATCATCCAAAATAGTAAAAAAAAAATAGTCTGGGGACTATTTTTAAAGCATTTTTTGGCAATGTTGGGGCATTTTTTTTTTGGAGTATCTTGGATTTTTCGTCCCTCTACAGCGGGAATCATCAAACATAGTCAAAAAATAGTCTGGGGACTATTTTTTTAGTTTTTTTTTTAACCATTGTGGAGCATTTTTTGATTTTTTTTCGTCGAACATCCCCCTGTTGGGGGACATGCCCGACTTAGGCATGGGAGGCCGACGGGGGGCCGGGGAGAGCCGGCAGAGTCTGGCAGAGCACCGGCGCGCTCCCGGAGGCACGGACGGAGGAGAGCCAGCGTTCAGTCGGGCCTGTCCCCCCTACAGGGGTATTTTCGACGGAAAAAAAGACCCCAGAATAGTCAAACAAATACTCCAAAAACAGTCTGGGGACTATTGTTGGAGTATTTTTTCACCTTCTTGGGGTATTTTTGGGGGTATTTTTAATTGTTCGTCGAAAATCCCTCGGACCTGTCCCCCTACAGGGGGATTTTCGATGAAAAAAAAAGACCCCCAAAATAGTCAAAAAATATGCCAAACATAGCCTGGGGACTATTTTTTTAGTATTTGTTCACCTTCTTGGGGCATGTTTGGGGTATGTTTGGGGATTTTCGATGAAAAAAAAGACCCCAAAATAGTCAAAAGATATGCCAAACATAGTCTGGGGACTATTTTTTGAGTATTTGTTCACCTTCTTGGGGTATGTTTGGGGTCTGTTTGGGGATTTTCGACGAAAAAAATAAACGGAAATATTCAAAAAATAGTCCAAAAATAGTCTGGGGACTATTTTTTGAGTATTTGTTCACCTTCTTGGAGTATTTTTTGGGGTATTTGTCATTTGTTCGTCGACAATCCCCCTGTAGGGGGACAGGCCCGACATAAAGCCAGCGCGCCTCTTCCGTGATGTCAGGAGCAACAAGAAGGAGGAGGCCAAGGACGAGCTCGACAACCTCAGCAAGACCAGCAACGAGCTGCTGGAAACCTTCACGGGGAGAGGTTTTGAAGTCGAACTGCACGAAGTGCGACGGCGCTTACGGGGCGTCGAGGCCCACGTCGGGAGCGAGCGAAGGAAGGGTAACCACACCACCAACGGGTCCGACCTAGCCCAACACGAGCTAACGCAGAAGCCCGCCGCCGCCGCGCATACCCGACGCAACATGAACTTGCACAAGACAAGCTCCACGGTGCCGAGAAGACTATGGCAAGCACCAAGAAGGCCAATCCTGGCCTCCAACATAACCTACCACATCGGAAACGGAGGACGTGAATCGTGGACATCCAGGACCAGCGAATGAAGGCACAGCAACAGCTCGAGCGACACGAGCAGAACAGCGACGCCATACAAGAGCATTCAATTGGCAGAGAGGACAACTCTCGAAAGAGACGCGTACTACGACCAGACGGAACGAAGGAGGCGGAGCACCACATCTCGACCATGGAGGCTGGGAGGCCCATTTACTTCAACGAGCAGGCAGCGCTTCACAGTTTCAGGGACAATGTCGACAGCTTGGTTGGCGAGGCGCACGTCGAAAGACAAGACCGAGAACGACGCATGGAGGCCGCCTTCAACAAACAGTCGCCGACATCGAATCGAGAGGCAGCTGCGATCCAGAGGCGCTGACCAGCGCAGCAACACGCACAGCAGTTGAGCATGGCAGCCGCAGGGATGAACGAGTACCACGAGCAGGCGCAACAACCTGCAGCTCAAGCAGTAGCTCAAGTCCAACTGATCCTTCAACACGTGAACATTTGGTCCTGCCAGCACCGCCAGGCCGATCGGCACCAGATCGACATGTACAAACACAAAGAGGAAGCCTGGAGGGAACGGAGTGCCATCCTCCAGAAGCGCACGGGGGAGGCCCACCCGGAGTATTTCTACGCCCAGCAAGCCGCCGCGCATGCGCACACAGCAGTTGTCGCAACTCGAGCTGTTCGGCCAGCTCGAAGAGGCGATGTCCATCGAGATCCCCAGCGGCACCGAAGCGATGGTGATCTTCCCGCAGCCGGTGGAGCCAGTGCCCACGCCAGATACGGTTCAAGGTGCTACACAACCTACAGCGGGGGCGCGTGCCAAGAAACCACTTGGATTTTGCCAGGGTGCCCTGGGTTTCTTGGATTTCGATGGGCTCCCAATCAGATCTTGACGATCTTCGATCGACACATGTGGACTCTCACTGAACAGACCGCGGATCTCAGGGCTGGGCTTCTTGCGGAGGTCTCTTGTGGCCGAGTCCCCCCTGCACTCAGACGCGAAGTGGCGAGGCAGCCAGGGAGGCCGACAGCATGGCCTTGTGGCCACCCCGGCGCAGCACGAAACCCTGGGCGTGCCATCGCCGGCAGAGCAGCAGCGCCGCCACCGACGCGGCATGAGCTGCCGGGCGCCCGTCGACACACGGTTCGCCAACAGGAGGGCCAACATCTTGTAGTCGTCCCTGTCGGTGGTTTTGCCGCCGCAGCCGCCCTTGCCGCCTGTCGCATACGAGGAGGAGGAGGAGGAGGAGGAGGAGGAGGAAGAGGAGGAACATACATTAATAATAATAACAACAATAATAATAACAATAATATTATTATTAATAATAATAATAATAATGATAATAATAATAATAATAGTAATAATAATAATAATAATAGCAATAGTACGAATAATAATAAGAGAAGGAATAAGAGAAGATGGGAGGAGGAGGAGGAGGAGGAGGAGGAGCAAAAGGAGGAGCAGAAGGAGGAGGTGGAGGAGGGGGAGGAGGAGGAGGAGGAGGAAACGGAGACGGTGGAGGAGAAGGACGACGCTGAGGGGAGCAGGCGGAGTGAGAAAGAACCCGAGATCCTGGGGGCATGGTCGAGCCATGCCCCTCTCGAGCGGTTCGTCGCGAGGCTGGGGTGAGACGATTTCCAGGGTTTGCCCCATCGGGGCCGCTTTCGCTTGCCGCTTCGAACCTTCCGGGCGCGGGCGCTGTGTGGGTGTCACTCTGATTTTTTTCTGTGTCTCTCTCTCTCTTTCGCGCGGTCCAGCATTCCGCCCCCGCTCTTACCGCGAGTGCACTGCGAAACTGGTCGCCGAGTAGAGGAAAGGGGGGAAGGATCAGGAAGAGGATCGGGCCCCCCCGCACGGTGCGGTGACCACACTGTGTGGCGAGTCGGTGGGGACTCGGCGTCACCGCGCGGTCTTGGGCCTCTCGGGCGGCGGAGGCCTCTGTCCGAGGGTGTCTCGGGCGACGGGGGCCTCAACCGCGCGGCGGAACACCGCGTGTCGGCGGCGGGCGAGGGGGGGAAGCGAGAAGGGGCGGGCCTTCTCAGAAGGCTCGGAAGCCCCCCGGCCTTCCGAGAAGTGTTCTACGCCTCCCCCGAAGCAGCGAGAAGCTTCTCAGAGGGCGCGAGGCCTCCTGAGGAGTCCCGCCGCCTTCTCAGAGGGCCTTCTCCTTCTCGTTGCCCCCCCTCGCTCGCCGCCTGCCTCGGTGTCCCGTGGCGCGGTGCCCCGTGGTGTCCCGTGAGGTCGATGGTGAGATCGATGGTGGGAGCGAGTGCCCAGATCGGCAGACGAAGCTCGATCCGGCTGACGCGAAGATCGGGACAAAATCGGATCGGGATAACTCGAAATCTCTGAGAATCGGCGGGTCTGGAGGATGTATTGGGCGCCGCGGCCGCTCCAGAGCGTTCCGGAACGCTCTGAGAGCGCTCCGGAACGCCCTGGAGCGAGTTGTCCCGATCTTAGCCCCGTTGTAGCCTCCTTGGCGGCGCAGCGGCTCATCTCCTTCGGCACGTACGGGAGCTCCCCGAACAGGATGATGTAGGCCCTGTTTTCTCGATGGTGAGGTCGACTGCGAGGTCGACTGCGAGCTCGAGAGAGGCCGCCCGCCGCCGAGTGCGGCCCGAGGGCGCCCATGGGGCTGCGAGGTCGCCGCGCGGTGCGTTACACCGCACGGCCGCGGGGCTCTCCCGGGGCGGGGCCTCGAGCCTCGAGCCGAGCGAGCTGGCTCGAGACATCGGCTCCGCCCTGCCCAGTCTGAAGTCGGGCGTGTGCCCCTGCAGATGGATTTTCGACGACAAATAAAACAAATACCCCAAACATACATCCAAAAGGCCAGAAAATATTCAAAACAATAGTCCCCTGACTATTTTTGGGCTATTTTTTGTTTACTTTTTGGGGTATTTTCTATTCTTCGTCGAACATTCCCTTGTAGGGGGACAGGCCGGACTGAAGCCCAGTCCGACTCGACCCCGACGTGCTGGCGGGCCTTTTTGCGGCCCGGTGCTCGCGCGGCGCTGTTCTCTGCACCTTTGGCGCGGCCGCTCCGATTGAATGTTCCGCCTTCGCGCCGAGGCAGCCTGAAGTCGGGCCTGTCCCTATACAGGAGTAGTATCAGAAAATAGTATTAAAAAAAATAGTCTGGGGACGATTGCAGCCTGCAGCCGATGCAGCCTGAAGTCGGGCCTGTCCCTCTACAGGAGGAGTATCCAAAGATAGTTTTAAACAAATATTATGGGGACGATTGTGTGAAGTTGTTTTGGCCATTTTGGGGCATTTTGGGGGTATGTTTAATTTCTCGCATGGCCTTAAGTCGGGCCTGTCCCTCTACAGGAGGAAATTTCAAAAATGGTCCAAGAATCGTTTGGGGACGACTTTTTATGTATTGTTGGACATATTTTGAGCGTTTGTTTGGCATGTTATATTTTTCGTCCAAAATCCCCCTGTAGGGGGACGGGCCCGACCTACGCATGGCGTTGTTCCGCACCTTGGCGCGGCCGATCCGATTGGATCCCGACTCCGCGCCGATGCAGCCCGATCCGACGCACATGTCGATTCTCGGCGGCGAGCACGAGGGGGAAGTCTTGGCTGGACACTGCGGAATTTTCAGCCCTGCCTGGAATTTTGCGCATCCCTCCCGGCTTCCAGAGAGGGGGTATCTGAGGATGTCTGAAGCGAAACTTCAGTTGTTCCTCTTCGCTGTTGGGTCCCTTCCAGAGCAGGAGGAAGCCTCCTCCTCCTCCTTCTCTCTTTCTCTCTCCTCTCTCCTCTCTCCTCTCTCCTCCTCCTCCTCCCCCTCCTCCTCCTCCTCCTCCTCCTCCTCCTCCTCCTCCTCCTCCTCCTCCTCCTCCTCCTCCTCCTCTTCGGGTCGCCTGCGGCCCCCGTGGACGGCGTAGGCCCCTAGGACCGTGGAACCGTGCCCTCTGAAGAAGGCTTCTCTGGAGGCCCAGAGGGCCTTCTGACAGGTGCTCTGCGTCGGCAGGGCAGGCCCGGAGCACTCCCCTCGGGAGGCCCGAGGCCCTCCGAGCCTTCTCGAGGGCCCCGCCCCCCCCCCCTGATTTCCCCCCCCCTCCCTCCTCCTCCTCCTCCTCCTCCTCCTCCCTCCTCCTCCTCCTCCTCCTCCTCTCCTCCCCTCCTCCTCCTCCTCCTCCCTCCTCTCCTCCTCCTCCTCCTCCTCCTCCTCCTTCCTCCTCCTCCTCCTCCTCCGCCTCCTCCTCCTCCTCCTCCTCCTCCTCTCCTCCTCTTCCTCCTCCTCCTCCTCCTCCTCCTCCTCCTCCTCCTCCTCCCCCCCCCTTTGGGCTCGCCGCCGGGAGTCGGCCCGCTCGCCCGGTCCGATGCTGCACTGGCCCTGCCCAGAGGAGGGCCTGGAGGCGGGGCCCTCCCCGCCCGCCCCCCCCCCCCTCGCCCGCCTCCGAGGCCCCCCCCCCCTCGCCCGCCTCCGAGGATGCTGCAGCAGGCCCTCCACGACGCGCACTCGAAGGCTCCACCCCGCAGCGGCGCCGAGCCGGGGAGAGACACCTCGGCATCGCTCGGACGTGTGCCTTGTTTTCCCTCGGCGAGGGCCATCGAGGAGCATCCTATTGATCATTTGGCGAAGGAACCACGCACGAAAGCGAACAAAAAACCACAGGGAAGGGACGTCCGAGCGATGGCCAGAGCCGGGGAGAGACGCGGGCCGCCCTCCCGCCCTATGGGCGGCCCGGGCCGCCCAGGCGGATCCTGCGCGCCCGCCCCACCTGCACGGGAGCGCCGCCCCCTTCCTCTTTCTTACCAGCCTCGAACGTATCCCTATCCCTAAGAGTGACACGCCAAAAGGCGGTGACGATCTTAGGGCTCCGCCCTCAAAGAAGAAGGGCATCCCCAAGATTGGCATCGTGATGAGGAGGTGCACAGCATAGGGATAGCTCTGTCTTGCCAGCCTCGAACGCATCCCTATCCCTAAGAGTGACACACGCCAGAAGGCGGTAACGATCTTAGGGATCCGCGCCCTCAAAAAATAGGGGCATCCCCAAGATTGGCATCGTGATGAGGAGGTGCACAGCACAGGGATAGGGATATGTGTTCCAGGCTGGTACCTTTCACGGCGACGGAGGGCCGGCGCCACTTCCGCCCCCCCCCCACGACGACGGCGACGACGACGACGACGGCCACGACGACGACGTCGACGACGACGACGACGACGGCCACGACGACGACGACGACGACGACGACGACGACGACGACGACGACGACGACGACGACGACGACGACGGCGACGACGACGACGACGACGACGACGACGGCACTTTCCTGGTCACAGCTGGGGTCTCCAGCGGCCGCTCGGGAGCGGTCTGGGCACCCCTTTGGAGCACGCCGGTGGCGTGGCGCAGCCGCGGGGGCGCACCCCGAGGCAGAAAAAAGCCCGCCGAGAACCGACGAAAGCATACGAAGCACCTCCAACGTCGACCCCCCCCCCCCACGCTTGGGGGTACCAAGACTCAGGAGGGGAAAAAAGCACACAGACACAATTAATCGTCGATCCCCAAGAAGATATGCGAAACTATGGGAAGTGGGGGGGAAGACAAAAACCCAGAAAACATAAGGAACATATGGGGAATAGTTATATTTGTGTGTATTTCTTTGTGTGTCCTGGGGCCCCTTCACCAACCTCGACCCCCCCCCCCGCGCTTGGGGGTACCAAGACACCCAAGAGGGGTTCGGCGTGGAGGGCCTCCGCGACCCCGCAGGGCTCACCGCGTGTCGATCGAGCTGGCTCGATGCCAGATCCGACCAGCTCCTCCTCCTCCTCCTCCTCGTCCTCGTCCTCGTCCTCCACCTCCTCCTCCCCCTCCTCCTCCTCCTCCTCCTCCTCCTCATCCTCCTCCTCCTCGATCCGGTTCCGAGGTCGATGCTTCCCGTCGATCCGAGGCGGCCCGCTGCTCGCACCGCGCACGGCTGTGTACATGCTTATCGGGGCGCAGCCGATTCGGTGCCGCTTGTCCGTGGCGATCCGGCTCACTCCGATGTGTCGATTCGATGCAAGCTCCGATGCAGTGCTTTTTTGGCGATGCTCGGCCCGATCTCGGTTCGTGACGATTCTCTCGGCCCCATGTTGGTGCCTGTCCCGATGCAGTCCGACGCGTCAATGATCGATGCGATGCATGCGGACCTCTCCTGCCCCCTTCGCGCCGCGGAAAGACGACGACGGCGGCAGGCTTCTCGGAGACGCTCCCCGTGGACGTCTGCTGCCAGCCATGGCACCTTTTTGTTCGGCCCCTCGCGAAACCTCCTCATATTCCTCCTCCTCCTCCTCCTCCTCCTCCTCCTCCTCCTCCTCCTCCTCCTCCTCCTCCTCCAGGGCGCTTCCTGGGAGCCGAGGCCCTCGGGGGCCGAGTCGGGCACGAGGCACTAGCGTCGGAGTCGGGGGATCAGGGGGGGGACGCTTGACCCAGGTCTCGCCCGCAGGGTCGCGAAACGTTGGAGCTGGAGGTCAGCTTCTCGCCTCGCGGTCTGGGCCGAGGAGCTGCTCTTCCCTGAGGGGGGCGGCACGAGGGCGAGCAGGAGCGAGCTCCGCGCATCGCGCATCGCCCAGCGCGAGGCTTTACGATAGATGCGACCCTGGGTCACCTCTGGTTCACTCTGGGGGCCTCCCTGGTGGGGCACTCGTCGCCATGACTGGATCCGCCTCGCAGTCCTTCTCGGAGACCGCTCCGGGAGAGGCCCAGGGGGGTGTCCGATTCGGACGGCCGCTTCGGCCCCTCTGCGGGGCGTCTCGAGCCTCTCCTGGGGTTCCTTCCTCGCGCCTTGGGGCCCTCTTCGGCTCCCCCATTGGGAGCAAGAGGGGCCCTTCTGGCCCTTCAAAGGGCGGTCTTGCGGATCGTTGGGGCTGGCGTGGGCGTCCCCAGCCTCGAAGCATCGAGCACGTAACGACACTGAAAGGAGCATGCTGTCCGTTCTTGGAGCGTCTTGTGCGTCTCTTGGGCCGTCATATCTAGCCCGATAGAGGTTGGAGGATCGCGCCGCATCGTGGATGCATCGGCGATGCGGCTCGATGTGGAGCCAGTGTTTCCCCACCCCGACATCGCCGATGCATCGCCGACGTCGCCGATGCATCGCCGATACATCGGCGATGCATTGGCGAAGCGGCGCGATCCTTCGACCCAATTTGCTCGGACCTCATATAGGAGGCCTCTAAGGTTGTCCTGTCCTTTGGCGTCTTGGGAGCCTCTTGTGCTGTCATAGGGCCACATGTCGCCGTCTTGGGACGCTGACGTGCATCTCGGAGTCCACTGCGATTGCTCTCGGCCTTGCTTCTGCGCCCCGAGCTTGCAGATTGATCTGCAGGAGCCGCGCACCGCGCACGGACCCCCCCAGGGACGGATCGGAAACGCTGCCCGGGGGGCTTGCAGTAGGGGCCGAGGCCACTGCGGGTGGACTACGGGTCGTCACTGACGATGGCCCGATGAGCGTGGCTGCCGCCCGTAGACAGATCGTTGCGGCGGCGGCGTCGCCCACCCGCTCAAGAACGAAACGCATGCGCGGAGATAGTTGGGCAGGACTCACAAGTTAGCGACTGCGGATTCGTTTTCGCAGAGCCACTTGATCTCCAATGCTGCCACGGCGGCGCCTGTCTCCGACATGTCCCCCATGGCATTCCACAAGCAATACCACGCGGCGCACGCGCGTGCAGTGCCCAAGTCTTGGCGCGGGCGGCAGGAGGGCCACGTCACCAAGTTGGTGATCGCCCACGACGCTGACCGTCCCGACCCCGTCTATGTGCTGCACGGAGTGCGACTGCGCGCGTCTTACATGAATTTGGGCAGTTGCGCGACGTCATCTCGCAGGGTTCGGCAATGGCCCGGCAAATTCGCCGACCCCGACGAGAAGCTCTTGACCACGAACCTCACGGACATGATCGAGTTGGCGCAGGAGTAGCTTCAGCCTTTCAAGAAGCTCGTCAAGGGAGTGGCTCGGCGAGCCATGTGGAAGCACTACGAATGCGAGCAGGCCGCGAGATGTCAACTTACAATCAGAGAGCGTGAAGTGCAACAACATGATCCCCGCGGTGCCTGGGCAGGCGTTGCAGCGGCCCCCTGAGCACATGTGCTACGAGTGCGGGCACGCGGAACCCACGAGATGCTCTTCGGAGGTTGCTGAGCGGCGTGAACGCCCATCGTCTTGCGATCCGCGGCGACGGGCCCAAATGTGCAGCTTGTCAAGCACGCCGTAGGAGAGAATCTTTCACGGCCAACAGGCCCGATGGGCGCCTTCACGAAGTCAAGGCTTGCGCGAGAGCGTCGCGTGCTGCGATGTCGGGCTCGGTGTCCGATGACGCTTTTTTTTGTGCCCATCGAAGAAGCCCAGCGGCAGAGAGCAGCAGTCGAGGAGGGGAGGGGGGGGGGAGGGGAAGGGGGCCGGGGCGGCACGCGGCCCGTGCGCAGGCCGCCGGAATTACGAAGGCTCGGCGTCCGATGACACGGTGTTCGGCGACAGCGTGGACGAGGCCCGCAAGAGGCGCAAGCGGCCGACCGTCGCGCGGACAGGGCCAGCGACGGGGCCGAGAAGGGGGCGGCGGCAGTGGTTCGGGCCGGCCATGTGGCCGAGCGCTGGAGGGGGCGACGTCGCATCGCGGGCGCCCGCACTGGGCCCAGAGCCACGGCCGTCATTAAAATGCCTAGGCTCCTCGGGCAGAAAGTCGTGCACGCGCTGTTCAGTCGAAGGCAGGGGCAGGACGACTCCCGGTTCTCGCTCGAGAAGGCCTTTTCCACGACCGCATCGAGGCGCAGAGGGTCAGCCATCACGACAGGCACGACGTGCCAGACAGCGGCGGCGCAGGGGCTCTGGGCACCTTGGCCCTCTCGCTCGACGTGGCAAACGACACTGTGCGCGGCGACCTGGGCCAAGGCGACGCCGTCGCATCCTGGATCAGCCTGGGCCCCCCGCGCGGGACGCGGCCCCCGTGCTCGGCGCCGCGCAGGGGTCGAGGCGCGCAGGGCCCCCCGAGGCAGCTTCGCCTTCGCCTGGCGAGCGCCCAGCGGGGGCTCGGCTGCCTCGAGGGCCGCGGGAGGGAGCAGCTGGCGACGGGCAGCCGTGTCATGAGGACCCACAGACTGTCCCTGCAGGTCGCGAGCGCGCCTGGCACCCTGGGCATGCAGGAGCACCCCGTTGAGCCGCCCAACCAGCAGAGGGCATCGTGCTGGCGCCGCCCCGAGCTCCGGCACCTGCTGCAGCGGGAGCGGGCCGAGGCGATCGAGGGCGACCAGTCCCGAGGCACAGCAGCCACGAGAGGAGCAGCGAGACGGCGGCAGCGGAGGAGCAGCGAGGAGTCTGGCGCGGGCGGCCGCCGAGGCGATTGGGCCAGGGGAGCAGCCAACCCAAGGGGCCACCAGGCACCCCGTCGGCAGAACCCCGCGGCGCCCAATGCCCAAGGCAGAGCGCGCCGCGCGCGGGGGGAGGTCGTCGGGGACGGCCCTGCCTTCCTGGGTGGCGGCTGTGGGCAGCCTGCCCGCCGTCGCCGCCGAGGCAGGGGAGGGCCCGGGGAGGACGCTCGCGGCGGCGGCCGGCTGGCGCAGGCGCTGGCGGCTCAGGCCTGCCCGCGCGCAGCTTGCAGCGGGCCACCCCGCTGCCCGAGCGGCCCTCGAGGGAGCAGCGGTCCCTATGTTCCCACATGGGGCCAACGCCCTCGACCCCGCCCGACGGCAGCGGGCCGCGGGCACCGTCGTTCCACCCTCACCCCACCCCCGCATTCTCTTGGACGAGACCTTCCGCTCAAAGGGCGACCATCCGCCCCTCCCCCACCCCCCCTGTCCCCCCCCTTCGAGCGTTCGTTCGGCTTCGCACAGACCTGTGCCCGCATCGGAAAGCGAACCGGGGGGAAAGAAGGATGAGGAGGAGGAGGAGGAGGAGGAGGAGGAGGAGGAGGAGGAGGAGGAGGAGGAGGAGTAGGAGGAGAAGGAGGAGGAGGAGGAGGAGCGGTTCAGGAAGGTGTGGGGGAGGCGAGGGAGAAGGATGATAAGGAGGTGGAGCAGGAGGAAAGAAAAACTCTGCAAGTGAAGGGGGGGAGGAGGAGGGGGAGGAGAGAAATAGAAGGAGGAGGAGGAGGGGAGGAGGAGGAGGAGAAGGAGGAGGACGTTGAGGAGGAGGAGGAGGAGGAGGGGGAGGAGGAGGAGGAGGAGGAGGAGGAGGAGGATGAGGAGGAGGAGGAGGAGGAGGAAGAGGAGGAGGAGGAGGAGGAGGAGGAGGAGGAGGAGGAGGAGGAGGCGGCGATCGGGGCGCAGCGGCCCGCGAGGAGGCCCGCGCAGAGGCCGACGAGGGTGGCGCCTCCGTCGTCCTCGTCGTTCTCGCTGTCGTTCCCGTCGCCGTTGTCGTGATCGCTGCCCTGGCCCTCGTCGTCCTCGTGATCGTTCTCGTCGTCCTCCTCCTCGTCGTTGTCGTCGTCGTCCTCGTCGTGGTCGTTCTCGTCGTGGTCTTCGTCGCCGTCGTGGTCGTCGTCGTCTCCGTCGGCGCGGCGGCGGCGGCGACCTCCGCGCGCCGGCAGGCCCGCGCGGAGGCCGAGGAAAGCGGCGCCCACGTGGGCCAGCTCGCGCAGCAGCTGGCCGGGCTGCAGGAGCAGCTGTGGGTGGCCTACCAGGATCGGGGCCCGCCGCGCAAGGCTTCGCTGAGCACAGTCAGCCCGCATGCTAAGGACGGGTAGCCTCCTCCCTCCTCCCTCCTCCCTCCTCGTCCTCCTCCTCCTCCTCCTCCTCCTCCTCCTCCTCCTCCTCCTTCCCAATGTCGGGTATAGCCAGGACCCCAGGTAAGGGCTCCCGGTCAGTGCTAGGGCCACGGAGCCCCGAAATTGGCCAGAGTCATTGAACCAGGTCTGCCGAAGCTGCTGTTTTTTCGCTTGACGGCAGTTCCGGTTAGTGGAACGCGGCGGGGGGGGGGGGGGGGGCGTCCTCCAGTACACATCACTAAACCAGGTCCTAGTCAACCCAGTCCTGCCAACGCCCGACAATGGTACCTTTGCGTCCTTGCCTCCTCGGCCCATCCTTGGCCGCTTCCGTGGGCCGCGCCCCGCTCGAAAAGCTTCGAGATGGGCGTCCAGGGCCCTTGCGACTGTATGGGCGGTGGGGGGGGGGGAAGCGATTCAGTGGCAGCGTCAGGGGGCGCCGACCCTCCACCGCACAGTGATCGCCGAGCGGGGCCGAGAGCCCACCCCTCCCAGGACCGCTCGGTTCCGCCATCGGGGGCCTCTCGCCGATCCACGGGGCGGTGTCTCGCCGATATTTCCAGGTCGATGCCTCCCCCCCTTCAGCAGGTCCGCGCCAACTTGCCCCGTCGGGGAGGAGAAGAGGCACCGCCACCATCACCGAGCGCGTTCCACGACTCGCAGAGGGCCTACTCGCAAGAGGCCCTGAGCCGAACGTCTGCCTCGGAGCAATGGATCGCAGGTCCCCCCCGGCGGATCCAGGCCATTTGCGAGCAGCTGCCTTGCGAGTGGTGGAGCGCGCCGGTTTACAGTGCCGTGTTTTTTAACACGTGCTCCGCGTGCAGATCATGTCTTAAGCATGCAGGGATTTAGTATGAAAAAACAAGGCTGGGTTCATGCATAGATTGATTCCTAAATGACTCATGCATTAAGAATCCTATATAACAAAAAAAAATCCAACGTATTAAACTCTGCCCTGTACACCATTGGTCTGGGGTGGGGGGGCTTTCCTTCTTGACCGACGAGCGGATGCGGGCCGCGCAGCTCGTGGCCGCGGGCGCCCCGTGCCGGCGGGCGAGCGTCCGGGGCCTGCCCGGCAGCTGCGCGGGCCTCCGCGCAGCCGGCCGCACACCAACGCCGCCGCGCGGCCCCTGCCGCGCGGCGGCGTCGCCCAAACGCCCAAACGCCACGATGGCGTGGCCCAAGGCGTCGCCACCGAGGCGTCCTGCTGCATCCTGGTGCAACATATGCTCGAGGACCTTCGGCTTCCGCGTGAGGGCCCGGCCGTTGGTCGAGTTGCCGCGCTGGCCTCGTCTGTGCTGTCACGATTTCAGGATCCGCCCCCTAAGCCCCCCCGAAGGAAAAACCCAAAAAGCGTTTATGTGATCCGCGCCACCTGCAAGACCGATAGCATGGCGCGGGTCCCGAATATGCATCGAGCCTTCCTCAGACTCTCCTCCTCAGTCCGCGGGGCCCGCGTACTTGAGACCCCTTCCGGCCTGCGAGCCGCAGTCCCTGACCCAGACCGACGGGCAACGAGCAAAAGCCTCAGCTGGCCGCGCCTGGCCGCCTTCGCGGGCGGGCGCGTGCAGGGCGAAGACGCTGCGCTGCGCTGCGCTTTATGTTTGTGCACTTGTTCCTTCTTCTATTGACACCACGCGAAGCGGCCCATGGTGCCCCCCGAGCTGGGGGACGGAGGTGTCTCCAGCCTTGCCAGGGTCGACTAGATCGCCTCCCACGGCTGCGTGTGGGGCAGATGGCGGCAGGCCCCGCTACAGAGCACCTGCCCGCTGCAGAGCACCTGCCCGGGGGGCGCGGGGGCTCCCCTCCTCAGTCAGGGGGGGAAGAAACACACAGACACAATTAATCGTCGACTTCCCGGAAAATATGGGAAAATATAGGATGTGGGGGGGAAGACAGGAACCCAGAAAATATAGGAAAATATGGGGAATCCTTTGATTTGTGTGTATTTATTTGTGTGTCCCAGGGCCCCTTCACTCAGGAGGGGGCGACGGAGGGGCCACCCCCCCCTCCCCAGAACCCCCGCTCGGCCGAGGCGGCCCAGGAGCAGGCCCCCGTGCGACCAAACGTACGGGAACGAACAATGACATAAACAGAAAAGCTGGAAGGTCCGCGCGGAGTTCTCGGAGCCGCGCTGCCCCCCCCCCCCCCGGCGGCGCCTCCGGCGCCGCCCCTGGCGCGCTTCGGAGGGGGCTCCAGCGCCGATCCGAGAAATCCGCGCGGGACCGCCGAATTTGTATGTTTATGGCGTGCTTTCTTCTTCCATGACTTTCGTCTTAGCGCCAGCTGGCGTCGATCAGCGTCTGGGAGTCGACGCGGTGGCGCCGATCTGGCGTCGGCCGGCGTCGACTTCGCGTCGAGATCCTGTGCTTTTGCCATTGCTCGCTCCCCGAAACATCAGAGCCCGGGTTACCCCGGGCCCGAGTTTCCCCGGATGATTCGGGCGCCCAGAGCCCCAATGCATCAGGGGTATAACTCGGGCCAGGGCTAAAACTCGGGTTCGTTTTTCGGGAATCCAAACCCGAGTTACCCCCGGACCCGAGTTGCCCCGGATGACTCGGGCGCCCCAAAACAAGGCCCCCGCGTGCTACCACACGGGCTCCCCGCGCGCCCTCGTCGGGGGGGGGCCCCGGTGGTCTCTCTCCTGGGGCGGGCCCGCGCGCAGCACCTGATCCGCGGTCGGCGGCGGTCCGAGGCCCCGCGGGTCGGCCCGAGGCTTTACGGTCGAGGTCGGTTCGGGGAGGGTGCCCTGAGGCTCTCCGTGCGTGCTTGAAGTCGGGCGTGTCCCTCTACAGGGGGGAACGTGCAAAAAGAATCGAAAGATAGTCTGGAGACGATTTTTTTAAACTACTTTTGAGCAGTTGTGGGGTATTAGTGTGTGTGCGTGCTCTCTTTATACATATACATATATATATATATATAACAGAAAGAAAAACGCTCAGAATCCCACTGCAGGGGGACACGCCCGACTTAATGCTTGTTGGATGTCCTTGTGCATCCTGAGGGAGGGTGGCCTCGAGAGGTCTTCGGTTTGGGCTGGCGGAGGGTTCTCGTGTCTTGAGGGGTGCTTCCGTTCTAGCTTTCAGTCGGGCCTGTCCCCCTACAGGGAGTTTTTCGACGAAAAATAAAAAATACCCCCAAACATAGATCAAGAAGGTCAAAACAAATTCAAAAAATAGTACCCAGACTATTTTTGGACTATGGTTGGATTTGTTTTTGATATTTTTATCTTTCGTCGAAATTTCCCCTGTAGGATGACAGGCCCGACTTTGTTCTAGCTTTGACCGTTCAGTGCCGTTTTTAATACATGCTCCGCGTGCGGATCATGTATTGAACATGCAGGGATTTAGTATTACAAGCAACGAAGAATTCATGCATAAATATATAATCATAACATGTAGTAAAGCTTATATGTTATTCCCCATATCCTAAGATGGGGTTCTTGTTATTACTTGGACGCCTCCTACTCCTCCTCCTTCCTCCTCTTTCCTCCTCCCCTCCTCATACTCAGACTTACTCATACTCAGACTTACTCATACTCAGAACTTTCTCATACACAGACCTACTCATACCCAGACTTACTCATACACAGACTTACTCATACACAGACTTACTCATACTCAGGCATACTCATACTCAGACCTACTCATACTCAGACTTACTCAACACACATCAGATTTGGAGGATGTCTCAAGCGGGGCGCTGGTTTCAGCACCCCTAAGGGGAGCCGCCAGGGGTGGTTGCACGGGCTCGTTCGCGGCCATTTTGTGGGGATGTCTCAGGCGGTTTGCTTGTTTCTGGGCTCAACATCCTTCGCTTGGAGAGCAGATTGTGAGGATGTCTCAGGCGGGGCGCTGGTTTCAGCACCCCTAAGGGGAGCCGCCAGGGGTGTTTGCACGGGCTCGTTCGCGGCCATTTTGTGGGGATGTCTCAGGCGGTTTGCTTGTTTCTGGGCTCAACATCCTTCGCTTTCGGAGCAGATTTGGAGGATGTCTCGAGCGAGGCGCTCATTTTCACCCCCCAGGTGGGCCAGATTTTGAGGATGTCTCGATCGGTTTGCTTGTTTTGGTGGCCAGGCTCGTGGCCCTAAGGGGAGCCGCCAGGGGTGGTTGCACGGGCTCGTTCGCGGCCATTTTGTGGGGATGTCTCAGGCGGTTTGCTTGTTTCTGGGCTCAACATCCTTCGCTTTCGGAGCAGATTTGGAGGATGTCTCGAGCGAGGCGCTCATTTTCACCCCCCAGGTGGGCCAGATTTTGAGGATGTCTCGATCGGTTTGCTTGTTTTGGTGGCCAGGCTCGTGGCCCTAAGGGGAGCCGCCAGGGGTGGTTGCACGGGCTCGTTCGCGGCCATTTTGTGGGGATGTCTCAGGCGGTTTGCTTGTTTCTGGGCTCAACATCCTTCGCTTTCGGAGCAGATTTGGAGGATGTCTCGAGCGAGGCGCTCATGTTCACCCCCCAGGTGGGCCAGATTTTGAGGATGTCTCGATCGGTTTGCTGTTTTGGTGGCCAGGCTCGTGGGCGCAGATTCTTCTCAGGATGCCACAGGAGGCTCCAGGAGGCCCCAGGAGACCACATGAGGTCCCAGGAGGCATCAGGAGGCCACAGAAAGATTCAAGAGGCCACAGGATGTCCCAAGAGGCTCCAGGAGGCCCCAGGAAGCTCCAGAAGGCCTCCGGAAACCATAGGTGGCCCCAGGAGGCAACAGGAAGTGCCAGGAGGCCTCGGAAGGCAACAGGAGGCCCCGAGAGGCCCCAGGAGCAGGAGGCCTCAGAAGGCAACAGGAGTGGTTCCAATCCCATGTGTTTTACGTATGCTCCTATCGATTGGGCCTCACCTGGAGCACGATTCTTTGATGTTCTACGTATGTTTCTATATATTGTCCTTCTCCTGTGTAAGCAATCCTACTTGTTTTACTTTTGTTCCTATATATTGGGCCTCTCCTGGGGCACGAGTCCTTGGTGTTTTACGTGTGTTCCTGTAGACCCATATACAATATGACCTTTAAAAAAAGGATGCACATATGGGGAGCTCCACGCAGTGAGTAATTTGTTTTACAAATCCTGTGTAATATAAGCTGCCCTGTACTGTCTAAATCGATCACGTTCCAGCAGGTCCAATGAGCACTCGCGCGAGTCTTGTGCGGAGGCCCCCGCCTCGCGCGGGGCCCTCTTGCGTGCACCCGGGCCTGGATCCGCGCGCTCGTGCGCGTGCTAATTCAGGAGGGCGAGGCGCAGAGCAGGTCCGATAGATAGGGTCCCCTTGCACAAGACCCCTTTGTGCGCCTTTCGTGCGTACATATATATATACACATATATATATATATACATACATATATATATATATATGCATATCTCATCGATGCATATATCAATTGACCGTTGCCTTTCCACTCCATCCAGCGCGGGGTGCCTCACGGTCGCTTGATCGCGCACCCACTTTGCGCCGTATGTGGCCTACCGAGAGCAACTCGAGGCGCTCCAGCGGCCCTTCAGGGCGGTCGTAGGGCCTTCATAGACCGTATGGGGACCCCAAACCCGCGCGGGCAGTCTTTCAGTTCTCTTTGGGCCTACCTTTGGCCGTCTGGGGATCTTCTTGCGATAAAGAGCCTTCTGGAGCTGCCTCTAGCTCCCAGAAGGGACGTCTTGGAGTCGTATTCCGGGGAATCGGCGGGGAGGCCAGCCTGTTTCCTAATATGTTCTGGCCTCTGGGTGGCATGCGCAATGCACGCGCTCGTACGGCCTCTGTTGGGTGTTGGCGCTTTTTGGGTTCGTCTGCGGTCGTCTGGTCCGTCTTGGGGCCGTCTGAGTCCGTCTTAGGCCCTCTTGGGGCGCTTTTGCGACATATTGGGCCATCGTGGTTTGTCCGCGAACGCGAAGCCGTCATCATTCTTCTAGCACTGGTGAATCGGTTGCATGAGTGCACCGAACTGCATATTCCATTACACGCCGTTCGTTGGAACTAGCTATTCTTGGACTCCCAGGTCCCAATACTTTAGCCGCCTTCCCACTTCAATCATCGAGTGTTTTTTCCTCTTTTTCCTCTTCAGGGGGGCGGGCGGGAGCCCAGTCTACTTCCACCGCCTTCCGGCATCTTGTTTCTGCCCATTTCTTCTCGACCGGCGGGTACGCCCATGAGATCTTAGCGTCGGGCCTGCCCTTCGAACGGACGATGGCTTCCCTATGCAGGGCACTTTCGGCTTCTCGCCAGGCTTCCAGCTTCTTGGCTGCTGGACTCCTGGCACTCGCCTGGAGTCGGCCACGCGCAGAAAAGGGGGTATAGGGGGAGGGGGGAAGGCGTCTTAGAATAAGGCGCTGGCCTTCTCTATAGATGTAAGGCCGGGGCCTTCCTAAGAAGCAGGGTGCTTCTAAGATTAAGTCGGGCCTGTCCCCCTACAGGGGAGATTTTCGCCGAAAAATAAATTATACCCCAAACATAATCAAAAACTAGTCCAAACATACTCCGGGGATGATGTTTTGATGATTTTTTGATTTTTTGGGGGGTATTTTTGAGGGTATTTTTTATTCTTCGTCGAAAATCCCCCTGTGTGGGGCACACGCCCGACATAATTCTAAGAAGCCTTCCCCCCTCCCCCATGATACAGTCGGGGCCCTGAAGAAGGAAACCTTTTCGTTGGGGAGGAGGCCCGCGTTCCTTAAGTGTTTCACAGCTTGCCTCAGGCTTTCCTTATGTTTTCGACAGGAAATCGAAGGTTAACTTATGGAAAAAAGGGGCCTCGTTCCTCTTTGGGGCATTTTGGAGGTATTTTTTATTTTTCGTCGAAAATCCCCCTGTAGGGGGGACACGCCCGACATGATTCTAAGGAGCCTTCCCCCCTCCCCCATGATACCCAGGAGGGGAAAAGACACGCAGACGCAATCAATCGTCGATTCCCAGGAAAATATGGGAAAATATGGGAAGTGGGGGGGAAGACAAAAAAAACAAAACATATAGGAAGATATGGTGGAAATGTTTATTTCTGTGTATTTATTTGTGTGTCCTGGGGCCCCTTTAGATACCCCCTTGTGCGCGCCGCCGACGGAGGGCGGGGCGGCTGTGCCCGCTCTCGGCTCCCACGGCGCCGGCCCCTGCTTCGCACGGGGGGGCGCCGCGGGCCGGGGCAGCGCCCGCCTCGTCCTGCTCGTGTGCCGCACCCTCTTTCACCCTCTTCCACCCCCCCTCCTCCCGCCCTTCCTCCTCTCCTCCCCCCCTCCCTCCCCCCTTCCCTGCACCCTCAAGCCCTTTCCCATGCATCCTCCCTCGGTCCGCCCTCCACGCAGCCCCTCCCCCCCCCACCCTCCTTCCGCCTCCTCCTCCTCCTCCTCCTCCTCCTCCTCCTCCTCCCTCCCTCTCCACCCGCCGCGGCCCCGAAGCGGCCACCCCTGCCCCGAGAGCCCCAGGGCGAGCCTGCCGAGCTCGCGCTCGCCTCCTGAAAGCGCCGGCCGCCGACGTCTGGCCACGCGCCCTGCAGGCTTCCGCAGTCCGACCCCCCGTGGCCGATAGTAAGGGGAACAAAACGTGGCATAAACATAACAAGCTCGGAGGTCCGCGCGGATGTCTCGGATCGGCGCTGGACCCCCCTCGCGCCAGGGGCGGCGCCGGAGGCGCCGCCAGGGGGCCCCAGTGCCGATCCGAGAAATCCGCGCGGACCTTCGAGTTTTTACGTTTCTGTCATTTTTTGTTCCCTAGATAGCGGTGGGCCATCTGAGCCGCGCAAAACATCATGAGGGAAAAAACACAAAGACACAATGAATCGTCGATTCCCATCAAAACATGGGAACATCGGGGAAGCAGGGGGGGGGAAGACCAAAACCCAGAAACTATGGGAAAACATGGGGGAGTCCTGTGGTTTGTGTGTGTACTTCTGTGTGTGCCCCAGGGCCCCTTCGACAAAAAACAAATCGGGGTCGTCCTGCGCCGACATGGGCGCGCCGGCTGCCCGCGTGGCGCGCGGCCGCGCGGGAGGAGCGCGCCCTCGCCTCCGGCGCAGTGATAGCCTGCCGCGCGGGCGGCCCCGCGCAGGCCGCCGGCGCAGGGTCGCGCGATGGCACCTCGCGCAGCGCCCGCCGCGAGGCCCCGGCGGGCCAGACGGCGTCGTCGACGTCGTCGTCGGCGTCGTCGTCGACGTCGTCGTCGGCGTCGTCGTCGTCGTCATCGTCGTCGGCGTCGTCGTCGTCGTCGTCGTCGTCGTCGGCGTCGTCGTCGACGTCGTCGTCGGCGTCGTCGTCGTCGTCGTCGTCGTCCCCGCCGCCGTCGTCGTCGTCGTCGTCGTCGTCGGCGCCGTCGTCGTCGTCGTCGGCGTCGTCGCGGGCGTCTCTGGGCGCGCTGGGCCTCCCGGCGCTCCGGGGCTCTGCCCTCTTATCCCGCGGGCGCGCGTCTCGGCGCCGTCGGCGGGCTGCCGGGGCCTATCTCCTCAGGAGAACGACAGGATCGCCCAGATCTACCAGAAGGACCTGCAGCCGCGGAGGAGGAGGAGGAGGAGGAGGAGGAGGAGGACGAGGACGAGGAGGGGCGAACGCAGAGAACGAGGAGGACGAGGAGGACGAGGAGGAGGAGGAGGAGGAGGAGGAGGAGGAGGAACGGGAGCGGGAGGAGGGGGAGTCAGCATCGAGTCGCATTTGCTTTGCGATTCCCTCCCAAACTCCAGAGCCGTGGCTGCACGCGAGTTGCTCTGCGCCCTCACGAGACCGCTCTCTGTTTCCAGCACCATTTGCCACACGCGTTTCCGCACTGACCCGCAGGCTTAGTTAGTTGCCGCCGGACCTAATGCGGATCGCCTTGAAATGTGCGTGACGTCAAAAAGTCAGCGTCGTCGAGCCCAATCCTCTTCAGGGCTCGACCTAAACGGTGTTTGGGCGATCTCGTGCGCGGTTTTCGTTCCGAGGTCGTTTTGCAGCACGGCGGACCGGAGACAAAACGAGGGGAAGCGAACACACAGCGAAGGCGAGCAGCACTGCCTAGGTCGACCCATGGTCCCCCATCCCCGCTGGGCCAATGGAGAAGCTCAGCCCTAGAACTGCCAGCCCACACTTCCCAGGTGGGGGGGATGGGCCCCCGCGAAGCCCGCAGGCACAGGCATATATATATATATATATATCTATATCTACATATATATATAGATATACATACATACATATAGACATATATAAATATATGTATATAGATACACATATATATACACATACATATGTACACACATTTGATCCAGGGTCGAGGGTCGCCCCTCCCCCCCCCCAGTTGGGTGCGGCAGTTCGGCCACCCCCTCCTGAAACCTTCCCGAGGAAGGTTTTGAGGAATGCGTTTCCAAAAAAACCTTCCAAAAACTCTTCCGGAAAGGAACGTTTCTTCTTTTTTTTCTCCAAAAACCTTCCAACACCTTCTAAAACCCTTCCAAACCCCTTCCCTCCTGGAACCTTCCGGAGGCAGGTTTTAAGGAGGGTTCCTCTAAAAACCTTCCAACAACCTTCCTCCTGAGGGAAGTTTTTGCGAAGGTTTTTGAGGATGGGTCCCAGGGTTCACGGCCACCCCCCCCCCCCCGGATGGGATGGAGGTGGGGGGGAAGACGACGACGACGCTGCCGCCGCCGCCGCCGACGACGACGACGACGACGACGACGACGACGACAAGGACGAGGACGAGGACGACGCCGCTTCCGACGCCGACAACGACGATAACGACGCCGACGACGGCGACAACGACGCCGACGCCGACGCCGCCGCCGCCGACGACGACGATAACGACGCCACACCCGCAGGGCCACGACCACAGGGGGCGGGGGTACCCATCCAGCGGGGGTGGGGGAACCGATCCAGTTAGCAATGGAGGGAGGTGGGCGGAGCCCTGGATCATATATCCTCATCTAGTGGGTAGGGTGGCCAGTGGGGGCACTGCCACGCCAGTGGCGATATGCTTCAACGATGCTGATGACGGAGGAGGAAGACGAGGAGGAGGGGGAGGAGGCGTGGGGGGGAGAAGGCGGAGGAGGACGAGGAGGAGGATGACCCCCATCGGCGAAGGGCGGCGGCGGAGGTCCCAGCCGAGCTCCCCAGGGAGAGCGCGTCGGTCTCGGCCGGACGCGGGGCCCCGGAGGATTCCGAGGTTCCTCGTGCTCCATGCTCTTGCCCGCTCCGAAAACCTGCCGGCATCGATACGGTCAGCACGCTGACATAAGGATGAGGACTATGTTGGGCTCGGGAGGGGCTCCCCCATACAGGGGGGTCTTTCGACGAAAAGTAACAAGTACCCCAGAAATACACCAAAAAGGCAATAAAGTATTAAGAAAACAGTCCCCAGACCATTTTTGGATAATTTTTTGATTATTTTGGGGGTATCTTTTATTTTTCGTCGTCCCCCTGTAGGGGGACAGGCCCGACATAAACCTAGGTGGGGGATACTTTCTCGTGGCCAAGGCTGGCCGTGGCCAGAACAGTTCCTTCGGTCCTTTTGCAACGTCCCTCACGGCATAGGGTAACACGATGACTGCAGTGTCCTCGCGCGCCCCCTTGCTTCGGGATGCGTGCCCGCTCCGGACCACACTGCGACCGCACAGCGCCTCGTGAGCGGATGGGCGGTTGGGCGGGAGGCAGCTCAAATCGTATTGACGAAGTTTCTTTTGTGGCAACCCAGATGTCACAGCGGCGCCACGATCTTGGGTCAGCTCTGCCATTCTGATCAGCAAGCCGAGAGGCCGATGTGTCGATGCCTCCCGCTACTTGCACAGTCGAAGGGACCTTGCTTGACGCCTACTGTGCTGCACACTCCTGCGAAGCCTAGCTTGCGCTGCTACGCCCGCGCTGTCTCGGGGCCCTGTCGGTGTCGTGCGGCGCGGAGCCAATACGTGGAGGGAAGTCAGCTTGCTGTTTGATCAGGAGCGGCCTTCGGACGGCCTTTGTTTTTGCAGATGTCAGATTGACGGCCTTGCCATGTTGCTCTTCTGTATTTCGTGATTATTGCGATCCTTGGCACCGGAAGGCTTAGCATCAGCTGTAACACATATGAGAAGGCTGGGGGTCGCCCAAGAGGACTTGCCTGATCTCGCGGCTCACATCATCCCGTCGTACACGTACACTCATGAGCTTCCGACCTTCGTTGCAGTGCGTTCTCGTGACATGCCCCTCCTGACGGTTCGAAGTGGAGGTTTTCCTGAATCGCCCTGCTGTCTAGGTTCATGCTCAAGCGTGTTCTTGGGCTCTTGTTTGGGAGCCCTCGTCGAGCTCTCTTGCTGCTCGGCGGGGGCCCCGTACTCTCTACTGCGACTGGTCCATTGGCAGGGGGAAACTCTTAGGCGACGCTCCCCCGCTCCCCCAAGCTCAAAGTGGGCACGCGCGGGGGAGGCTGCGGTCGAAGTGGAACTCATCGGACCCACCGCCAACTATGAACACTGGGGGATGGGGGGGAGGCGCTGGCCCATGAATGTGGCATGCGTGTTCGCTGCTTCTTTGCCGAGGCCTGGAGGGGGCAGGCCCTCTCAGCACGCGGCGGAACTTAGAAGAAGGCTGGGGGCATTCTGAAATTGCCGAGAAGTGATGGGCCCATTTGTCCACCAACGCTACCATCATTCGGTAGGAGGAGGAGGTGGAGGAGGAGGAGGAGGAGGAGGAGGAGGAGGAGGAGAGAGGAGGAGGAGGAGGAGGAGGAGGAGGAGGAGGAGGAGGAGGAGGAGGAGGAGGAGGAGGAGGAGGAGGAGAGGAGAGGGAGGAGGAGGAGGAGGAGGAGGAGGAGGAGGGGAGGAGGAGGAGGTGGAGGAGGAGGAGGAGGAGGAGGAGGAGGGGGAGGAGGAGAGGAGGAGGAGGAGGAGGAGGAGGAGGGAGGAGGAGGAGGGAGGAGGAGGAGGAGGAGGAGGAGGAGGAGGAGGAGGAGGAGGAGGAGGAGGAGGAGGAGGAGGAGGAGGAGGAGGAGGAGGAGGAGGAGGAGGAGGAGGAGGAGGAGGAGGAGGAGGAGGAGGAGGAGAGGAGGAGGAGGAGGAGGAGGAGGAGGGAGGAGGAGGAGGAGGAGGAGGAGGAGGAGGAGGAGGAGGAGGAGGAGGAGGAGGAGGGGAGGAGGAGGAGGAGGAGGAGGAGGAGGAGGAGGAGGAGGAGGAGGAGGAGGAGGGGGAGGAGGGAGAGGAGGAGGAGGAGGAGGAGGAGGAGGAGGAGGAGGAGGAGGAGGAGGAGGAGGAGGAGGAGGAGGGAGGAGGAGGGGGAGGAGGAGGAGGAGGAGGAGGAGGAGGAGGAGGAGGAGGAGGAGGGAGGAGGAGGAGGAGGAGGAGGAGGAGGAGGAGGAGGAGGAGGAGGAGGAGGAGGAGGAGGAGGAGGAGGAGGAGGAGGAGGAGGAGGAGGGGAGGAGGAGGGAGGAGGAGGAGGAGAAGGAGGAGGAGGAGGAGGAGGAGGACCTCCGAGTCCTCCCTTCTCCCCCGCCCGACATATGGTAGTGGTGGTGGACAATTTGGGAAAATCTGCCCGTCAAGAAGGGCCCGCTCCCTATGCCGCTGCCCCTCCTGGGCGCGCCGCGGAGTCCCGAGTTGCGCCGGCGCGTGAGCGCCCTTCTTGCTGCCGCCCCCGCCCCCATGCCCCAGCACCCCGGGGTCCCTCTCCCTCTCCGTCCCCCCCCCTCCCCTCCCCCCCCCCCCCCCGCACACACACACACACACACACGCACGCACGCACACACAAACAAACAAACACACACACACACACGCACACCACACACACACACTCACACAGACACGCACGCACGCACGCGCACGCACGCACGCACGCACGCACGCACGCACGCACGCACGCACGCACGCACGCACGCACACACGCACGCACGCACGCACGCACACACACACACACACACCACGCACCACGCACACGCACACGCACACGCACACGCACACGCACACGCACACGCACACGCACGCACGCACGCACCACAAACACACACACGCACGCACACGGCACACGCACACGCACACGAACGCGTACACGCGCAAGCACACGAACACGCACATGCTCACACACACACACGCACACGCACACGCACACGCACACGCACGCACGCACGCACGCACGCGCACACGCGCACGCGCACGCACACAAACACGCACATGCTCACGCACACGCACACGCACACACAAACACACACACACACAGACACACACACACACACACGCACACACACACACACACGCGCACACACACACAAAGACACACACACACACACATTCGCACACGCACACGGACACGCTCACGGACACGCACACGCACACGCACACGCACACGCACGGGCACACGCACGCACGCACGCGCACACGCGCACGCGCACGCGCACGCGCACGCGTACACGTACGCGCACGCGCACGCGCACGCGAACATGCATAAGCATACGCATGCGCGTACGCACACGCACACGCACACGCACACGCACACGCAGGGATGGTCTCGGAGAGTCCTCAGGGAAGCACCCTGGCCTGAGCCTCCTGCCATCTCGGCTGCCGGGCTCGGAGGCCAGATCCCAGCCACCATGCCACCACGGTCAGCCACAGTGGGATGCCTGGGCATAGTCGCCACAGGCGAGGCGCAGTTGCCGCAAGCGGAGGCAATGTGCCACAACTTAGGCTACTGTAGGGCCCCGACCATCCGAGGCGGGGACTCGTCCATGCCTCAGAGGAGGAAAGGGCACCCATGCCGTTACCCTTTGGCCGTTGTCCCTTTTTCCGCCCTCCTGGAAGGCCCTTGCCGCTACCGCTGGATCTGCCTCGAAATCCTTGTCAGAACGCAACCCGGGAGAGGTCCGAGTAGCGGTACAGTCGGGGCCCTGAAGAAGGAACCCTTTTCGTTGGGGAGGGGCTCCGCGTTCCTCATGTGTTTCGAAGCTTGCCTCAGGCTTTCCTTAGGTTTTCGACCGGAAATCGAAGGTTAACTTGTGGAAAAAGGAGCCTCGTTCCTTATTTAGGGTTCCTTAGGTCAACGCCCCGACTGTAGCGGTATGGGTCCCTGTTGGTTTCTTCATCACTGCCCACCGCCCAGGGGATCGATGTTCGGGAGCCTCGGCAGGCGGTGGATAAGTATGGACACCCCCACCCCAGGTCTCTGGAGGGGGTCTGAGAAAGAGAGGGAGAGAAAGTCGTGCCCCGTCAGCGGTGCACTGGCAGAGCTGTGAAAGTAGACTGGGTATAGTACACTTCTGGCGTCTCCGCTGGCCGCCAGGCGGCGCACGGGTCGTTCGTCGTCAGCGGACGTCCTCGAACGAACAAGGGTGGTTCGGCAGCAAATCATGGGAGCCTCGCATCAGCTCTTAATTCCGTCTTCAGCGTCGATTCAGCGTCGACTGGTGTCGATCGGCGTCGACTTGCAAGAGCCGACGGGATGGTATGGGAGGCTCCCATGGGTTGCCACCGAAGGGTGGAACTGCGAAGCACGAGGGCTCACATTCCAGGGCCAACCGTGTTCACATCTGCCGCCTGCTGCGGGAGACCGATCCCCCAGGCGGCGGTTATGGCCACGTCCCCGCCCCAGAGAGCCCGTCGGGAGCAGGCCTCCGACCCCAGACCTGCGGCGCGCTCCAGCTTTCGACTCCGTGGGCCCCCGGAGTCGACGAAGAACCACACGTCACCAGCCTCGAACGTATCCCTATCCCTAAGATTTGACACGCCCAAAGGCGATGACAATCTGAGGGATTCGCCCCGAAAAGCTGAGGGAATCCCCAAGATTGGCATCGTGATGAGGGGATGCCCAGCATAGGGATAGGGATATGTCCCAGGCTGGTAAACACGGCATAGACGTGAGCTTCTGGCGCTCCGCGCGGATCTCTTGGCTCCGCGTTGGGCCCTCTCGGCGGCGCCTCCCCGCGCCCGCTCCGCGTGCCAGGGAGGGTGGGGGGTCCAGCGCAGAGCCAAGAGTTCCGCGCGGAGCTCCAGAAGGTTTATGCACATGGCATTTGTCCTCCTCTAAAGAAGTCTGGACCTTTGTGGGCCCCAGAAACGGCAGGGCCGTTTTTTCACCGTTTCCCCAAAAATGTCCCTTGAAAATGGAAACGGCAAAACAACAGCGACCGGAAACGGCAAACAAAAACGGCTCCAGGATTGGAACCGGAGCCGGAATCGGTCAAAAAACGGCGACGGAACCGGCAAAACAACGGCGTCGGAACCAGCAACAAAAACGGCAAAACGGAACCGGTAAAAAAACGGCCCGTCGTTTCCAGGGCCCATTAAGCCCCCGTCCCTCCGTCTGTCGGCCCGGTCTGTCTCCTCCTGTCGTCCCCCCCCCTCCCTCTGCCCCCCCTCCCTTTCTCGCTCCTCGGCTCCACGCTCTCCGGCCCGCTGCTGCTCCTTGCTTGGCCCGCTCTTCTCTGCCGGCCCGCCCCGTGGTCCGACGAAGAGTGGCGGCGGCCCGCTCTGCCACACTGGCCTCCACGCTGCCCGATCTCGTCGAGCGCCACGAAGCTGAAGTCGGGCGTGTCCTCCTACAGGAGGAAAGTCCAAAAATAGTCCAAAAATAGTCCGGGCATGCTTGCTCGACTCTTTAAGGTACTATGTGGTAGGGTATCTTTGAACTCTTTGCTGCTTGTCGTCCAACATCCGCCTGTAGGAGGACACGCCCGACCCAAACGAAGCCGCGAGGAGCTCCAGTGCAAGGACGAGCTGATGGTGCACCTGCGGGACGCGACGCAGAAGGCGGGCCCGCTCCCGCGCCCCCCTACGGCCGTCGTGCCGCGCGCCGCTGCTCGCGCCGCCGCCGTGCGGCAGGCCGTGCCGCCTGGAAGGCGCCTCGCGAGGGAGGCTTTCGTGGACCTCTTGGATCGGCGTTGGACCCCCTCCCTCCCAGGGCTCCTTCCGATCCCTCCGATTCGATTCGATTTCGATGGCCTCGGGTTCCGATGCGATTCGACTTCGCGCTCCGAGTTGGTCTTTGATTCCTCACTGCAGGCCTACTATAGCCTGCCGATGTCTGCCGATTCGACTTCTCCCGGCGTGGCTGCCGCCTTCCGATCCGTTTCTTGTCGCTCGCCGATGCGACCTGTCGACTCGATTCTGGGCTCTCCTGCCCTCCCCTGGCGCACGAGGGGTGCCAGAGGCGGCGCCAGAGGCGCTCAAGTTCGGGGGCGGGGGGGCGGCGGCCACGACCTAGGAAGCCCGCGCCGCGGAGCTCTCAAGGCCCCCCCCGCTCTGCGCATAGACGCCCCAGAGACCCGACGCTCCGGCAAAGGTGGTCGCTGCTGCTTTCGGCTCCCGGGAGCCCCGGACGGGCCCGTGTATTCGCAGCGTTTTTTTTGTAAATTGCAAACTTGCAGGAATCAGAGCGGTTGAAGATAGGGGGAAGTTAGGGGATAGAAGACAGGCGCAAATATGAAAAGGTATCTTCCACAACTTCAACCCAACTTCCACAACTTCTCTTGAACTATCAGAACTTGTCTTGGGGCATCTTAGAACGACTCGGGATGCAGAGCCGGCCTTTGGGGGAAAGTGGTCCGGGCTTCCGGGTTGTCCACGCACCGGGCGCCCGATGGCTGGGGGGGGGTCTTGGCTTGTCAGGGGAGGGAGAGACACCGACACCGCGGCTCGTCCAGGGGAAACCTTGTCGCCCATGCTACCATCTCCGGGGGATTTTGGTAGGAGCGCACCCCGGGAGAGATCCGAGGAGGGTATCTTTTCGCACCACGGTGGTGCGAGACGTCCGAGAGGTCCAAGAGGCCCGCTCCGGGGATTCTGGTATGAACGCACCGCGGTGGAGATATCTTTTCGTTCCCCCAACTTCTGCGCCTCGGAGGGGTGATAGGGGGGGAGGAGCAGCAACGATGGGGAGGGGTTGCCTGTCTGCGGCGGCGGCGGCGCCGGCTGGCCTCGAAGACGCCCCAGGGCGTGCTCTCTAGGGCCTCCCAGCCGTCGTCGTCGCTGCCGCGGCTGCAGCGCCGCCACAAGCAGTGGCGGCGGCCCTGGGAGCCCAGACGCCCAGGACTGCTTCACGGTGCCCTTGGCATCGCTCGGACGTGTGCATGTTTCCTTCGGCGAGGACCATCGAAGAGCATCCTTGATCGTTTGGCGAAAAGCCACGCACAAGACCGAACAAAAACAGATGGAATGGACGTCCGAGCGATGGCCAGTGCCTGTCCCCGGAAGTCTCGATGCCGATCCCCTGGGGCAGGTTTTATCGATCCGTGGCCCTGCGCCGGGCGGGGCCAGGCGCAAGATCGTTCCAGAGCGTCGTGGGACGCTCTCAGAATTAAGTCGGGCCTGTCCCCCAGACAGGGGGATTGTCGACGAATAATCAAAAATACTAAACATATATTTGAAAATGATCCAGACATGCTCAAAAAATAGTCACGGGACTATTTTCTATCATTATCTGATCATTATTTTTTGAATTTTTCGTCGAAAATCCCCCTGTAGGGGGACACGCCCGACATAACGCTCTCAGAATGTCCCAGGGCGCTCTGGAACGGCCTGCGCGGGGGCCCCCCGGAGGCCGACGGCGTCCACGGGCCGCCCGTCGTGGTTGTCTACTCGCGGCGCGAGGGTGGGCCCGGGAGGAGGGCAGGAGGAGCAGGAGCAGCAGGAGGAGGGGAGGGGGAGGGGGGGCAGGAGGAGGAGGGGCGGGAGGAGGAGGAGGGGAAGGATGAGGTGGAGATGGAAGGACAGGAGGAGGAGGAGGAGGAGGAGGAGGAGATGGAAGGAGAAGGAGGAGGAGATGGAAGGAGGAGGTGGAAGGAGGAAGAGGAGATGGAAGGAGGAGGAGGAGGAGGAGATGGAAGGAGGAGGAGGAGGAGGAGGAGGCGGAGGAGGAGGGGGAGGAGAAAGAGGGGGAGGAACGCGGGGGGTCCTGGGAAGTACGGATGGCGGCCCTCCGCCGCCCAGTGGCAGGCCCGCGCGGCGGGCATCTCGCCCGGGCCCCCGACCGGCATGGCGGGCGGGCACGCGCTGCAGGCGCCGTCCGCCGCCGGGGGCGGCAGGGGCTCAGGTGCGGGTGCCCGAGGAGGCACGCCAGGGGCAGAGAGACACAGCGGGCACACTCCACTCGACCAAGGAAAGCGGCACAAACACACACGACAACACGAATAACAACCACCACCGCCACCACAACAACAACCACAATACCAACAACAGCAGCAACAACAACGACAACATCATCCTCAGCAGCAAAACACGTTCGGCGCTGCGCGCTGCCCGCGCGCCAGCGAGGGGGGACCCACGAAATTTGCGCGGACATCCTACAATTCATGTTTATGCACTTCCTTCCTCCTCCATCCACGTTGGGGATCTTTCCACTCCCACGGATCAGCCAGCAGTTAACTCGAGGCCTCCCTAACGGGTTCAGAATGTATGTGTATATCCATATTTCTCTCTCTCTCTCTATATATATACACCCATTCAAATAAATTCGAAAGACCCCTTAGTGGCCCCGGCCCCCCCGGCCCCCCCGAGAGCCCCCAAACGGCCCCAAACGGCTCAAAAACACTTCTTAGTGGCCCCGGGCCTCCAGAGAGCCTCCAAACGTCCCCAGAACACTTCAGACGAGCCTGCCCGCGGCCACCCGAGGTCCCGGGCCTGCCCAAGACGGCCTTCACACGGCCCAAGATGCTTCCTAAATTGGGCCCCATCACACAAAAATCGTATCATTCCCCTCGTAAAATTGCTACTTTCTGCACATTCTCTTTTTCCGTTTTCGACGCGCCCACGACGGCCCCAGAGGCTTCCGACACCGTCCCAAGACTGCCCGAGACGTCCCCAACAGGGCTCCAAGATGGTTCCTGACTGCCCCAGGACGGCCCAAGAGGGGCCCAAGACGGCCCAAGAGGACCCCAAGAGGGGCCAAAGACAGCCCACCATGGCCCCAGGAGACCCCAAGACGGCCCAAGAGGCGCCCAAGGCGGCCCCGAGAGGGCCCAAGAGAGCCCCTACACGGACCAAGAGTGCCCCGAGAGGCCCCCAAAGGGGCACGTCCCCGCGGACTACAGGAACCACTCCTCGATTTACATAAAGAGAAACCAAATATACCCAAAAACAAACGCACCCTAGAGATAGGGCCTCAAGGCCCACCTCGAATCACCCATCGGCCGCTTTTCAGCGCCCAACATAGCTGAAACCGTGGCCGCTGCGACACCTCACTTGGGGTACGTCGTCCTGGGAGTACGTTTGCCCCGTCCCGACTACAGGTACCCTCCCCGGATTATAGGTGCCCCCGGAACGAGTGAGGGTCAAAAGTATTCTTGCGTGCGCATCGTAAATGAAATCCGTTTCCCCGTAGGTGCCTTACTCAATTTCGTGGTGTGCCTGGGAAGCCGCTAAAATTCAGAGCACTTCACAAAATATCAGATCGACCATTGCCCCATGTGTTCTTATATTCCGACTGTTAATTTCAATCGCCGACTGAAGAGATCGAGAGAGAGAGAGAGATACAGAGAGAGACATGGAGAGAGAGAGAGAGAGGTAGACGAAGAGGAACATCTGGGACGGAGGCAGGCGAGCACGGGGAGCGGGATCGAAATTTGAAACGCGACTCGTCATCCTCGTCCTCCCCTTGCTCATGTGCCTCCTTCCGTTCTTGCTGCTCCTGCTGCTGCTGCTGCTCCTTGGTCTGAACCCGCCCTCTCTGCATCCCATTCCTGTTCCTGCTCCTCTTCGTGCCCCGTTGCTCCTCCAGGTGAGGCTGCCCCTCCTCCTCTGCCCTGCCTGAAGAAAGACCGGCCAGCGTTGACCCCCCTCACCGTGTGCAGCTTCTTGCCTGGAGCGGCGGAGGCATGGGTGGTGCATACTGCTTGGTGCGCGCCGACACACCATCCCTGGCGAGAACCAAGCACACACAGAGCGCGTCTGCACACACGGGTTCCTGCTGTTCGGTGGGCTCGCGCGCGGCGGCGCGCCGGAAGGTCGCCCGCGGCTCAGCGCGGCGGACCGATTGGAGCAGCTGGCCTGGCCGTCGCCGCCATGTGCACACACAGACACAGACACGCGCAGCTTGTCCTCCAGCGCGTCGACGGGGGGCAATCGACGGTCAGCGAGTTGCTACAAAAGGCGGGTCACGCTCAAGGAAAAGCACACGCACACACTTTTACAAACTTTCTCGTCCGCCAGCGATGTGACATCGCAATCGGGATAGAATGGCACGGGAAGCGAACATCTGAATTGCATTGTGTGTTGAGGGAGGGACGCGTCTTTACGCACAACACACACACACACACACGCACGCACGCACGCACGCGCGCGCACGCACGCACACGCTCAATTATTTGCTGATGTGGAGCGACCCTGTCCCAGCCTACGCACACACGCACTTCGGATACCATGGCCCCCCACCACCATCATTCTGCGGTTGGTCTTGACAGGGGTCGTGTGCGAGTGGCGTGCGCATATCGTGTGCCTCTACGTGCACCTGCGCACTTGGCGCGTGTGACGCACCTGGCGGACCTGCAGCGGATGCCGTACCTGGCACACTTAGCGTCCATCCTTCTTGGTGCCATCAGCGGTTGCCCACGGCGTAGCGGCCGCTGCTTGTGCTGAATCTTGGGTGGGGGAAGTGCGAGGGGGCAAGCCGTCTCAGAAGGCGACGGGGCTTCTCAGGAGGTGATCGTTTTCAAATTCATTGTTTTGCCGATCGGCGCGGGCACTCGCACCCCCCCCTCCCCGCCCCCTCGGGAGTAGATCTTGGTACTTTTTGTCGCCTGTTTCGAGCAGGTGGCGTCTCTCCCCCATGGGACGCACTGCTGCAAACAGTCGCACCAAGCAGAGGTCTGGAGCCAGACCCCCCGCCTCCGCCCCCATTTCCGCCCAATGTCGAAGCACCGAAGAAGATCACGTTCACGAGCCTTCTGGCCGTCTGGAGAAGTCCCCTGTGGATTCGCACAGGGCCTACCAAGCTTCTCGCGCTTCTGAGCCCTGCTGAGGTAAGGCCCGCCCACTCTGCCTCCCGTACATGGACTTTATCTTCGAGCCCTGTAGCCCAGGATGCCCCCCAGACCCCCCGACATTAATTTTGATAGCGTGGCGACGGGGGGGGGCGTGAGTGGACAGAAATATTCGAACCCCAAAGCACCGCATCCACTGAGATCAACATTGATGTCGGGGGCGCGGGGGTGGTTTAGAATCTCCATCGAATATGTAAGGGTTCGAATCTATTGTCCATCCACTGTCCCCCCCCCCCGGGGCGCGCCGCCACCGCTGTGCTGAAAGGTTGGCCGGGAGCGAGCGAGGCCGCTCGTGCCCTCCCTTCCTGGGTACCCCTGCGCTGGCCCCAGCCACCGCTCCCTGCCCGGCTGCCTCAGGCAGGCCCCGCCGCCGTGCCGGCTCAGCACTTGCTGGCCCTCCTCCCCCCGCCCTTCTTCAAGCAGTGGCGAAGCGTCCTGGCTCGCCCATAGCCCCACCAAACAATGTTCTAAGAACCTTTCCTGGTTTCCACGAAATGTTAGAACATTTCTGGCCGGGACTGTCTGGTTTAATCACATCGGGCTTATGTTCTAAGAACTTTGTTCTTGTTCTTAGAACATTTGTTGGTTCAAAGAACGCTTCGTGGTAGGACTATAGGAATGCCTGGACGGTCGGTCCCTGCACATTTTCTCGGACGGGGCTATAGAACGAGGCCAAATCCGATCCAGAGCGCTCCGGAACGCTGGACGCTCTGAGCAGGCCGCGGCGCCCGAGACACCCTCCAGAGCCGCCATATCTCAGAGATTCTCGACTTATCCTCACCCGATGTTTGTCTTCGTCCCTACTCCCTACAGTCGACCCGCATAGTAAGGACGAGCGACTTTTCCAAGACTGCCCTTGCATCCTTCCCCCTTCGGCCCATCCTTGGCCGCTTCCGCTGGCCACCTCGCTCGCAGAGTGTCGACAATGCTTTCCAGGGCCACCGCGCCTCCTTATGATACGGGCTGACTGACTCTACACCACCTACACTGCCCCGTCCTGGCTTAGTCTTACCTTTCCCCCCGCCCCCCACTCGAGGCCGCCTGGTTGGGGTCCGAGTAGATGGGGTCGGAGGATCGCGCCGCATCGCCGATGCGGCGCGATGCGGAGCCCGATATTCTCCATGCCGACGGCGCCGGTGCGTCGCTGACGTCGCCGATGCATCGCCGATGCTGCGCGATCCTCCCACCCCATCTGCTCTGACCCCACCCTGGAGGCGTCTATACACCACCTACACCGCCTCGTCCTGGCTTCGTCTTGCGTTCCCCCCCGCCCCAAGCGCCCGCCCAGATGGGCACCGGTGCCCTACATCCTGCACTACCTACACCACCTCTCGGTGGCCATATGCGAACCTTGCCCCACCACCCCACGATTTCTGGGGGGGAGGTGGGTTCCCTTCGCTTGGGGGGTCCCGATAACGAAATGGACCCCACCTATACGCCCTTAGAAATCGTGGGGTGGTAGGGCAGGGTTCGCATGTGGCCTCCGAACCTCGTCCTGGCTTCGTCTTACCTTCCCCCCCCGCCCCCTACGAGAGACAGGACTTCTCTGAGATGCTTCAGAAGGTAGCCAGAGTGGACCGAACATGCAGCCCTGGGCTGCCCCCCACTTTGGGGGGACTCGCGCTTCAAAGATAAACGTCCCCTGAGATCCGATGAACTCAACACCCTAAACCCGACGGTCAGGCGTCTTCACACCGTGCTTGTTGGCTCCCACCATACGAAAACCTCAGGATTTCCTGAAATTCCTCCGAAACCGCCCCAGAACTTGCAGCAAGTCCGGGACCGCTCGTTCCAACATTTTCCCGTGGATATCCGTTAGACGTCTCTCCAACATCCCCAGCAGACGTTTCCAGGCACGTTCCCAGAGTGCTGTGGGAATTCAGGGGCCACCGGCCCTAAACCCTAAGAGGCTTTAGTTTGGGAGGTCGCCGGCCTTGCGGCCGGGGGTGGGCAAGTGTTGCATGTCTTGCTGCCTCTGCCAAGCCTGATCGGGTCGGCGAAGCGCCCCCCCCAATCAAACTTGCTGAAGGGGGGGCAGCCTTGCCTTGACTGTCGGCCGCTGCGCTACGTGAAGCCCTACACCCTAAACGCTAAACCCTAAACCCTAAACCCTAACCTCTGGACGCCCGACGTGGGCACGGAAAGAATGGGTACAATGCCCAACAGCAGTTCCTCTTCATTTTGAACCGGGTTCGCTGTCCACGCCGCCGCGGCCTGTGTCCCTTCGAGACAGCAGGCCGCCTGCCCAGCAGCGGCCGCGGTTGGTCTGGGAAAACATGTGCTGTTGGGCATTGTACCCATTTTTTCCGTACCCATATCGGGCGTCCAACAGGGAGACCGGGACGGAGAGGGGGATGAGGTAGAATGGAGAGGCGAGGAGGGAGCTGGTGTGACAGGGGAGGAGGAAGGAGGCAGAAGGACGAGGGCAGGAAAGAGCGGGCAGGATGCCGATGGAGGTTGGGAGGAACGAAGACCGAGGAGGTCCAAATAACCCCACCCGCGCGTCCAAATAACCCCCCCCCGCGCGCGCTCGCTCGCCCACCACATGGGCCCCGGGGCCCCGGCGGCCGCCCTGGCGGCGGCGCTGCTGGCCGGCACGGCGTGGCGGCGGGCCACGGCGCACGCGGCGGGCGCCGCGGCCGCGGCGGCGGGCGCCGCGGCGGGGCTGCATGCCGCGGAGGCGGCGGTCGGGGGGTCGGGGTCCATAGGCTTAAGTCGGGCCTGTCCCTCTACGGGGGGGAAATTCCGAAGTAGTCAAGATACAGTAGCGGGGCGATTTTTGAGCATTTTTTTTTTTAAAAACATTTTGGGGCATTTGCGGCGGGCTTGTCCCTCTACAGGGGAATATTCAAAAGTAGTCAAGAAACAGTAGGGGGACGATTGTTTGAGTATTTTTTAAATATTTGGGGGCATTTGCGGCGGGCCTCTACAGGGGGAGTATTCAAAAGTAGTCTAGAAACAGTATGGGGGCGATCTGTTGAATATTTTTTGAGCATCCTGGGGAAATCCGCCTGTAGGGGGACAGGCCCGACCTAAGCCTATAGGCTTAGTCTGGTTGTTCCAAGCGGGGGTCCAGCGATCAGGGGGTGGTGCAATAGGTTTGGTGCAATCTACGCATGGGGTTGCAATAGAGTCGGGGCGTGCAAGACATTCCGGTGCGCAGATGTGTTGCTGGGTCTCCGTGTGCAGGACAGTAGTTGCAAGACAATGCGATGCAAGTCTTTGGCGCAATATATCTGCAATACACTTGCCCCAAACGTAGTGCACCACCCCCTTTCAGCTGGACCCCCTATTGGGTCAACCAAACTTAGGTCGGGCACGTTCCTCTACAGGAGGAATATCCGAGAATGGTTAGAACGAAATAGTCTGAGGGCGATGCCTCGTGATCTTCCGACCATTTTTGAATATTTGTTTTGAATTATTCTTAATATCTCTTTGAAATTCCGACTGTAGAAGGACCTGCCCGATGTATGTCTAGGCCTCCTAGATAGGGTCGGGGACCCAGTGGTCGGAATCTGGGCCTCCTAGATGGGATTCGGTAGCAAATCATGGGAGCCCGATGATGATGGAGAAAAACGTATGCGTAGACATCAACTTTTCTGGCGCAAGAGAAGAGGTTTAGACATACAGTAAACTTGTTGGCGTTCCGCGCGGATTTCTGGGCTCCGCGCTGCCCCCCCGCCCGGCGGCGCCCCTCGCCTACGCGGGCTCTGTGGCCCTCCGTATGTAGGAGGCGAAAAAGCACACAGACACGATGAACCGTCGATCCCCAGGGAGATGTAGGAAGATGTGGGAAGTGGGGGGGGGGGAGGACGAACACCCCGGAGATGTGCGAAAATAGGGGGAAGCCTGTTTTTTTTTTTTTTTTTTGTGTGTGTGTGTGTGTGTGTGTGTGTGTTTCTCTGTGCGTCCCAGGGCCCCTCCACGTCCTGCCGGGGCGGCGCCGCGGCAGGCGCGGGAAAGGCGGGTGACCCCCCGCCTCCGTGCCCGCCGAGCTGCCCTCCCGCACGGTGGGCCATATGTACAGATATATATATAATACATATATATATATGTATACATGCATACATATATGTATATATATATGTATATATATATATATATACAAGACTGCACTGGCGCTGATGTATATATATATATGTATGTATATACACATATATATATACTCAAACCCTTTTACACCTTCGAGGGGGATTCCAAATCACCCCCCGCGCCCCCGACACGAAGGAAGGAAGGGAAGGGAAGCAGGCAGGAGGGAAGGGCACGAGCGGCCCCGCTCGCTCCCGGCCAACCTTCCAGCACAGCGGTGGCGGCGCGCCCCCCCGGGGGGGGAGGGGGGACAGTGGATGGACAATAGATTCGAACCTTCACACCTTCGAGGGAGGTTCTAAATCACCCCCGCGCCCCCGACAGCAATGTTGATCTCAGTACCTTTTGCACCTTCGAGGGAGGTTCGAAACCACCCCCGCGCCCCCGACAGCAATGCTGATCTCAGGAAAGGCGGTGCTCTGGGGTTCGAATCTATTTCCGTCCACTCACGCCCCCCCCGTCGCCACGCCATCAGAATTCATGTCGGGGGGGTCTGGGGGGCATCCCGGGCCACAGGGTTTGACTGTAGTGTCCATGTACGGCCCCCCTCCCCGCTCCCAGACCCCCTCGCGTTGTGACGAGATCACGGCGGCAAGTGCCTCCCTGCTTTCGGCCTCCGGGGGGGCCCCTGACCGACTCGGGGTGAGAAGCCGCTGGGTCCCCTGACCCTCCAGGAGGGCAAAAAAATAGCACCCGACCCAAAAACCTATCCCAGAGCTACTCTACGTCTTGGTTTTAGGCCGTTTCGCTCCGCTTTTTAGGCTTTTAGGCTTCCAGCGCTAAAAAACAGCTCTCTGGAAGGTCAGGGTCGCCGACGTCGGGGGCCCGGGCTCCGCTCACCGCGGGCCGCACTCCCGGCTCGGAGCGGCGGCGCTCCCGCCTCCGCGCGGGCCGTATACCCAGCGTAACAGTGCGCCGCTTCAGTGCGAGCGCGCTCGCGGAGATGGCTCCAGGGGGCGCGCCTCGTGGGGGGTCCCCCCTTCCACCCTCTCGCGGTCGCGCTCCGTCTGCTGCTCGAGCCAGGTTCGCGAGAAACGATTCGTATTCTTCGAGTCCTCTTGACGGGTGCCGTCGGGGTCTGTGTACTTAGCTCGAGCTGTAGGAGAGCTACGGAGCTGGTGCGCACACGTAATCGATTCAGAATCATCCGGCGCGTTCATCCGAAGCATCTGGAGGTCCGAACTCGGCGGAGAGGACGGCGAGGCGAGGCGACGCCGCAGGCCCCGAGAGGGGCCCCGTCGTGGCCACGGCTGGCGGCGGGACGCAGCTCGGAGCACTGGCAGGCTCGGACGCCCGGAGGGGATCACCACCAGGGAGACACAGAAGCACCACCGCCAGCTAGGGTGATGTCGGGCCTGTCCCCCTACAGGGGGCTTTTCGACGAAAAATAAAGATTATCCCAGTGCGACCCTACCTAGGAGTTGGAGCATCTAGGAAAGCAACATCTACATTTACACCGACAGCTACATTAACATCTACACCTGCATCTACATCTACATCGCCTTTGCATTGCCTTGCTTGTGCTTTCGCTTTGGTTACGGAAGGCACTGCTTGCGGGGGATCCGGTCCGGCCATCGAGGTTAGCTCTGCATCTGTCGCACATTGTTTTTGTTTTGCCTTTCCGTTGCTTTGCTTTTGCTTTTGCTTTGCTTTGATTTGCGTTGCTTGTGCTTTGCTTTGCTGTCGCTGCTGTTGCTCTGCCTTTGCTTTGCTGCTATGCTATGCGATGTTCGGCTATGCTATGCTATGCTATGCTATGCTATGCTATGCTGCGCTGTGCTATGCTGTGCTGTGCTGCGCTATGCTATGCTATGCTGTGCTATGCTATGCTGGGCTATGCTATGATATGCTATGCTACGCTATGCTGTGCTCTGCTATGCTATGCTAAAGCTCAGCGAAGCTAAGATGACGGTAAGTTTAGCTAGGATAAACCTGAACTAAGATGAAGCTAAGCTAAGCTAAGCTAAGCTAAGCTAAGACGAAATAAGCTAAGTTCCGATGAGATAAGCAACGCTAAGCTAAGGGGCCGTAACTGGGGGAACCGCGGGGCGGATGCCGGGGGAACCGCCCGGGGCGAGCCCCACTGCCCGGCCCCTTTAAGACACAGGGTAAGAACCCTTCTAGGCAGAGCCTAGGTAGGGAAATACCCCCAAAATGGTCAAACAATATTCTAAACCTAGTCCAGGTACTATTTTTCAGTATTTTTTTGACCTTTTTGGGGCATGTTTCTGGTATTTGTTGTTTTTCGCCGAAAATCCCCCCGTATGGGGGGACACGCCCGACATACAGCTGGGGAGGCTGCCCTCTCCCTCCCCCCGAGCCCGTGGCACCCCGTCGAGTTCTGAGGATGGAGCTCTGGTGGTGGCGGCGCTCTGCGCTCTTTCGCGCGCGTTCGGGGGGGCGATCGTGAGATTTGCCGTTGTCTTGGCTCGCCCTGCTCCGACACGCCGCTCGGATCCAGGCGAGTTCCAAGGATGGAGTTCTGGTAGTGGCGGCTCTCTGCGCTCTCGCGCGTTGCGGGGGCCGATCGTGAGCTGCCGTTGTCTTTCAGGAGGAGGAGAAACACACAGACACAATTAATCATCGACCCCCCAGAAAATATGGGAAAATATGGGAAGTGGTGGGGAAGATAAAAACCAAGACAATATGGGAAAATATGGGGAATCGTTTTATTTGTGTGTATTTATATGTGTGTCCCAGGGCCCCTTCAGTCTTGGCTCGCCCTGCTCCGACACGCCGCTCGGATCTAGGCCTCCTGGATGGGGGACGAGATGGTGGGGCCCGAGGATCGCGCCCCATCGCCGATGCATCGGCGATGCGGCTCGATGCGGAGCCCGAGTTCCTCCACGCCGACGTCGCCGATGCGTCATCCACGTCGACGATGCACCGCCGGTGCATCGCCGATGCATCGGCGACGTATCGCCGAGGAATCGGCGATTCGGCGCGATCCTCCGACCCCATCTACTCCGACCCCATCAAGGGAGGCCTCTATCGCTGTGGAGGACGATCCATGGAGAGGAAGCATGTTGCCACATAAGTTCCAGATGCCTAAACCATGTATCAGACATGCTTTAAACACGTAAAGCACATGTCTCAAACACGTTTCGAACAATTTCCTTACATCTAATACAACATTTAGATTTAAGTAAGGATAGGACTGCTTGGGTGTCCATTGCCGTGGCAGCCGCAACTCTATCGGAGTGGCCCTCCAGCCTGCCTCGCTCCAGGGGGGGGGGGGGGGGGCAGAGCCCGGCGGCCGGGCCACTCCACAAGTAACCCCGTGTTCGGCGGCGCTCGCCGTCGTCACCGCCGCTCTCTCCCTGCTCCTCCTCCTCCTCCTCCTCCTCCTCCTCCTCCTCCTCCTCCTCCTCCTCCTCCTCTCCTTCCTCCTCCTCCTCCTCCTCCTCCTCCTCCTCCTCCTCCTCCTCCTTTTCCTCCTCCTCCCCTCCTCCTCCTCCTCCACCTCCTCCTCCTCCTCCTCCGCCTCCTCCTCCTCCTCCTCCTCCTCCCACTCCTCCTCCTCCTCCCTCCTCCTTCTCCTCCTCCTCCTCCTCCTCCTCCTCCTCCTCCTCCTCCGCCTCCTCCTCTGCTCGGGTCTGTGGCTCCCCGGGCGCGACGCGCCCCCGTAAGGCCCCCCTCCGTCAAGCCGTGGCGCAGCGCCCTGGCTCGCTGATAGGCCCACCAAAGAAAGTCCTCAGAGCATTTCTTGTCTTTTGGTGGTCTGCGCGAAATGTTAGAACATTTCTGGCCGAGCCTGTCTTGTTCTAGCACATCGGGGTCATGTTCCAAGAACGTGGTTTTCGTTCCTGGAACGTTTTTTGGTTCTCAGAACATTTCGTGGTAGGCCTATAGAAATGCCGTGACCGTCAGTCCCTGCTCAACTCCAGCAGCACGCGGGTTATACTACGCAACTCTTGGGAGGTGGAATTCAGCATCGGCGATGATAGATCCGTGATCGAACACCAGCCTAAATCGGTGTAGTTCTGGCTAGTTCCTGTCCCACCTCCAGCAGCACGCGGGTTATGGGACGCAACTCTTGGGAGGTGAAATTCAGCATCGGCAATGCTACATCCGTGATCGAACACCAGCCTAATTCGGTGCAGTTCTGGCTTGTTCCTGTCCTGCCCCACCTCCAGCACCTCGCGGATTATAGGACGCACCTCTTGGGAGGCGAAATTCAGCATCGGCGCTGGTATATCCGGGATCGAAAACCAGCCTAATTTGGTGCAGTCCTGGCTAGTTCCGGTCCCCCCTCTCGCAAGGACGCACTTCTTGGGAGGTGAAATTCAGCATCGGCGCAGTCCCGGCTAGTTCTGCTCAGTCCCGCTTGATCCAGCTCAATCCCGGGCTTAATTTAGGCCGATCTGGCGACATGGCTAGTCTTCGGGTTGGACAGCCCGTAGCCGTTCCCACGAAGCCTTCCCAGAAGTTGCCTCCCAACGCAGATGGCAGGTAACTAGCCAGCTCGTGCACGCTCGCCTCCTCCCCTCGGGGGTAGACACAACCCCTCGTAGCAGAGTGCCCTTTGGTGGAAACGGCCCGGGGCCAGGCCCAGAGGGCGCAGGCCTGCAAAATTGCAGCCGCGGCGACATCCCGCGAGAGCCGAGAAGACGGGCAGTCCTCGCCGATGCGGCTTGGCAAAGCAGCAGGAGTGCTAGCAGCCCACGATCCCCCTCGTGCCCCCCACCGACCCGGCCGTCTCGCCCCCGCTCGCCCCCTCCGCCGCTTGGGTGTGGGCGAACTTGACTGTCTGACTCCAGGCGTGGGCAGCAGCAGCAGCAGCGCAGCAGTCAAGAGTCAGGAATGTTCTGTGGGACAGCAGCCCAGAGTTGGGAAGCCAAGCCTTGGCTTCCTAACCCTGGCAGCCAAGCGTAGCAGCCAAGCGTAGCAGCAGCCAACTCCCCAGACCGACCTCTGTCAGGAAGCCTCCGCGGCGGCCGGGAGCCGCAGGGGACTGCTGCCGGGCCACCTGCAGTTCAACGTGTCTGCCTGCGCCGGCTACGCGAGCGACAAAGACATCGGGAGACCCGCTGCGCTGACCGACCGGATTGCCGTGGTCCCCCTTCCCTGGAGGAGGCCGGAAGGACGAGGAGGACAGAGGGAGGAGGGAGAGGAGGAGGAGGAGGAGGAGGAGGAGGAGGAGGAGGAGGAGGAGGGGAGGAAGAGTATGAGGAGGAAAGAGGGAGGAGGGATGAGGGAGGATGTCCGCAGCGAGCAGGAGGAGGGAGAAAACGAGGGAGAGGAGGAGGAGGAGGAGGAGGAGGAGGAGGAGGAGGAGACTTCTCGCCCCTAATCCCCGAGTTCCCCCCAAGACTCAGGACGGTCAGGAAAAGACAGTATACTCGGGGATGTTTCGAGAAATCCATTATCGGACGCACCCCCATCGAGAATGGAGGCACCCCCCAATGGAGGCACGCCCCAATGGGGTGTCCCCGAGTTTGACGCAGCGTTTGTTCGTCCACAAAAAACTGCTAGTCAGCGCGAACCGCACTCAGCGTGTTTTTAGCGATATAGGTTGCGCAACATGTATAGTGCAATATATGTGGTGCAAACTATGTTGCGGAATCTATGGTGTCAATATATATATATATATATGTGGTGCAATCTATGTTGTGCAATCTATGTGGTGCACTCTACGTGGTGAAATCCATGTGGTGGAATCTATATGTGGAGCAATGTCTGTCTTACAAGTCACGTGGTGCAGTATATGGCGTGACATCTATGTGGTGCAATCGATGCTGCGCAATCGATCTGGTCCAATGTATGTGGTGCAACCTATGTGGTGCAGTCAAAATCGTGCATCATATGTAGAGCGATCTATGTGGTACAATCTATCAGGCTTAGTCTATGCTGTGCAAACGATGTAGAGCAATATATTTGGTGCAGTGTATGTGGTGCAGTCTATGTTGTGCAATCTATGTGGTGCAATCATGCCCTGAAATCTCTGTGGTGCAATAGATGTTTTGCAAGTTCTGTGGAGCAGTCTGGTCGGCGATGATGGGCGGCGACGCGGCGGCGACGGGGCGGCAACGACAACAGCACAGCCGCCAGATCGCCAGTCAGCGCCAGGCGACGGGCGGCGACGAGGCGGCGACGGGAACAACATAGCCCCCAGACCGCCCATTAAGGTCCAGACGACGGGCGGCGACGCGGCGGCGACGGCGACAACATAGCCACCAGACCGCCATTCAGGGCCAGTTCCGGAGAACTCCAGTAGGAAGCCCTCAGTGCAAGCGCTGTTTGGGGAGCGTTCGCACACATGGGGGTCAGGGTCGCCATGCCCCTTGCTAGAAGAGAAGAGACGGGGTGGGAGCATTCTGCCTCTTCTGTCCTGGGGGCAATGGGGGAGGGGAGCAGTCGGGGGTGGACAGACCTCCTACCCTGACACGTCGATTAAGGAATCGGCCGTTTTCGGTTCGCGAGAGGGCGTCGCGGCCGTCATTTTTGCGGGTCCAGGTCCGCCGGTTTCGGTCCCAGGCCGTTTTCACTCAGGGGAGGTTTGCTAAAGGGAGGTTTGTCCACCGCCGAAGCAAGGGGAACGGCAAGCTCACAGGGTGCAGCAGGCGTGTCCCAGAAATATGCTTGCACGTCGACATGGCCGCCAGAGACAAGGACGAAGTCATCTGTGCCTGCAAGGCTTACTACCCGAAGCCGCACGCGACGCCGGTCGTGTCGGAACTTTTCAAGCCGCCCCAGTCGCAGGTGCATTTCTGCAACTCTACGCAGGCGTGTGACATCTACATCAGTGATGATATTCAACCAGGGTTCCTGTACTTCAGCTTTTGCGCCTGTCTGCACCCTGGGCACTGGTGGGATCTGCGCCAGTTTTTGGACGTGCGACCGCAGTGCAATCAAACTTCGGGCGCGTGTGGTGTAGAAGTGATTCGAAGACCTCTGGCCATTCCCGCTGGACCCCTCACTAAGATCCGCCACGTGTCGCTCGAAGCAACTCCCGCAGGCTCGAGGGGCTTTCGGAATCGCACGTCCTCGTTTAAGCCCCGACCCCACAGCACACGCATCCAGAGCACCTCCTTGGCAGCCCCCCGTGGTCCATGGGGGCGGCGGAGTATGCAGCGCAAGGGCCTCTATCACAACAAGCTAGGCTACCAGGGCCTGGGATCGGTCGTGGTGCTTTTGACGTACGTGATTTGGAGCTACGTGTTCGAGAGGAGCCAGGGGGCTGCGCGCCTGGTTCACGAGACCGGCATGGCTGCACTGGTCGGGGTCGCCATAGGGATCGTGTTCAAGCGCGAGTCCGGCGCTTTCCTCACCTGGTTCAACTACGACCTCTTCAGCTACATTCTCCTGCCGATGGTCATCTTCGCAGCCGGGTTCAATCTGCAGCACAAGAGCTTCTGGCGCTACCTGCCCTTCATGCTGAGCCTCGGGGTGCTAGGCACTCACCACCCACCAAACCACCCCAACCCAACCCGAAGGCCCCAATTTGTCCTCGATTTCCAGTGGGGGGGGGGTCGTGGAACATCGAGAAAACACGTATGGAGCCCGTACCCCCCCCAACCCGGAATTCGGGTCTTCGGGTTGGGTTGGGGTGGTCTGGTAGGTAGTCAGGCACGTGCCTGATGTTCGCGTTTATCTTTGCGGGCTCCACGATCCGCTTCAAGTCGCATTCCGGCGACACGCTGCAGCTGGACGTCCGGCACCGCATGGCGATGGGGCAGTTCCTAACTTGTCCGTGCTGCAGCTGCGCGCTGTGGGTAAGCCTCGCTCTGGTCGGAGTTGGGGTGCCGCTCGCGCGAACGAATTTCGTCGAGGATAAACAACCCTAGCCCGAGTAAGATAGTGGAGACGTGGCCTCACTGAGGTCCCCGTTTTGGCATTAGGGGTAATGTATATGTTTGGCCTGACGCATCTGCAGAAAAGGCCCCCTATCCCTAATGTTGCTGGCCCTCCTAACTCAGGTCCCCTCCCGGAGGGTTAGGGGTATTTTTACTACGTATCGCAATTCCCAATCGCACACGTGCTGGCTGGCTCGAGGCGAACAGCTGCTGTCGCGTGAAGTGTGGATCTGCTCCTCCGTGCTTCGTTCTGGAGGGCGTCTGGCCAGGAGGGAGGGATGTCCCCGGGGCGTGAGGGGGGCCAGCCCGTCCCAGACCCCTGCCGGGTCGAAGGGGCCGTGGTGCACCGAAAGCCCTTCTTGTGTGTCAGCGCGGGCATCGGGTTCTGGTCTGAGCCTGAAGTCGGTGAGCCCTGAGGTGCCCTCACTCGCATCTACGTCTGCTGTGGTTCAGGCTTGCCCATCCAACTCTGGAGATGCCATCGGAGGGCCATCGGTGGGACCGAAACGGGCGACCAGTTCACGACTCCTTCGTAATCGCTGTGCAGTCTGCTCGCGACCTGTCTGTCTTTGGGCCCTGCCTGCACTTGTCATTCGCTTCCTCGCCCCGTCCCAGCTACACCAGAGCAGGAGAAGGGGAAGGAGGGGGAAAAGGATGATGATGATGATGATGATGATGATGATGATGATGATGATGATGATGATGATGATGATGCTGATGATGCTGATGATGATGATGATGATGATGATGATGATGATGATGATGATGATGATGATGATGATGATGATGATGAGGATGAGGATGAGGATGAGGATGGAGGAGGAGGAGGAGGAGGAGGAGGAGGAGGAGCAGGAGCAGGAGCAGGAGCAGGAGCAGGAGCAGGAACAGGAACAGGAACAGGAACAGGAACAGGAAGAGGAGGAAAAGAGGGAGGAGGAGCCGGAGGAGGAGGACGGGCGAGCGGCGTGGACGGGCCACGGAGGAGACGCGCCCAAGTGGCCCGAGCGCGCCCTGCCGGGGATCAAGACATGCCCCCCCCACCCCATTGAGAACAGCCAGGGCCCAGGACCCTCCGCCTCGCAATGCGGCTGCTCGCCGCGCCTCAGCTTCTTGTGGCCGGCCATTTTGGGCACCGAGGGGCCCCGGGGACGTCCGCGGGGCCCTGGCGAGGAGCTCTCTGAGCGCCAGCACCCGCCCAGCACCCGCCCCAGCCAGAATCTCGCCAGCCTCGGCCATGCGACGGCCGAGGCTGCGGAAGAGACTTGGCATCGCTCGGATGTGTGCGTTGGCGAGAACCATCGAGAACCATCCTGGACCGTCGAGCAAAAAAAACATGCTCGAAACCGAAAAATGCACGGGAAGGGGACGTCCGAGCGAAATGGGCCCGGTCGGCTCGGCAGGCCTCTCGGGGCCTCCCGCCACAGCCCCCGCGGGCTCCGCGGGGCCCGCCCCCCCCCCCCCCAACAAAAGGGGCCCGCCACAGGCCCCGCGAGACCTCCGCCCCCATCCCAGAAAGGGGGCTTCGGGGTCCTCAGGAGGACTTCCAAGGACATCTCTGGCATGTCCCTCTACAGTAGGGATATATATATATATACACACATACATATATACATATATATATATATATATATGTATGCATATATATATATATATAGATTCAAAAATTAGTGCAAGGATTGTCTGGGGACGACTTGTTTCTACTATGCTTGGCCATTGTTGAGTACTTTTGTGTCTAGACTCTTTTATACTTGTCCTCCAAACTGTCCGCCTGTAGGAGGACATGCCCGACCTGATTGTAGCCGCCCTCCGGGCGGCCTGGGCCGCCTCGGAGGTCGTCGGCCTCCCGCGCTGCGCGGCCTGCCGCTCCTGCAGCCCCGGGGGGGGGGGGGCAGGCATCGAGGTGCGCTGGTGGACCCAGGCTGGCGGAGGCCGTGCCACGACCTGGTCGCGATGCCACGCTGTTCCTGCACCAGGCAGGGCTCATTGCGACTCCTCCGATTCGATTCGGTTCGATGTCGATGGCCTCCGATGCCGATTCTACTCGACTCGGGATTCCGATTTCGGGTTCCGATCTCCTATTGGACGCGTACTAGCCTGCCGATGTCCGCCGATTCGGCCTTTCCCGACTCGGCTGCCGATTCCCGCCGATCCGATTCGTTTCGATCGCCGATCCGACGTATCGATTCGATTCTGGGCTCCCCCTTCCGCAACTCTACTCCTGCTGAGACGGGCTGCACCCTACATTATAGTCAGCGGACGGCGAATGCTACACCCGACGAGCTGTTGGCTGAAAACCGGCCGAGGTCGACAACTCACTTCCCTCCCCGCCCGAGCCAGGAGCTTCGCACACTGCTGGGGCTCCCTGAGCGCCAGACGACGAACACGTTTGAGATCCCCTGCCCCACGTTCTCTCCTGCTTCGCCCCCTAACCTGGCGAAGCAATCGGCCAAAACGTCTCGCGGGGCACACAGACACGCAGGGCCCTCCAGAGGAGCACGGACCGGCGCTGCTTCCAGGGGCGCGCGCGTGCGGGCAGGGCACTGCTGAGACGCGGGCGGGGCGAGGCCACGACCGAGGGCCACCGACCTGCTCCGGCGCCCAAGTCGCAGCCAGGCCGTCCTCGGGGCCCCTTCGACCCCGGGACTCCGCTCCCGGCCTTCCTGCAGCCAGGCCGAGCCAATCAGCAGCAACAAAAGTCTCGGCCGCAGGGCTCGCCCCCAGCGCACGCTCAACGCAGCCCACCTTTCTTTCGGCCTCGCCGGCCGTCCGGCTGGCACCCGGCAGGCGCCCGCAGCCCCCCCCCGCAGCGGCGGAGCCTGACCAGACACGTGGACGAATGCCCGGAGGGAAAAAGACACACAGACACAATGAATCGTCGATCCCCCAGAAAATATGGGAACATGTGGAAAGTGGGGGGGGAAGACCGAAACCCAGAAACTATAGGAAAATAGCGGGAATAGTTGTATTTGTGTGAATTTATTTGTGTGTCCCGGGGCCCCTTCAGAATGCCCAGCCACAACCTCGGACCTCGGGCTGGTACTGCTGTACCTGCCCGACCCGTCCGCGAAAGCAGTACTGTCCCTGCTGACTTCTTGGGCCCCTCCCCCCAAACACCCCCACAGAAACAGCGGGGGCCTCTCAGGGACTTGGCGTCGCTCGGACGTGTGCGTCTTTTTTTTCTCGGCGAGGACCATCGAGGACCATCCTGGACCGTCGAGCAAAAAAAAAACACGCACGAGACCGGAACAATGCACGGGAAATGGACGTCCGAGCGACGGCAAGGGGAGGGGTCGGGGCCACCGAGAGCTCGAGGCACTGCGGGTGGGTCCGCCCGCGCCTCCCCGTAGGGCCTGGAGGAGCATCAGCTCACGCTGCTGTCTCCAGCTCCGACGAGACCGCCACGGCCTCCTCATGCTCCAGGAGCGTCTGCCACAGGGACGCGCCGTCACACGCGAGGGGGGAGGGGCGAGAACAGAAACAGGAGGAGGAGGAGGAGGAGGAGGAGGAGGAGGAGGAGGAGGAGGAGGAGGAGGAGTCTAGTCGGGAGAGGGCTGGCAGCTCTTGAAACCCGCAAGATTCCGGCCCCCCCAGGCCAGACAGTCGTTCGCGACTGTCGATGCTCCGCCTCCCATCGGATGCACGAGATCATGATACGGTGGGGGCGTTGGTAAGGAATGTGCCCAGGAAGCTTCAGACCCTGAAGGATTCCTTGACGAGGGCGGCGGTGATATCCCCACCGTGCTGGTACTTACGGCCCAGGATGTTTAGATAGCGTGTCGTTCCACCGGCGCTGGCCCAAGGCGTCCGCGTCTCGAGCTTCTCCCCGAGCCTCCCGCCCCGGAGCGCGGAGCGACACGCTATGCCCGCTCGCAGGGGACAGCGTGTCGCCGTGGCGACGCGCTATCCAAAACGTGCCCGACCGTACGATCCAAGATTTCCCAGAGTCCCAGGATGTCCAAGTTCACCTCGTGCTCTACACGGGCTCCAGGAAGGAGGGGGCGCCAGATCAGAGCGAGGGGGCCGAAACGGCATGTACTGTCCCTGGGCGCGTGGCTGAGGTGAGGTTCTGCGGTGCGGATTGTTGTTGATGTTTTTATCATTAATATTGCTGCTGCTGTTGTTGGTGGTGGTGCTAGCATTGTTGGTGTTGTTGTTATTGGTGCTGTTGCTGTTGCCGTTCCTGCTGTTGCTGTTGTTGCTGTTGGTGTTGGTTTGGTTGTTGATGTTGCTGCTGCTGTTGATGTTGCTGTTGTTGTCATGGGTGGTGGTGTTATTGTTGTTGTTGTTGGTGGTGCTGGTATTGGCGTTGCTGTTGCTGCGGCTGTTGTTGGTGGTGTTGTTGTTGGTGTTGGTGTCGTTGGCGTCGTCTTTGGCATGGTCTGGTCGCTGTTGTGGTTGGTGTTGTTGTTGGTGCGGCTGCTGTGCTTGCTGTTGTTGTTGTTGTTGCTGTTGATGGTTGTTGTTGGAGTTGATGTTGGTGTTGTTGTTGTGGTTGGTGCTGCTGTTGCTGCAATTTCTCAACCATCCTGTGGATTTGGGTCTTCGTTTGGAAGAGACAGCGCCCCGCGTTCCTCTCCTCTCCTCTCCTCCTCTTCCTCCTCCTTCCCCTCCATCCTCCATCCTCATCCTAATCATCTTGATCACCATCATCATCCTCATCATCATCACCATCACCATCACCATCACCATCATCATCATCATCATCATCATCAGCATCTTCATCATCAGCATCAGCATCATCATCATCATCATCATCATCATCATCATCATCATCATCATCATCATCATCATCATCATCATCATCATCATCACCGTTATCGTCACCAGCATCGGCACCATCGCACCCATTTCGGCACAGACCTCACACGCTTTGTGGCCCCATATGGAGCTCCACCGAAGGCCTCAGAGGGAGGGTCCGCATGGCACCACCGCCCCATTTCAGCATTCCCCTCACACGTTTCGTGGCCACACACCGAAGGCCCCAGCGGGAGGGTCCGCATGGCACCGCCGCCTCATTTCGGCACACCCCTCACACGTTTCGTGGCCCCATATGGGGCTCCACCGAAGGCCCCAGCGGAATGGTCCACATGGCACCGCCGCCCCATTTCGGCACTCCCCTCACACGCTTCGTGGCCCCATAGGGAGCTCCACCGAAGGCCTCAGCGGGATGGTCCGCATGGCACCGCCGCCCCATTTCGGCACACTCCTCACACGCCTTGTGGCCCCACAGGGAGCTCCACCGAAGGCCCCAGCGGGAGGGTCCGCATGGCACCGCCGCTCCATTTCGGCACACTCCTCACACGCTTCGTGGCCCCATAGGGAGCTCTACCGAAGGCCCCAGCAGGAGGGTCCGCGTGGCACCACCGTCCCATTTCGGCAGCTCGCATTCAGGCACATAGGCTCGCTCGCACGCAGACTCATTCGCAATCAGACTTACTCTCGATCAGACTCACACGCGCTCAATCGCTCGTACTTCGACCTACCGTCTTCGTTCGTGTCGTGTACCCCGCCGCTCATGTCGGCACACCCCTTACGCGGTTCGTGGTTCCATTGGTCCAAATTGGTAGTACCACCGAAGATGGTGTTCACAGTTGCGGTATTGACATATGCATCTGGTTGGGTCCTTCGCCAGGCTAATTGTTTTGCTGCTTGTTGTTTGTTATTGGTTGTTTGTTGTGCGTTGCTTTGTGTGTTGCTTGCTGCTTGTTGTGTCTGGTTTGTTGCTTCTTGTTCGTTGTGTGTTGTCGTCGTCCCCCACGCGACCCGGCCCGCGACCCACCCGCGATTCACCCACGACCCAACCGCGACCCAACCCGCGACCCAACCCGCGACCCAGCCGCGACCCGACCGCGACCCCACCCGCAACCCGCCCGCGACCCACCCGCGACCCACCCGCGACCCACCCGCGACCCGGCCACAGTGGTCGAACATTAGAAAATGGCGCCCGTGGCTGGCTCGTTGACTGCAATGTGTAAAACTTAGGCGCCCGCGGCGGGCGTTCTCAGAGTCTCGCAGACTGCCGACGTCCCCGCCACCCCATCACTCTTATCTTATGTCGGGCCTGTCCCTCTACATGAGGAATATCCAGAAATAGTCCAAAAATAGTGCGGGGACGACTTTTTATTATTTCTGACCATGTTTGAATATTGTTCGACTATTTTTTATTTTTCGTCCAAAATCCGCCTGTAGGAGGACACTCCCGACCTAGCTCTTATCCGCAACTGCGGGGTGCTGCGATGTTCCGGAAATCCTGGAACGCATCTTGAGCCAATCCTATCACGACCCCATTTTTGCTGTATGGGTCGGGGGAGGGGTTTTTGGGATCGTAAATGCGGCAGTTCAGCGACTGCTGAGGTGATGGCGTCGGTGCTGTCTTCCACTGACACCGTGGCGCCAATGGCGTTCTTGCCCGCCGATGTGTTCCCTCGACTGTACGCCCTGGTATTCGGCGAGGGTGTGCTGAATGACGTGGTCTCCATACTGCTTTCCACGGCAGCTGCCTCATCCGACGGAGCCTCCGCGGCCCTTGCGGTGAACATCGTAGTCTTGTTCCTCGCGTCGGGGGTCATGGGCGTCGCCTGCGGTCTCGGCATGTCGTACCTGTTCCGCCGCGTCGAGTGGTTTCAGACGGGGGAGCCCCTGAAGCCCTGCGCCCTGCTCCTGCTGGGGAACTACGCGTGCTACATGCTCGTGGAGATGTGGGGCCTCTCGAGCATCTTCGCGCTCTTCGTCTCCTCCCTGGTCTGTGGCCACTACGCGAAGCACTCGCTGGCGGACGCGCAGAGCCGCCCCGGGCGGGGGGGGTACGATGGGGGCCGATGGCTGGCAGCACGCCCCATGAGGAGGAGGAGGAGGAGGAGGAGGAGGAGGAGGAGGAGGAGGAGGAAGCGAGCAGGAGGAGGAGGAGGAGCAGGAGGAGGAGAAGGAGGAGGAGGAGAGTCTGCCGGCAGCCGTCGCCCCCGACCGCTCCCGCCCCCGCGCCCCGCGCGCCCAGGACCGGGGCGCCTTTGCCGCCGAGCTCGCGGAGTTCCTCGCCTACGTGGCGGAGGCGTTCGTCTTCGGCTACTTCGGGCTCACCTCGGTGGGCTACCTCCAGGAGGGGAAGGCACACACAGAGGCCCAGTGAATCGTCGATCCCCAGGGAAGTATGGGAAAGCATGGGGAGCGGGGGGGGAGACAAGAGCTCAGAAAAAGCATGGGAAAATGTGGGGAGTCGTTTTATATTTGGGTGCATTTGCTTGTGTGCCCTCCAGGGCCCCTTCATAATGGAGGATGACGATTCGTAAATGACCGGGGGTCGTGTTCACGCGTCGGCGCCCGGGATGACGATTAGAAAAACCGGCCGCGGGCTGGAAAACTATTTTTTCATCGTTCTCCCCCAGTCAGAGAATTGTGCAGAAATCGCAAAAAAAACTATGTTTTTCATCGTTCTCTCCAATAATTTGTTATCCATCGTCATCCCGCACTACCCGCAGGACCCCAAGACCGTGTCTCCCTCGCTCATCTGCTTCTACATCGGCTGCATCTTCATGTCCCCTGGCATCGCTCGGACGTGTGCTTTTTTTTCTCGGCGAGGACCCTTGAGGACCATCCTGGACCATCGAGCCAAAAAAAACACGCACGAAACCGAAAAATGCACGGGAAATGGACGTCCGAGCGACGGCGAGGTCCCGGGTGGTGGCGGTGGCCCTGCTGGCGCTGCCCCTCCGGTGCTGCTGGTACCGGCGCGGCTCCGCCGCGCTGCCCAAGCGGGAGCTGTGCATCGTGGCCCTGGCCGGCTGCATGCGGGGCACCATGCCGGGAGGCCCCCAGCGTGAACTCGGGCGTGTCCCCCTCCAGGGGGATTCTCGACGAAAAATTTTAAAAAATACCTCCAAAAATACCCGAAAAAGATAGAAACATACTAGAACAATAGTCCCCCGACTACTTTTGGATGATTTTTTGATTATTTTTGGGTGTATTGTTTTATTTCTCGTCGAGAATCCCCCTGTAGTCGGCAACACCCCAACATACTTATACCATATGTGCGTCGCCCCCCCAGGGGCGACGCGCGCACCGAGAAATCTTATAGTATATGCGTCGCGGCGGGCGCTTTCTGGCCACACCGCTCGGGAAACGATATACTACAAGATGGGTATACTATATGCTTGGGGTCGGACGCGCGCCTCCAAGGAGGACATATAGTATTAGTATGTCCAAGGAGGAGGAGGAGGAGGAGGAGGAGGAGGAGGAGGAGGGAGGAGGAGGAGGAGGAGGAGAGGATGAGGGGAGGAGGAGGAGGAGGAGGGAGGGGAGGAGGAGGAGGAGGAGGAGGAGAGGAGGAGGAGGAGGAGGAGGAGGGGGAGGAGGGGAGGAGGAAGGGGAACCCCAGACCGGCCCTCCCGCGTCCCCGGGGTCCTCCGGCACCGCCCCGGGTGGCTGCTGCGGAGGGCGAGCGGGGGGCGCAGGCGGAGGCGGTGGGTGGGGGGAGGGGGGGGGGGGTCGCGGAGGGGGGAGGGAGGGGGGGAAGGAGAGGAGGAGGAGGAGGAGGAGGAGGAGGAGGAGGAGAGGTAGGAGGAGGAGGATGGGTAGGGGGGAGGAGGAGGGGCGGAGGCGGAGGAGGAGGAGGAGGGGGGAGGTCAGAGCGTGAATTACCTGCCCCGCTTTCGCTTCCAGGCAAAACCAAGCCATACCACGCGCCTCCTCGTCAAGCGGCCTGACCAGTACAGGCTGCAAATTGAAATTGGCATCGTTTGCTATATATTGGAAGCGAGGGTGGTCAAAAGCGAGGTAGGTTTGTGTTCCCCCTAGGAGGGGGTAGGGGGGGGGCCTTGGGATCGGGGCGAGGGAGATGGGTACGGCAAACATGGGTGCAACGACCGGCTGCCTCTCCCGTTCCTCTTGGACCGGGCTCGCTGCCGGCGTCGCCACGGGCCTTGCCCGTTGGAGGCAGAAGGCCGTCTCCCCGACAGCGGCCGCTGGTGGTTTGGGGCGAGATTTGCTGGTGGGCATCGTACCCACTTGTTCCGTACTCGTTTCGGGCGGCCCAAGTATGACGGGTCGGCGCCTCGGCGAGGTCCCCACAGCACGGCGCGACACCAGGATGATGAGCCGGCGTTCGAGCGCGGGCCCCCAGGGATGGCACGGCACCGTGGGCAAGGAGACCACGAGTTGGCGTCCTGGCATGCCCTCCCATGGGAAGGGGGGGAGGGGGGTTCGGGGAGGGAGGCCAGACCAGACTGCCAGGCGGGTGCGTTGGGGGGCCTCCCGGCCGTCGCGTTCGCGCTCGTGCTCCGTGCCACGCCCGCGCCGGAGATGCAGCTGCCCGAGGACCGCCTTCTGATTACCACGGTGCTCGGGATCGTGATGGTCAATGCCATCGTCTTCGGTGCTCTCTTCCCCGTGGCCATGCAACTGCTCGGACTGGTGCCACTCCCAGACGTACCCCAGGGGGCCGTCGAGGGCGCGGGCGACAGGATCGGCGAGGGCGGAGCACACGGGCGGTGGAAGAGGCTTGACGACAGGTACCTCAAGCCTCTCTTCCGGAAGCCCGAGAACCCCAGGAGCAGGCACCCTGCAGAGGCCATGGCCGAGACCGTGGTGCCGCGGCGACAGCAGCTGTGGCCGATGGCGCGGCAGCAGTCGGGAGAGTCCGGGCCGGCAGCGGCGTCTGAGAGGCAGGGGCGGCGACAGTCGAACGCGTCGTGGCCAGGGGCCGGGCCAGCTGGGCCGGTATCTGCCTTCGAGATTGGGCGTTTGTGACGAGGGAGAGCTCCGTCGCAGCGAATACAAAATGGCTTGATCCAAGGAGGAGGAGGAGGAGGAGGAGGAGGAGGAGGAGGGAGGAGGAAGAGGGGCAGAAGGGGGGAGGGGGGAGGAGGAGGAGGCGGAGGAGGAGGAGGAGAGGAGGAGGAGGAGAAGGAGGAGGAGGAGGAGGAGAGGAGGAGGAGGAGGAGGAGGGGTGGTGGTGAGGAGGAGGAGGAGGAGGAGGAGGAGGAGGAGGAGGATGAGGAGGACGGATGAGGACGGAGGAGGTCGGAGTGAGTTGAGTAGCATAACGGAGAGGTGAGGATTAGGCGCAAGACGTAGGCTGGAAAGAAGGATGGCGGGGAAGAGGGTGAGAATGTGCAAAGGATGAAGATGGTAAGGTTGGTGCGGCTCATGGGGGCCGCGAAACCATGGGCCCTGCATTCAACCGTTCATCATCGTGCCTGCTCAAAAAAGCATCCGAGCAATCAAAGTAGCTTCGTACTTCATGTTTTGACATGGGCGGCGGCCACTGGCGTTTCCAAATTTCGAAAGGCTCGACGCCCTCATCAGGGCAGTTCCCCACCACAAGTGGGACAGATCCCGATGCCCAGTAGGCATGCGGCATGCGGGTGGGAGGCGAAGAGCCTTCAGTGCTCGTGGGCGAGACAGCCAGCTTTACACTTCCCGCTCTCATGGCAGTATTGCTGCAGCTTGCAGCCTTTTCCCCTCCTTCCTCCTCCGCCCTTCCTCTTTCTTCACTACCCTCTCGCTTCTCCTGCTCCGCATCCGCCTCCTCCTTCCTTCACCCGTGATCCTTTATCAATAATTCCTCCTTGTCACTCCCCCGGACGTGTCGGTAGGTCGAGCTGGGCTCTTTGCTTGAAGTCCCATCACCACCTATGACCCCGAAGCTGAGAATTTGCAGCAGCTTCAAGAATGGAGGGCGGGCCGTTTTCAAAATGTTACTTTCGCCTGAGCGCCGCGCGCATTCGGTTGTACATGTCGCACCAGTGAGCTTCAGGGAGTAAGGGCGGCTCCTTTTCAAACTGGGGCTCTCGTCTCAGCCCCGCGCTTATTTTCTTAAGCAGTTTGTAGCAACGACAAAGATGGAGGGCGTGCCGTTTTCAGAATTGGCTTCTCGCCTTTGCACCGCGCACGTTCGTCTTCAACGTTTAAAGCAGCTTCATTAATGAATGGTGCTGTTTCCAAATTGAGGCGCTCTAGCCTTAGTGTCGATTTCACTCATCGTAAAAGAGTTTTAACAGCTTCGTAGAAAGAGGGCGGTTCCTTATCACAATAGGGTTGTCACCTCAGCGCCGCGCGCATAGGTTGTAACATATTGCAGCAGTTTGGAAGGATTGGGCGCAGCTCGTTTTCAAATTCGGGTTGTCCCTTGGACGCGACGCCCGGAGAACTGGGTCAGAATTCGTTCGCGATCTTGCCAGAACGCCAGTCCACTTTCTGAGGTTCCCATATAGAGGGCGCAGCACATAGATGTTTGAGAGAAGGAGATTGGGTGAATATGTAAGTATTACGTAGCTGGTTAGAATCGATAACAAATGAAGCCACAAGACACTGCGACTTAAACAATTAAGTAATTCGTGAACAGCGTAATCATCCAATGCGTTAGTACGATGATTAGTGTATACGCGGCGAGCGGGCGCAGAACGGGCCAGAACAGGCCCAGACTAAATTTCTTAGATTTCCAACTTGGCAAATTTTGAATGATGAGTACTCAGCAAACCAACGACTTCAGTATACCAAAATTAAAAGGGGCGAGCAGGCCCAGAACTGGTTCAACACAATGGGCGCGGAACGGTCCCAGAATGGGCCCAAAACGGGCCCATGCCGGATCAACACGGACCCCCGAACGGCCCCAGAATGGGCCCAGAACGGACCCATAACGGGTCAGCACGGGCGCAGTATTAGCCACGAGTGTTGTAATTAGTTGATTTCGCATTGAATTATCAAGTGCGATGTGAATCTATGACAGAATCAGCCATCAAAGCCTGAAGTAAGTAATTGTGGGGTATCCAGAAAAGCAAGGTGTCGAATTTATCAGTTCGCCCGTTGTTTTACAAAGTGTCTGGTTGTTGCTCTTTTTCTGGCCCACAACACGCTGGCCCAGGGAATCGTTCAAGAAACGTCGGGAAGCTGGCCCATATTGTTTTAATCCGTGGCTTCTTAATCGTATGTTCGCCTGTCGTTGTCAGGATGCGCATCAATTTGAAGAGTGCTTGACGCATCTGCTTCAAATGATGGGTGTTGCTTGGAACTTCCTGAACTCGAAGGAGTCGAAGCTCCAATACATGTAGCACTGCATGGGTCATGGGTGGATCCTTTCCAACATGGACTTCTCGCTATGGACTTCCTCCGATGTTTTGGCAGCGCACTCATGGGGAGGTGGTTCTTGTGTTTGGGAATGGGGTATCGTTGGACACCTCGCTGGATTGCATGATCATGATTTTCGCAGTCCTGATGAAGCGCCAGAAGGTGGCAAGGCCGTTCCTTTGAAAGCGGAGTTTTCGCCAAAAGGGCAGGTTCAGATGTCGTTGTTCTTTCAATGGGGCCGATTTTTGTAGTGCAGAGGAAAACTTGCAGGGACCTGTGAGGAGGGGGCTTGTGACGGGAGCGTGTACAGCCGCACCGTTGGTGCCTCGTGGATTTATTCTGGCCTTCATCCTCCCTCTCCCTCGTCCTCCTTCCTCGTCCTTCCTCCTCGTCCTCCTTCCTCGTCCTCCGCCTCCTGCAAGGCGTGCGCGCATGCATTTGACGGCTGTGTCCCCTGCAGGTTTGGTTTTTTGGTTTATCCTGGCATGCTGGTTGGTGGGGAGCCGTGCGCCGCTGGGCGGCGCAGGGTCGTCCCACGGACCTGCGTTGCTGGAAGGAGGCCCAGGCTCGCCCTCGAGGTGCCCAGTCCATTCTCAAGATCGTCCCCGGGACTCCTTCTGGAGCGCGTCGTTTCGACGCTCGCCTTCGGGACCTTCCTGGGGGCCACCTAACGGATCTGTTCGACTCAGGTTCGACTCAGGTTCGACTCAGGTTCGACTCAGCTTCGACTCGGGTTCGACTCAGGTTCGACTCAGGCTCGACGCAGGTTCGACGCAGGTTCGACGCACGAGTGGAGCGAGTGGCTCCAGGAAGGTCCCCAGAACGAGCATCTAACGTTGTGATGGAAGTGCTGGGGAGGCGGCGGCGCGACACGCCGAGCAAACGCTCGGGAGGGAGGAGGGAGGAGGGAGGAGGGAGGAGGGAGGAGGAGGAGGAGGAGGAGGAGGGAGGAGGGAGGAGGGAGGAGGGAGAGGAGGAGGGAGGGAGGGAGGAGGGGAGGGAGGGAGGAGGAGAGGAGGAGGAGGAGGGAGGAGAGGAGGGAGGGAGGAGGATCTGGAGCGCGTTGTGGTGGAAGTGCCGGGGCACCGGGCCGTGCGCACGCGAGAGAGCCCACCCGCGGAGGCCCCACCCGGGGGCGGAGGACGCCCGGCGGCTTCGGCCCTCGCAGCTCGGCCGAGCCCGCGGCCGCGGCGGCGCCCCGCTCTGGAGTGCCGCGGCCGGCATCTTTAAGTGTAAGTCGGGCGTGTCCTTCTACAGGAGGAATGTTTCAAACATAGCCTAACAATCGTATTGGGGAAGATGCTTCGAGTATGCTTGGCTGTTTCGGTGTACCCTCGGACTCTGTTAAACTTGTCCTCCCCAATCCGCCTGTCAGAGGACATGCCCGACCTCACGTTAAGCCCGTCTTCGTTCTCGTCTGAGCTCGCTCGCTCTCATAGCTGTGTCCTGCCTCGGGGCCCTCGAGGAACCCACTTCCACCGACTCCGCCGACGGGCGGGCGGCCCGCATCCCCCCCCCCCCCCCGGACCTCCCCTTCCCTACCCCTCCCCGTCAGAGGAGGAACAGCTACCCATACCGCTATCCCTGCCTAGTTTTCCCCTTCCTGGGATTCCTGGGGAGCACTCGTCGCCACCGCTGGATTCGCCGCGAGATCCTGGTTAGAATGCACCCCGGAAGAGGTCATTGGAGTAGCGGTGTTGGTACGTTTGGGTCACTACCCCCCAGCCACCCCCCTCTCCGACGGACGAGCGGCACGCTCGAACCGCCTCCCCCCGCTCGCCCCCCCGCGGCGAAGCGACGGGGGTGGTCTCGAGCCTCGGCCAGCGGCGCTATGGGCGGAGGAGGTGGAGGGGGAGAAGGAGGAGGAGGAGGAGGAGGAGGAGGAGGAGGAGGAGGAGGAGGGAGGAGGAGAGGGAGGGAAAGGAGAGAAGAGGGGAGAGGGGAGGACGTGAGGAGAAAGGAGGAGGAAGGGGAGAAGAGGAGGGGAGGGAGAGGTACTTTTTCTGGGGAGTTCAGGCTGAGCCGCCGCGCGACCGACCGAGACCGTTCTTGCTGCTTGCGTCGTGAGGAGGAGGAAGGAGGGGAGGAGGAGGGGAGAGGAGGAGGAGGAGGAGGAGGAGGAGGAAGAGGAGGTGGAGGTGGAGGTGGAGGAGCAGCGATGGTCGCCGCCCGGGCCGCGAGGTGCCCGCCTCGCTCATGGGGCCCGACGCGGCGGCCGCCTCGGGCAGGGTGAGCCCTGCCGTGCCCGGGCCGGCGCGCGCCGTGCCCGCCTGGGCGGGCCAGGGCGCGTCTGCGGCGGCGTCGGGCAGGGTGAGCCCAGGCGCGCCGCCTCCCGGGGGGGGGGGGGACGCGGGAGGAACGCGGGGACAAGGACCAGGGAAACGAAAAGCGACAGAAACATAAAAACTCGGAGGTCCGCGCGGATTTCTCGGATCGGCGCTGGGGCCCCCCGGGCGGCGCCTCCGGCGCCGCCCCTGGCGCGCTCCGCGCGCCAGGGAGGGGGGGCCAGCGCCGATCCGAGAAATCCGCGCGGACCTCCGAGTCGTTCAGTTTATGTAATTGACCAGGATGTCGCGGGGATCTTGTCGATGCGATCTTGGTCATGGTCCATGCCGGCCGCCGCCGACTCGCGAGGACGGATGGTCCATGGTGACGCTGACCAAGATGCACGGTGACCAAGAGCGGCACGAACCTTCCGCGTTCAGTCTTGGCCACTTGGCCTTCCTTTCCAAGAGGTTGGGGAGAGAGGGGGAAGGAGGGTGGTATATGTGGAGGAGAAAGGAGGTCGAGTGTTACCAGCCTGGAGCATATCCCTGTCCCGCGTCTGGTAGTCGGTAAGAAAACGGTGGCGTTGCGTCGCTAAGCGGCCTGGCGTCGAATAAGCGTCGACCAGCGTCGACTCGCAAGAGCAAGCAAGATGGCATGGGAGGCTCCAGTGAGTTGCCACCGGAAACAGAAGCTGTTTTTTCCCCTATGGCGATTGCGCTCGCGCCCGGGGGGGGAGCGGGCCGCCGTCACGTCACGATTCGCGGCGGCGCCGCCTTGGAGCGCAGGGCAGCTGCCCGCGCGGCGCCAGCGGCAGCAGTGGCGCGACGTGCTCGGGGGAGGGGACGGGGGCGGGGCCGGTCACGAGCTTTAATTATCGCGAATCATGAGAAAAAAAAAAACGGTGTTAGATCAGAGGGCGCGGCAACAACTAGCGCGAGTAACAAAGGAGTGTGGGTCTGGCTCGGGGGACAAAAAGTGGCATAAGCATACAAACTCGGAGGTCCGCGCGGATTTCTCGGATCGGCGCTGGACCCCCTTCCCTGGCGCGCGGAGCGCGCCAGGGGCGGCGCCGGAGGCGCCGCCGGGGGGCCCCAGCGGCGATGCGAGAAATCCGCGCGGACCTCCGAGTTTTCATGTTTATGGCACTTTTTGTTCCCCTACTGGCGCAGGTGGGCACTGGCGGGAGGCGCAATCGTTCGCCAGTCTTGTGCTATGGCGCGCCACTGTTTTTTTTTCGGGGGCATTACTGCACGGGCGGCACGCGCTGCGCACGCACAAAGTGTGCACTCCTCGCGTCCACGCACGATTCTGGCATCCAGCACGGCAGCCAGCAAGTCCAAGCACAAAAACGACTGCAGGTACTCTTCCTGCGCTCTTCCCGCGGACCCGCTGCTCGGGCGTGGAATGTGCTCATCCTGGCGTGCGTCGTCGATTTTGGGAGGAACAGAAACGCACAGACACAACGAATCCTCGATTCCCCAGAAAATAGGGGAAACATGGGAAGTGGCGGGGAAGACAGAAACTTTGAGAATATTGGAAAATGTGGGGAGTCTTTTTATGTGTGTGTATTTATTTGTGTGTCCTGGGGCCCCTTCATATTTTCGGGCCCCGGGACCGCCCACATTGGATCCGGGACGCAAAACGAACCCTTTCGGGCAGGGGTCCAGAGTCCTGGGGCTTCGGATAAGCCGCATCCCTTGATATGTGGGTCCCTTTTAGTCGCGGGCCATCTTCGAGTTGCATGCAGCCCGACCGCCGCCTTCCGCCGTCGGATGTGTCCGTTGCCGCTGACGCTGTATCGTCATCATCCCCGTCAATCCCGCCCTCCCTAATCCCCCAGTCCCCTTCTCCTCCCGCCTTCTCTTCATCGTCGTCCTCGCTCCCTCCCCCTCCTCCCTTCTCCCCCCCTGTCCCTTTCTATCTCCCCGCTCCTCTCCCCCCCTTCCCCCTTCTCCTCCCTCCCCTCATTCCCTCCTCCCCCCCAATCCTCCCTCCCCCTCCCCCCCCCCCCCTCATCCCTCCTACCTCCCTCCCTCCCTCCCTCCCCCCCTCCAATCCTCCAATCCCCCAGCGCGGGGCGTGGCCGTCCCAGCGGCTCTCCCCGCACGGTCGGCCAGGGCTTTTCTGCCACGAGCGGCGCACCACCCCCGCGCCCCGCGATAGAAAACCAGGCGGGCTCTGCCGGCGACCAACAAAAAAGCGGCGCCGAGAGCCTCACGGCCGCCACCTCGGTTGCGCACGGCACCCCCCCTCCCCCTCCTCCTCCTCCTCTCCTCCTCCTCCTCCTCCCCTCCTCCTCCTCCTCCTCCTCCTATCCTCCTCCTCCTCCTCCTCCTCCTCCTCCTCCTCCTCCTCCTCCTCCTCCCCCTCCCCCTCCTCATCCTCCTCCTCCTCCTCCTCCTCCTCCTCCTCCTCTTCCGCCTCCTCCTCCTCCTCCTCCCCCTCCTCCTCCTCCTCCTCCTCTCCTCCTCCTCCTCCTCCTCCTCCTCCTCCTCCTCCCCCTCCCCCTCTCCCCCTCCTCCTCCTCCTCCTCCTCCTCCTCCTCCTCCTCCTCCTCCTCCTCCTCCTCCTCCTCCTCCTCCTCCTCATCCGTAGCCATTTTGGCTCAAGATGGTGAGTCCATCAGGGGAACAAGCGGATACCGCTAGTCCGCGGCAGGCAAGGCCACCTGTGGCCTGGCAGACTTCACCCGCACCGACGTCCGCCTTCACGGGTAAACGGAGGCCTTTCCCGTTCCTGTGTGAGCGAGCGTCCCAGACCTCTTCCTCGCCATGTCGGAGAAAGGAGGCTCGCCCGCTGCGATGCCACTGCGCTGCAAAGAGATCTCGAAGCGTCCTCCTCCTGGCGAGCCTGGTTGTGAGCCTGGCGGCAGGGCTGACCGCTCCCGTTCACCACCGCAGGGAGATGAGGTTGATCTGGACGCGTACGCCACCATGGCCTACGTGCAGTCCCTCCAGTCGAAGATCGACGCGATGGAGACCGCTATCAAAGAGTCCATCTATTCGACCGTCACCGCCGTGGTCAGCTCCGCCACCAATCCCATCTCGTTGGCGCTCAAAGCCGCCCAGGACGGCATTGACGGGTTGGGCGCCAAGATTGAGAAAGACGTCCACCTCGCCGTCGGCCAGCAGATCGACGCCACGAGGAAGCACTTCCAGCAGCAGCTCGACGCCTTCAACATACGCGTCGGCGAAGTGGAGGCCAAACAGGAGAAGACCGACAAAGCAATCGAGCTCATGGCGGAGCAGATCAAAGTGTTGCAGCACGAGCTTGCCACAGCCAACAAGCAGCCGATCAAACAGCAGTTCATCAGCCGCGCATTCGATCGCGAAACCGACGCCACGATCATCAAGGTCCACGCGGACGGCCTGGTCACCCTGGCCAAGGCCACCGAGTCTCTCTCCAAGTTCGTGGTGGGCTGCGACATCCGTGAGACTGACTTCACGGTCACTGGCAACGACACTGCCAAATTCTTCACTATCAAGTTCACGGGCCTCCCTGGCCCTGCCAGCCGCCGTGTGCAGAAAGTCCTGGACAGCATGCGCTCGTCCAACGGCACCGGGGTGCGCATCTACGCCGACGCTGTCTCGGGCCACGGGACGGTCGAGCTGCGGATGGGCCCCGACAAGTCGCCGAAGCAGATCAAGACGGAGATTGTGGGGAAACGCCTCCGCCGGGCCATGGAACGCAAGTTCCCGAACCATGTCTGGCGCGTGGACCGCGCCAAGGCCTGGATCACTGCAGGCTGGGCCCCCGTCATCGCGTACAGCGTCCGCCCAGGCAGGGATGAGCCGACCATCCTCGCGTTCCAGGACACCGGCCTCCCCGCGCTGGGCATTGGCAGCACGACCCTGAAGAACGCCGCCAACGTGGTTGTTGCACCTGAAGCTGCCCCGAAGTTTTGGCTTTGACGAGCTGGCGCGCAGCCAGAACCGCCTGGCCTGTGGGCCGACGCCCTGCCTGGCCGTCGGCACATGGAATGCTCGCGCTCTCCTTGGCTACCAGGGCAGACGCGTGGTGGAGAAATCCGCGTGCCTCAAGTCCATGCCGCTGAGCAAGATGGTCTTGGGCATCCAGGAGGCCCACCAGAACCACGGCCAGCTCCTTGCTTTCATGCGGAAGATCGACAGCACCCTAGACATGCACTCCTCCTTTGCTCCTGGATATCATGGCACTATCAGTGGCGGGGTTGCCACTGTGTTCCCTGCTGGGATGAATGTCGTGAGCGACCCCGTCTTTCCTGGCCGTGTTCTACGCTCTGTCTTCCGTGCTGCCGACCAAGTGATGATCTTCTACAACATACACAACTACGACCTCAGCTACGCCACCATCCAGAACATCACCACGCGCATCAACAGCGACCTGCAGTGGGCGAGTTCCGACCCGAGCCGCGTTGTCCTGTTCGTCACTGGGGATTTCAATTTCTCCGCCGTAGGGAAGCTGAAGCTCTTGGACCCTATGGCAAAGGGCGGTTCAAACCCAACTGAAACGTCCAAAGCATCGGCTCGCAAGTGGCACAACGCCCTGAAGCGCCTAGTGGAGATCGGCAGCGCCGACACCACGCACTACTGCTCCGAGACGAAGTCCGAGACCACCATCGACAGATGCTTCTGCTCGTTCACTCCCACTCAGATGCTGCAGCTGGCCTTCACGTCCTCCACCTTCTCCTCACCTGAAGACCTCTCACGCCGTCGTGTCAGTGACCATGCCGCCCTCTTCGTCTCCTTCACGATGCGCGATGCCAAACCCTCGCCGAACCAGCCGATCGCCCAATACATCGTCAAGTCCCCCGTCTTCAGAGAGATTGCCGACAAGGTGTTTGCTGCCTCCCCCATGGACAACCTGTCCCCGCCGACCAAGCTGATTCAGACCACCGATCTTCTCAGACAAATTTCACGTGAAGCTCGTGGCCGTCTCCTTGACATGCATCCGAGCAGAGGCGACGTGCTCCTTCAAGTAGCGAAGTCGATCTCACGTGCGGTTTGGCGTCAAGACCGACAACTCGCTGCTCGCCTCCTTCGCTCGCACCTTGTCGCACAAGAACACATCCAGAACAATGGTGACAGCGTCGGGCTCATCGATCACGCGAAGTTCGAGGAGTGGGCAAACAACCTCTTCCGCCAAGACGCTGAGCAGCGCCAGGCAGCTATCGACCAAGCAGTTCAACGCGGGCGCCTCCGACCCGCTCAAGCACGTGGACAAACCCAAGCCTTGCAAAGGAAGCTCCAGCTCTGGAACCCACTCAGCAAGCGCCTGATCCTGACGGGAGTCAAGACCAGCGAGGGCACCGTGACGGGCCCCAACGAGCGGCTCAAGAAGCTTGTGGAGCATTGGCAGCCAGTCTTCGCGGGCAAGACCGTCGACGTGACCAAGGCCGCTGACTACCTGAACCAGTTCTCGCCCTCCATC